AAAAAAAAAAAAAAAAAAAGGCCCTGCCTACTAGTCCTGCCGGTGACAAACCATCTAATGGAAACTTTTGAATCAGCCCGTAAATGTTAACATAGGGCCTCATGTAAGGGAAATCTCGTCCAGAATTGTAAAATAACCGCGTGGGTTGGATACAATCTAACGGCAGTCATTGTGGTAGCAGTAGGCGATACTGAGAAAATAAACGTATACGTATTTATATTTTTATAAATATATTTAAATAGTACGACATGTTTTCTTTGACTCTATATCCGTGTATCCTATATACTTTATTTTAATTTCAAGATCTGCAATGGCATACTGATGACCCCGTACTCATATAGTAGAGTCGAGATTGGAGGATCCTTCGGAGGATCTTGCAGGTATTCGGGGTCGATAGCCAAACCGAAGCTATTCAAGTCAGTGCCGTCCTTGAAATCGAGCAAGCTTTCTATGAATTTCTCATCTTTATGAGCTATTTTACACAGCTGGAAGCTTTAGAATCCAAAACACTCTGGGAAGTCGGTCTGTGTGGACTGTGGAGTGTGTGTAAAGGAAGGGAAAGGAAGCTCTGTCCCAACTTCCGTCACCATTTACGCGCCCCTGTCTCTTTCTGCAATCCCATCCCACACTTAAGGATATGGAAGGTACAGAATCGGGGCTCATAGTGGCTACAGATCGTATCGATTGAAGGTGCTTTTACTAAACGGAGGTTTATGAATGTGAATATACGCACCCAGGGCCATTGAGGCAGTGCGTACCACGACGCAACACCAATAGCAAGTGGGTGCGAGCTTATCCGACTGTGGAGCGGCGGGTGAGAGACTACTGCCCCAGGCATCTCGTCTCAAGACGAGCTGCAGTTATTCTCACTCATCTGGGCGTGCCACAGCAGCCAGTGGGGGGCGGCGATGGGGGCAACGGAGGCTGTGGGGGCAGCGGGGGTGACGGGGGAAACGCGGCCCACGGACTGATGGGGCCAATTTGGGGGTAGAGGGGGAGCATAAAAGCGAAGATGTGGAGGAAGAAGAGGGGCAGAAGAAGAAGCGGAGGGCGACGAAGAAGAGGACGATGAGGACTATGAGGATGAAGAGGATGACGAGGACTAGGAGGATCACACTGATCAGGACTATCAACATTAGACAATAGTTATTAACTAAAACTAATCCGTATTTATCATTAGATAATATCAATATCTAAATACCCACATCGCTCCATAGTAGGCCCAGCAAAACAGCCAATGTCTGCGTACCATTTCCTGAAGCCACCTCTTCTTCACCACGTATAAACTCCAAATTGAATGGGTTGAGGTCCATCCAACTGTTATGGAGGGTCTAAATCGTATAATAAAAGTAAGAAAGTGGTGGTGGTGCATATCCATATCTCAGCTTCGTTAACACTTAGACTTAAATCTGTTTCCATCACTCTGTGGATGACAACATATCATCAGCGTGTTAAGGGTAGTAAATGTTGAGTTATGCCATGAATCGGATAATTTACCAATGGCTTCATCGGGCAGTAAGGTTATTTTACTCCTCTGAGTTAAACAAATGATACCCATTTTCGTACGTGGTAGGATACATTAGTATATGAGTCCTGTGCTCTACTCCCGTAGTACATGTGGACCTGTTCGGTGTCGGCCATCGGGATGGCCGACATCAATGGGTTAGGGCAGCCACTAAAAAGGGCACATTACCCGATGCTAGTGAAGGCTTGGGTGGAATGTAAGCATTGAGTACCTTGAGGGAGCTGGCGCCTAGATATGGATATCATATCATATATGAAGCTAACGAGCAATTTCTTAGAGATATAATGGCCCCCCAATCTGCCCTGGCAGAGGTCTAGGTTAAGTTATCTCAGTCCTATCAAAAGACAAATGAAGAACTTAACAATACTAATAAGAGCGGAATGTCGCTCTGTCTCTAGAGCCTTGACGGGCTTCATCCATAAGAGTCAGGTAGATGTCTCGAAGCCTTCCTTTCCTCAAGAAAATGGCCAACGCCAGGGGCAAGTTCCACATGTTTTAGTCACCTTCCAGAGAGATGTTCTCGACAATCCCCAGAATTTTCATCCACTATTCAAGATATGGCTTGTCATCCAAATGAGTCTACTAGCAATGGTCGGTGCATTAGGTTCGTCAATTACATCTTCCGCCCAGAATGCTATTGCGAAATATGTAAATATCAGCACCGAGGTGGCCCCATGGACTGTGGCCCTGTTTGTTCTAGGTTTGCTACTTCAGACAACAACCACTGTAGCAAGAGGGGAGCACTAATGGCGTACGGGTTGGGCATTTGGTCCCATAATTCGGGCTCCAATCAGCGAGTTGAACGGGCGGAGAATCGGAATGCTACCCGCCCTCCTCATACTCGGACTTTTTTAGTATAGGTACTGCTACAAGTCAAGATGCTCAGAGTATATTCCTGACACGCTTCTTCGGTGGTATATTTGCCTCGGCGCCAATTAGCAATATTCCAGCGGCTTTGGGCGATATATACGGTCCTGAGGCCCGTGGGATTGCTATGGCGTTTGTTTCCATTTGTATAACTGGCGGCCCGACTCTTGGACCTATCATTAGTGCGGCTGTAGTAATAAAGCCTGATCTCGGATGGCGATGTAAGTTGACCCTTCTCAACACTACAATGAGTTGCTAAAGGCACAGGGGCCGAATATATTGAAGGAATTGTCGCTCTATCTCTCTCCGTAATCTGCTTCCTTTGCCTCCCGGAAACGTATGCTCCAGTCCTTTTAAAACGCAAGGCACAGAAGCTCCGAAAGGAAACCGGCGACTCGCGATATTGGAATCCCCATGAAAATGTGAAAATCAATTCTGAAAACCATATTCACAAAGTACATGAGCCGTCCGCTGTGGTGAGTCAAACCGTTCCTCGCCTCTAACAAGGCACCCGCCTGATGCTAACGAAGATAACAGCATGCTATTCACGGAATCGCAAGTTACCTTCGCCGCCCTTTACGCCTCCTTCACCTACGCACTTATCTACCTGACCCTTGGGGTCTTCCCAATCGTCTTTGAAGAGCATAGGCACTGGCACTTAGTCCCATCAACCCTCCCATTTCTCGGGATCCTAGTTGGCGTTTCATGTGCAGCATTAGTCAATTTCCTCAATCAACCGCGTTACAAACGAGCCATCCAGAAGAACAACGGCAAGCCCGTTCCCGAGGCGCGTCTTCCTCCCATTTTCATCGGCGGAATCCTACTCACAGGAGGTCTGTTTTGGTTTGGCTGGACCGCAGCCACCAGATACCCGTGGCCGCTACCAGTGGTCGGAGGTATGTCATGCATTACTAAAGGCCTGTCCTTCTAGAATTTACGTTGACATAACAATGCTAGGGCTTATCGGTGCCGGATTCACTATCGTTTTCCAGCAGTGTTTGAATTTTCTGGTAGACGCTTACGGACCCTATGCTGCTAGTGTGGTGTCGGCGAACACTATATTACGTTCTGTTCTCGCACGTGCGCTGCCCATGGCCGCTCAGCCGATGTTTGAAAATCTTAGGATCGCTCCAGCATCTAGCCTTCTCGGCGGTATATCCTGTTTAGCCCTTCCAGTGCCTTTTCTGCTAATGAAGTATGGTGCTGTGTTGCGAAAGAAGTCAAGGTTCATTTCTTTGCCCGAGTTCTAAGTATCCATGCCTGATGCGTGCCTAAGCCATATGTGTTATACCCGGCATAAGTTAGGAGCCAGGGGGATACTATTAGAAGGGAGTGGTAACATACATATACGGTCAGGGTTTTGTGATTAATGCATTCCTCGTCATTTTTATTCATAATTTATGCCGGCAAGTTGTTTCTCTGTATAGAATTCACATGCGTAGCTGGGAACCACAGGCCAACGCCACTTCGGGAAGAAAGGTAGACAGCACATATGTCACGATCCGTCCAGACCATATGCTAGCTCCGAGAAAACATCATGAGAGATGGGGCAATCCCATTCCTCCGTTGCAATGGGTGCTTAAGCAAATAATACGAGATCCCTCTTCCCCAAAGCCTTGAGTATGCTACTGAATGTATCAAACAAGTCTAAGATGACTGAGGAAGATAATGATCACATAAGCGACCAATCCCATGTACTTATTCTTATATATGAAAAATTTAGATTTCTGGACAGCCTTGGTAACCGGCTCAGTGGGGTTTCTAGAGTGGCTAAAAATCCATGAAACCAGAAAGTATCTCCAGAGGATGGTGTGAAGAAACCCTGATGAGAATCCCTACCGCGTCAGTGTCGAATAGAATTCCAAAGTCTCATGCTACCATACGCAAAATATAGATGACAAGGGTGCTGAGAAGAGAACTATTTGCTCAAGATGATATGTCATCAAATTAGAATAGCTATAGAAAGACGAAGCCCGTAAATGAGTGGAACTGGAGCTCCGCCAGGGATGTAGGTGTTCCAATGCTTATCTTCAGCGACACTCATTATTGGGATTGCTTATTCTGGGTGCTGTGCGTTCCAATAACTTCGATGTTAGGTGCCACCAAGAAGCCTAGGAGTAGTAGCGTCAGTTGGTAGCTTGGAAAAGGGTATATATAGTACTTCCGCAAATTGGTCTCACTACCTAAACGCTTGATAACCAAAATATACGACCTGACCACCAAAAGTGCCCGGACACGTAGAGGGTCCCAATACGTGATATCTCAAGGTATTTTTTAGGTTGACAACTCTTCTATGGTTTCTCTAAATCCAATGCTAAAATTGCTTTAGGTTATTTTTTTTCAATTTTTTCCTTCTTTCTTCCCCCGGGATACTAATAGAATAGCAATATCCCTCTAACGTAACCTCTACAATATCTTCCGTCAATTAATACGTGGCTGCTAACGGCTCAGGCACCAGCTCGAGTCGCCCTTGAGAATCTGGCGAGCTATCGCGTCCATCTACCACTCCCATATTCAAGTGACAAGCAGTACCGTATATAATTGTTGAATCTAGTGGTCAGCTGAGCCCTTATTGAGATATTGTAGACATAAGCTCACCCTAATGCGGAAGTACTACTCCATACTTGGCTAGTGTCACAGAATTACTACTAAGCATATGAAAACTTAGCCACTTAAGCAGGCTTTATTTAGATGGGCTCAAAACAATATAGGTAATTTGGGCGCATAAGCATGCCATGGGCGGGCCTGCCTAGACCCTTACTCAACCCAAGTGAAATTTTTGGCTAGATTGTTCTATCAACCATCACCTCAACATTAGCAACGTGATCCAACCAAACCTAAGAGCCTACGGAATCTCCACGGCATGGAAATTAGTTCACGTTACCATTTTGAAGTCCTACACCCTCGACTTTTCGTTCCCATTACTCCCCCCAATGCCATATGCCATCCACTGCGACAGTAATAATCCATATTCCCCCGATGTACCAGGGGCATATCCCCTGATCTCGGCTATGCTGCGTATTGGGTCATCACTGCCCTTACTGGATCTAACAGAGCGTGGTTTATAGGTGAGAATCGGGTGCCAGGTAACTTGTTACATTGCGACTTGCGTTAGCATCTCAAGCTGCGTGCGCCATCTTCACCCTGAGAGAACATAGCCGTCTGTGCTCGCTTATCTACTCTACCGCGCCATGTAACACCACTGCAAAGAACGAGCGTCATTTCGAGAAGAGGTTGCTAATGCTGCCTCTCAATTGTACAAGGTGGATGAGCGCCTCACGCTTAATCTCCACTTTCCTCATCGCATAGCGCTCGATATCAACTTCCACTCTTTGGAACAATTCCGGATCACCCTTGGGGAAGCAGCTACGCTGGCGCTGCGTCTAGAGTCAACAAAATGCCTGCCATAGCTGTTACAGAAAACCAAAGTCCAAGGCTTTCTCGACGATATCCAGAGTTTTCGCCTTCAACTTGACACTACGCTAGAAAGGTACGTTCTCCTTTTGTTCTTCATTTAGTTGAACTTTGCAGTGAATGAACAGCCTTTTTGGAAGTGCTGATTTTACGGGCCTCCATCATCGCACACACGCCGTCAATGGTCAAATGGACGAGCTGCACAATGTCATAAATCAAAAACTGATGAAAATCGACATTCTCGACATCATGAGGCCTACATTCGATAGTAACATTAATCAGCTGAGCACTTCCAAAGATAACGACAAACTAAACAATGACATAGCTCAAAAGCTGATGAAAAAGGTCGACGACTTCAGCGGCATAGTGGATACATTCGATGATGAAATTGAACAGCTGAAGGCTGCCAAGGATAGCAACGACAGCACTTCATTCTCCGTAGATTTACCATTGTGCTCATAATATTGTGAAATGCCGGGTTGTCCATGTCTAGAGCCAATGCTCAACGGTAGTTTGTTGTAGGGCGTTTGAATATTCAAACGTGGGCTCACTGCCCTTTGGCTCGTGATACATCATTCACCTATTGGCAGCACAGAAAATAGGCGAAGGGCTCCTAATGTGAATTACAGCGTTAGCTTTCGGAGCGGATTTAGGGATTCAGTTTAAGCAACTAAACACCTCGTTTACCTATCCCAGGGACCTTTCTTGGCGCCTCATAACAGCCATAATCAAGTAGTGGAACTATTTCTATATCAGCATCCATATCCCCTCAATTGTTATAGCTGAATTTGAAGCAATCGCGTAGCTACCTCTGGGTCCCAGACGAATGATAGGTTCGCATACAACAGCCAATTTGGACGCCGAAACCGGACATAGGTATTGTCGTAGGATAATGGCGACAAGACAAGAATTCGTCTATGTTCTGATATGTCATGTTTGAGGTATATTGTGACATAAGCTCTTATCCTCGTGCAGGAACTTCACCGACTGACGCATTTCCGACCCACAGTCGCGCAAGGTCAGTGCCGGAGTAGGGCCAACTAGTGTCAACAATGAGCACAAGCCGAGATCCTTGATTTGTTCGGCGAAGTAACAAGTTCGAGTGGGGTAGCCAAGACTCATAGGATCGATGTCCCTGCAAAACATGAATCTCACGATTCTTCCTCCAGACACAGGACAAGAGTACCTACGGTGCAAGCATTCTAACGATGGCCGCCAAAGGTGGCCTTCCTCTCTCAGAGGCTCCTCGCCATAAATACGCACAAGGATTAAGACATCGTCGGCTGCGAACCTGGCGAAGACCTTTGTGGACGCTTTTATTTGTTGCAGTACTCACAGCCCTGATTCATGGTGAATCAAAAGTCAGTCTCATATCTCGTCCAAAATATGCAAAAGAAACCGGTCTATTTACCGAAGGCCTAAACAAATGCTATGACACTCAACAAAGGATCAATGATCAGCCTGCCTCCATAGACAGACGGAACGAACGCTGGAATCCGATCTCCGGCCAGAAGAGAAGCGTAGTTATTCACAACGCTACACTTTTCGACGGGGAGTCCACCCGCGATGGGACATTCGATATTCATTTTACATCTGGTGTAATCCGCTCAGTGTCTCCCACGGGCCAAGGCAATCCCATCCCAGAAGATGCTCATATTATCGACGCCCGTGGGAGATTTGTTACTCCCGGGCTAGTAGACATGCATTCCCACCACTTATTGCTCCCGTTCCCTCAGCTTCCGGCCACCAATGATGTTAATGAGCGTCCATTACTGGGACCCATAACCCCTTTCGTGCGCGCTATTGATGGCTTCAAGCCCTACGATCCTGCTATTAAGATTATCGCCTCTGGGGGCGTTACTTCCTCCCTGATACTACCGGGGTCAGCAAATATTGTCGGCGGTGAAGCATATCTGGTCAAGAACCTGCCGCTTTCTGGGGCAAACGGAGAACCTGTAGTGGGGGAGTTGCTTTTGGACTACGGTATCCCAGAGCATAGTCGACAGCGATACCTCAAAATGGCATGTGGGGAGAACCCCAAAAGGGTGTACGGTAACACGAGGCTTGGTCTTGTTTGGCTACTACGCAAACGCCTTGAGGAAGCGCGAGACCTGCACGAACGACAGTCTGCTTGGTGTCGAGCGGCGGCGGATATCAAGGAGACCAAATTTGCTAGGGCTTGGCACATATCAAATTTCATCCGAAACCAAGGAAAGCGACCAGAGTCCTTCGAACTAGAAACCTTGATCGCACTTCTTAAAGGCGAGCTGAATGTGAATGTGCATTGTTATGAGCCCGAGGACCTTGAGCGCATGCTCTCCGTACTCCATGAGTTTGGTGTCCATCCGCAGGCTTTCCACCATGCACTAGAGGCATGGCAGGTTCCAGAGCTTTTGAGACACCTCGAAGAGTCAGTATGCCGGCTCAGGAACGTCAATACCACTTGCTGATATATTACAGAAATATTACTATCGCAACCTTTGCGGAAAACTCCCTCTTCAAGGCCGAGGCATACGGAGCGAATCTACGAGGGCCAAAGATTCTAAATGACCATGGAGTCAAGGTCGCCTTGAAATCAGTATGTGCAAATTTACGAGGGTTCGCAAAATCATACAATTGACATCGGTGTTCAGGACCACACTGGCGAGGACAACTATGCAAAATACTTGGTGTAGGTACCGGTGACACCATTCTGAGATCCAAGACTCTAACCCTACCGACTCCAGATATCAAGCTGCTGTTTCCCATTCTTTTGGCCTGCCAGAAGACAAATCCCTGCAATCAGTCACATCCATTCCTGCTCGTTCTATCCAGCAAGGCCATCGGATTGGATACGCTCGTCCCGGTTACGATGCTGACCTAGTCATATGGGATGATCACCCGTTGCAAGTCGGTGCAACACCCCTTGAGGTGTTTATCGACGGTCGCACTGTTCTGCACGATGAGGATACCCTAGATCAAGTGATCTACCGTAACCCCAACTCTGTAGAGCCCCCTCAAACGCCATTATTTCGACCATCGATTCTTAAACATGAGAAGAACGAGGTGTGCGCGAAGGTTCAAGTCCCTTCGTCAAACATCCTCTTTACTGCTATTAAGAAAGTTTTACTGGACACATCTACTTCCCTCAGCGAAGATAGCGGTGATGTTGTACTACTGCTGCAGAATGGCCGGATTGCTTGCCTTGATAAGAGATCCACTTGTCTGCCCTCACCAGGGAGAGATGAGAATATCACACAAATTGACTTGAATAATGGCTACATTACTCCGGGTCTCGTTGCGTTTGGAAACAACCTCGGCATTGAGGCTATTCCCTCAGAGGACTCTACTGCAGATGGCTCTGCTGGGAAAGGCGGGGATTCTTTAAACGAAAAGAAGAGTCTTCATTTTGCAAAGTATGGTGTGCATCTGCATGGTCGGGCTTTCACGAGAGCTAGACTCGGAGGAGTTACGAAAGTCATCACTGCGCCTCGCTTTACTGGAGGTATTCTCCAAGGAGTCAGCGTCGGTCTACGTACCAGCGAGTCAGCCACAATTCTGGAGGACGGCATCTGGAAGGACGATGTCGCGCTCCACCTCGCTATTGGCCAGTCAGCCAAAGGTAAGACATGTCTCAACCAAATCATATACCCTAGCTTATATTACAGTTGGGTAACGATTATCGCTCCAGGTGATGACACGCCGACGGTCTCGTCTGGCATTGAACGTGTGCGTCAGTTACTAGCGGTAGGCGGGCAGGATGGAGCAGACAGTCACAGCATATATGCACAGGCCGCCAACGGATATATTCCTGTAGTTGTTCAAGCCTACAACGAGGTACCTCCCACTCCCTCATGTGCAGATTTACATCATCTCTAACTAAGTTTCTCTAGCATGATATCTCCCAGTTGATTCTCATCAAACGGGATTTCCCTTCTGTCAATGTTGTCGTATACGGAGCTCATGGCGCAGTTTCTGTAAGCCTCAACCCCAATATCTCTCACTTACTTACTAAACATATTCGTCACTATAGGTTGCCCGACCCCTTGCCGAAGCAAATATACCCGTGATACTCACCGGTAATCGCGGGGCACCTACTAACTGGGAAAAGAAAGATGTTCTCACAGGCCCGCCACTAACCGAAAGCCCGGCAAAGATCCTGATCGACGCTGGAGTCTTGCTGGGCCTGGCAATCCAAAGCGACTCCAATATCTATGGTCTAGCGCAGGAGGCTCGGTGGGCCGGTAAGTTCGCGGGGCTCAATGATAAGGAAGCAATCTCTCTCGTGTCGACCAACATCGAAACTATTCTCGGTACTCGGTCAAAAGAGACTCGCCCAGGTGGAAATGTGCCAGCCTATGCTGGAGACTTTGTCGTCTGGGAAGGGGATCCTTTGAGGGGAGAGGGCTCGGTTGTTGTTTCTGTGCAGAGCGATGGAAAGATCGCTGATTGCTGGCCGGACACCAGGGATGCTGTCTTGTAGACCTTCATATTAGGGTATAGAGACTACTATGAGGTACCAGTTGATAGATGAGTCTTGGAATGACAGGGCCTTCAGAGAGGATTTTTGGTTATTTTAACTTATCATCTGCCACTGGGGAGCGCTAAAATTAGAATACTAGAATAAGCTGGCGATAGTCAGGCCTGTTCCAGCATTCGGTGCTAGTAGCAAAGGCATATCCCAGAAGTAAATCGGCATTTCGGGCATTTGTCTTAACCGCCGCGTCGACTTGGCGGCACTTAGTGTAACACTATATAAAAACAAAGGACTGACGCAAACCCTTTTCTCCCTTATATTAGGAGCATCCCATTGCATGATTTCTGCTTCACTTGTTTTATCATTAACGGTGTGCTGTGCAATCAGTTTGAAGCAACATGTCTCGCCCCACAAATAAAGGACACCCCCTTTCACCATCAGGAACAACAAAAGACTCGTCATCAGAAAAGACCTGGGTAGATGGTCGAAGGGATGAGAAGGAGCAGCTATGGGTGCCAACGGACGTGACCCCCGATGGAGGCCTCACTGCGTGGTTGATGGTCCTCGGCGCGTGGTGTGTGTTATTTTGCAGTTTTGGATGGATAAACAGTGTGTTTCATACTCCACATCTTCAACAAGAGGTAAAAAAGGCGTTGTTAAATCTTGCCATTTCTTTTATTAGGCATCGGCGTATTCCAGGCCTACTACGAACACGACCTGCTGCACCAGTATTCGAGAAGATCTCATGGATTCCATCGCTGCAGATATTCTTCATGTTTGCCATAGTAACGGCCATCTCATTCATACCGTAATTCGACCGTTCTCAGATACTAATCGTTGGCATAGGGTCCAATTGTAGGCCAGGTGTACGACAGATTCGGTCCTCGTCAGCTTCCTTTGGTAGGGTCGCTCATGCACGTCTTTGGACTGATGATGACATGTATATCGAAACGATATTATCAGATACTTCTGTCACAAGGTGTATGTAGCGCCACTGATGTAGCTACAATCTTCCAAGCAGGTATATGCACAGTCACCCCCTTCTTCGAGCTAGTCCTTCCCTCTGACATCTTCTAGCGATGAGCTCGATCCTTAGCTGGTTCAACAAAAAGCGCGGTGCAGTGTACGGCATCGTAGCCTCTGGGTCAATCATTGGTGGTGTCGTCTTTCCAATCATTATCAGCAAGCTCATTCCTACCGTTGGGTTTTCGTGGACAATGAGAGTCTCAGCCTATATGATACTTTTCCTCCTAATCCTGGCCAATCTCACTATCAAGTCCCGTGTCCCGCCAAATCCTTGTAAACTATTCAAGGAGACTCTAGCACGGCCTTTCCACGAATTCAAGGCGGTTCTGCTGATAGTTGGGTTCTTCATTCTCACCTTCAGCATATTTGTACCCATGTATTACCTGGTCTCCGTAGCAATTGGAGAGGGCATGGGTCGTAATTAAGCCGAGCACTTGGTTGCGATTCTCAACGCAGGCAGGTAAGATCACGACTTCCTTTGTGATCTTTGAGCCTTAGGCTTTACTGATAAGACAAATACGCAGTCTCTTTAGTTGCCTTAGTGCCGGAATCTTCGCCGACAAAATAGGGTCGTACAACATCTTCGTCGTCATCAGCTACATAGCTGGCATCGTGGTTCTCGCACTGTGGATACCCGCCATGAGTAATGCTGGGAACATAGTCTTTGACATTCTCTTCGGGTTTTCCACCGGTGCATACGTTGCTCTTGCCCCTGGCCTAGTTGTGAAACTCTCCTCCTTCGCTGAAATTGGATATCGAACCGGACTCCTTTTCCTCTTCGCGTCTATTGGAGGCTTAACCACCAATCCCATTGCGGGTGCCATTTGGCAACACTCCAATGGGTCATACACTGGCATTAAAGTCTTCTCAGGCGTGTTCTTGATTGTAGGGTCTACCCTGGTAGCGGGTGTGCGCCTGCATCAGACAGGCCTGAAATTAAAGGCCATTTTCTGAGACCTCTCTTGTATTGTCATTGCCATAAGCGTGTTATTATTTCGGTTTCTTACTGCGGATGCTATAGATGTAGAATGATAAACTCCACTCATTGCTATTTATGATACTGTCTTTCATTTCTCCACAGCAAGATCAAATTAACCGGGAACAGAGGGGGACACTTAAGTCTAAGTGACATAATAAAATAGTCTTATTGGAACAGTTGTATTTCTCAGTAATCCAGTCTGGGTATTGGCTATTCTATCTTACCGGAAAGCATAGCTGATCTGGCGTCGGAATGTCTTGCCAATCTGATATCATAAGCTCAGAGTACCCTGTACTACAGTGATCAATCCGTATCTCCGCACAACAAACCCATTGCGATCCGGCCTGCTGCATGGCCCTTCCTCATAGATTCACTGGCTACTAATACTCGAGCCCAGGTGGGGTAGTGTGCCACTCGGCCACTAGTCCGCTTCACCACCAAGAGAGGCTCCCACACACATACCTATACATCCAGTCTCCTCTCCTCTACCCAACTCACAGAATAGTACTATCTCAATCTTATCATAAAAGCACACCATGCCTGTCAACCACATTCCCCCAAAATCCTCCCGTCCTCGTCTACTGCAACGTCCTAATCAACGGAACCCTCGAGGGCTCGCTAGAGGCCATGAAAACAACCGAATAGAAGAAAGGTGACCACTGGAATATCTCAAAGGAGTCCGTCGCTCCGTCGCCCTACCCCGCAACTACCACTCTATCGCCCATCAAGTTTATACCGGCTTGCATGGAACTAGGCATATCTGCTTGGGAAGTCGCCGTTGGATCCTGAGAAGGATACCGACGGAAATCCGGTGGGAGTGAAGTTTGTCGCGAGGCAGGGTGATGTTTTTGCTTTTCCCGTATGATGTCCGTGATCTGGATAGAGGGTATGTGGCTCTGAGGGTTCTAGGCTGGTGTTATGCATTTCGTGACGGCAACGCGACAGCTCTCCTGCTTCAGCTCCAAAAACCTTCGGACCAAAGCAAGTTTCCTAACCAAGACAGGAATGGTTTATAGCTAAAATGGGTCAGGGTTTATTTGCATTCATGATGAAAGCGTGCATGTCCATGGATATGACTGCCAGAACTCTTGGATCCAATCATCCGGAGGCTGCCATTGACCACAACGTAGGCTTGGACCAGACTAACAGGTTGAACGCTGACGTTCTGTTCCTCGGCGTCAGCGACAGGCTTCGACATTACGTTATTCGTGGTATAAAGGGACAGTCCGCCACTGCCTGTGAGTACGTTCTCTTTTTATTACTTTGAGGAGACTGGTAGTGCTTCATGGATTGTTTCTTCTTTCGAGACCGGGTAGTGACTGTCGCGAACCGCTGTCCAACCAGCACACCGTCTTGTTCGCTCATCAGGGTCAATTTCAGCCCTAATATTACTACAGATTAAGTATGTCTACATAAAGAATCCAGAATATTCGAATATAATATGCCTTTCAGCTACACTCGCTCTACTGCCCCTCACGCTAATTAGCTTCTGAAGCACATGCGGTACTTTTTTCATTGACTAGTTACTGACACAGCAATTTAGAGTGATATCTATTGCTTCCCAAGGGTGTTTCCCAACTCTGCTGCACGAGACGTAGCCGCGTTGACTGCCTTATCGACAGTCTCCTTGAAGCCCAAGGACTCGAATGTTTGGAGGGCGGCATATGTGGTTCCGTTCGGGCTAGTAACATTCTTGCGCAGCTGAGTCGGGCTGTCTGACGACTCGGCAAGCATCTTACCAGCACCGAGACATGTCTGCGAAGCCAGCCGAGTCGCCTGCTCTTCTGACAGACCCAGAGCAGTGGCACTGGCAATCAGATGTTCCACCATGGCGAAAAAGTAGGCGGGTCCCGAACCTAATCTATGTTAACGCCCATTCATTCCCAGGCCGGTGATCACAGGGAGGGCTAGAACTTACCAGACAGCCCAGTAACGACGTCGAGCAATTCTTCCTTATCCACCCACTCGGTAGCCTTGCTGACGCTTCCAAGAACAGCATTGACGAGCTCCTTCTCTTCCGACGTCACATCCTTGCTAGCGAACAGACCAGAAGCGCCCTCCCCAACGAGAGCGGGGGTGTTGGGCATGACACGGACAACGTGTGCTGTACGTCCGTCGGTGGTCTTGAGCCATTGGGTCAAGCTATCAAGAGTGATTCCGGCAGCAATGCTGACGATAACGGGCAAGGTCGTACGCTGCGACCAGGCAGCTCCCAGTTCCTCACACACGCCCTTGGTAACCTGTGGCTTGACGGCAATGATGACCAGATCGGCGTCCTTTGCAGCCTCAACGTTGACAGTCGTGGTCTGCACTCCCAGGGCAGCCATCTTCTCCCGGTTAACGTCCCATGGCTCGGAAACCCAGATGTTCTGTTTTTGGACGCCCTGGTTCACCAGGCCTCCGATGATGGCGGAGGCCATGTTGCCACCGCCAATAAAGGAGAGCTTACTCTCTTGAAGGGAAGGCATTGTGAAGCGGAAAATATAGTAAGTTGGTAGACAATTGTTGACTAGAATTTCGAGATGATGCTTGATATAATCGTTAAATTTCCCCCACTGCACATGTTCAAAAAGGCGGGGCACTATCAGACCGCCAACCGAAATCGGCGCCATCTGCCATCCAATCGAGAAGGCGGTACCGGGACCCGGCCCGGGTTGCGGGGATCCAAAAGTGTCCCAAAATGGAAATATCATCCGTCCCTCACTATCTACGGAGTAGTATAGTATAGTACAATCCAGAAATAAGAAGGGCCTCAATTCTCCTCACGAGGTACTCCAGCATATCGCCACAGCTGTAGCCGCCAGTCACCACCTCCAGTTGCAATGATATTATCCGCTAGGTTCCAACCAACATCCAACACTAGATACGAGGATTGAGAATTCAACACATTGAGTATCTAACTCACTTTGTTGAGAAGATATAGTTACCTGAGTTTCGATGGACTTGTAGTCTTAATTGAGCAACACCGATACTAGTGTCCCATATATATATTGACCGATCTTTTGAGCCACTCAAGACCCACCTGCCGCTGGGATCAGGGCACGCGCTCAAAAGCATATCCTAGAATCAGAGCTTTAGTTCTTTTCGGCAATAAGCTGCTTCAATAATGCTTGGGTGCAAACCTGGTGGCCTCTAAAAATCTGAAGGGGTCCATCGCATGTTATATCTTCGCCGCCGAACCAATATTCCACATCTTGGCGGTTCCATCCATACTGCTGGAGATAAGATGTTGGCCGTCTGGCGCAAAAGAAATGGAGAGGACAGTGTCATCGTGACCCTCTAACTCCAGCAGCTCCTTCGTTAACCCTGTTTTCGCGCTCCAAACACAAATTGAGCCATTCGTGCACCTCGCAGCGATATGCTCGGTGTTGGGAGATATCGCAACCTTGTAAACGTCATTTGTTGCCAGTAATGTATATTGTGGCTCGGCATCAGGAAGTTGTCCAATGTTCCAAACGCTGACTTTTGTCCGCTTGAGAAAACGCGATGAAGCGGCCATCGGATGACATATCCAACGAGCAACGCGTATTCCCATCTCCATAAGAGACACACCGAAGAAGCTTGCCTGTATCCTCCCAAACCTGCGCGAGCATTAGTGCCTGTCGCGTCTATCCGAGAATGTGAGAAGACCCACTCGAAGGTAGCCATCAAAATGAGCAGTAATTAAGAATTCATTGCCAGTTGAGAACCTCACGCTGGTCACACAAGCATTATACCTATCCTTCTCTTCATCATCCATAGTGGCCACCTCAATCCCACTGGAGACATCGAATATCCGCGCAACGCCATTATCACCTCCAGTAGCGATATATTTACCATCGTGGCTGAACTGGATACAGTAGACAGCACCATCATGTCTCAAGTCATGAACGCGATCTATATCCCAGGCAAGTGGTATCTCAGGGTTAATCACTGAGGCCCAGTCTCCACCTTCCTTTTTCTGTGATGGAGCCAGCTCGTCAAAGGTGAGATCTGCAAGTTGACTCCAAGCCCTGGAGGATACGAGAGGTACGGAACAGGAGGCTTCATCAGTAGAGGGTGTGTCGGAGCAGAATGAGTATCATCCACGGAAAGAGTGAGTCCGCGTAATGGTAGGTTGATTTTCTGGTATACTTTGAAAAAGGCTTAACGCAATACTTATTAGAACCCACCTGGTAGGTCATTCAGGCGGCACCGTCTTGGCGGAGGTTTGCCTGATGACTGTTGTATAGCCTTTCCTTTCTCGCAACGACGAAACGCCGCAGATAAATCAATCCTAATTACATTGAATTTAAATAGCGAGGCTTTATTGAAGGGCTTCACTGATTGACTTCAATAGTTGCTTTTTATCCCATTTTAACGATCCCAGGAAAAGGATATAAAACTCCAATCTCCGGCATCTATTTTGAATATCCCCATTGCATCCGAAATTATCCAACTTTGGAACAATGGATTCAACCTTTGATGTCTCCGAGCATTGGGAATTCTACCTCCCCGAGTTTACTCTACCGCTAGACTTCATACCTTTCGGTGGAAGACAGCTATTTGACTATAGCAAACCCAGCCCTCAAGTCGTCCGCAACCCTCAAGGTGCCAGAAAGCGATTGTTTCCTTCTGTATTAAACACAGAGGATATCCAAAAAGGTCACGCAGCGTACGAGTCCCTCTTTAATTCAGTGCTTATAGATGAACAAATGAGCAGCTCCTCACTGATAAAATTTACAGGCTACCGCTCACAACACGCCGTGAACTTGCCATGTTACACTTAATGAGATCACTGATAAGCCCCAGTGGGAGTTAAAGGTATGCGCTTTAGCTCTTGTATCTTGTCCATTGTTACTAATAGTGAACGCTCGCCAGGTGTTCGATGACGAGATTGTCGCCCGATGGCGTACCGAAGTGTCACAAAATACTACACTTGATATAAGCGAACAAATGTTCAACTATGTGATTGCTGAGGTGCGCCACAAAGCACTGATTTTCTCCGAAACAGGTGCCGTTACAGTATATCACGGAGATGTGGTTAGACCGATACTGCGGTCCCGAAATCTATCCAACTTCCTTTAGAGCGTGCTTTATGGAGTCTAGAAGCCATACTAGAGAAGGATTTCCATCCAGGCTCGGACGACAAGGTGGTCGATCTGCTCCACCCTTCGATGTTTCCTTTGGTTTATGGCCGCAGTCGTATCTTAATGGACTAGTTGGTGAATTTGGAAGAATGTTTGTCGAAAAGCGGACAGGGGGAAGTACTTCCGATCCCACCAAGCAGTGGTGTATTAAACAGAGAGACGTCCTTGCTTGGAGGCCGCATTCACAAGCCGTACAGTCAGAAATTCCAATGGCTGCCGTGCAATGTGAAGCTTCTGGATGGTTCTGGTTGCAAGGTTACAAGCTACATCAATAATCTTCATCCTCGGATGCTCGAGTGTTTATATTCCACTATTGAAGGGTTAATTGATTGTGCTATCCCACTTTGGAATATGACTCTCGGTCCCCTGGGTAGAAAGCACCGCTACCAGGCTATCGACCTTCGTATAGAATATACCAAGGCTCTTTACGAACCTACTCCGGAAGACTTGAGGCCTGAAAGAGAGCCAAATGAGGATGAAGAAGATTACCGGGACCGGGTCTCGATATGGGAGAAGAGTATGCGAGCTGTGCAACAACCGGAGCCGAAGACCTTTTCTCCAAAAGATATCCGTTGTCTTGATCTTCGAAAGGATTACAAAGATAAAGGATTGCAGGTCATCGTGAGGATTACTAGCATCGAACTGACGCCAGAGAAGCCTACTTATGAAGGAGGTTCATGGCATGTGGAAGATCAAATGGTAAGCCAGAAGTGACCACAGCCAGTGCGATGCCGCCAGCTAAACAAGGAACAGAATGAACATATCTGCGCGACGGCTCTATATTATTTTAGTAGCTATAATATTACCGATAGCCGGCTCGCCTTTCGACAAGAAAGCGATATGAAGAGGGCGACATAGGATACGAGCAAGACCATATTGAGTGGTTGGTGGACATTTTTGGCTGCGAGCAAAACGGCCCCCTGCTCCAGGAGGTATAAAATTATTGCTCTCTTACTTGTTTATCCAAATATACAGATTATCTCTACGGAGAATATACCACCTCAGAGAGAAGATTGGCTGCATAAAATGGATAGCAGCAGAACCTTGGAGCTTCATAATAATGTTTTTAATATAGGCGAAGCAAAAGAATGGCGCGCGGAATTAATGGAGGAGAGGAAGGCTTTCATTGACGAGCACAACTCGGCACTTGCTCAAGAAACGTTCTCACTCTGTGAACACTGAGAATCATAATGGTTCCAAGGTCATATATATGCTTTATCTTTGATGTAATCACATATGAAGCCGACTACAACTAAGAATGGAGAATGGGATATGTGAACCACAGTCTATCCCGTTTGGGTAACATTATATCGCTCAGGGCTCATCCAAGTAAACTACAGTCTATGGAAAATGGAAAGAAAAGAGGGTACTCCGTTTTCATCCAGGGTATAGTCAGGCAGCGTGACCTGACAAAACTATCCGCGTCCGGCAATGGCCACGCGAAGCTATTTAAATGAAGAGACTTTGCACCATTCATCAACTGCTCAGAAGAGTGCTGGATATATGTGGTAGGCCTCGATGTGACTAAATCCCTGCCATATATAGCTAAATAAAAAACAATTTCTCCAAGAACTGGCCGGCTGGCCCAATGGTAAGGCGCTTGACTACGGATCAAGAGATTGCAGGTTCGAATCCTGCGTCGGTCATCCTTTTGCTTTTTTCTGAATCTCGTCTTCTCTTAACCTGAATTCTTCTTTTTTCTGCCTCATCTTTTCAAATCGTTAATTAGAAAGTCGTGTCAGAAGGTGCTCTTCATTCGGATTTCACTACAGCATCTGTGAGTACTACTAATCATCCATCCGGCATGAATTGTTTTGTTTTTGGATATTTTGAGAGGTATTATATATAATTGTACTACTACTTTCTAATCTTTAACCTACTAGTACCTTTCCGGTAAATTGCGCCCCAGTAATCCAATTAGAGTCAGTAGTCTGTCACTATTTGGCATATAATTATTCGCCGGAAACTAGACAACGGACAACTTTACAGGTCCTTATATTGTGAAATCCATGATTCATGACTCAAGATGGTTGTTATCTTATCGCTTATCGCGTGATCGATCAAGCCCCCAGCCTCCTGGATAAACAAGAGCTCAGCTTCTCCGCAATCGGACTCAGCTCGACTCACTCTTTTCCTTGATTGAACCTTCGATTTGACCCCAAGTATACGCCGCTATGCGTCTGCAGCTTTCAGAGGTAGTGATCGCTACCTTACTTCTCGGCGAAGTGGGCTCTGTCCAACTTCCCCTGTTACAGTCCCAGGTTCCCATAACCGCGGACAAGGAGCTAGTCAGCTCCTCAGCCCTGCAAAGTGGTGTCAAAGCCGAAAACCTCCTCAAGAGAGCCAAAGAACTGTTTAAAATCGCGGAACTCGGGGAAGAGGAGTACAACCACCCGACTCGTGTCATTGGAAGCGAAGGTAGGTTCCTGATTCATCTTCCTTTATTAACAATCGTTGATCCGGCGATATCCTAGGTCACCTCGGGACCATCGACTACATCTACTCCGCTCTCGCCAAGTTGGGCGATTACTACACCATCACCAATCAATCCTTCCCTGCCGTGACGGGCAATGTGTTTGAGTCCCGTCTCGTCCTCGGTCATGATGTACCCAAATCGGCGACTCCCATGGGCTTGACGCCGCCGACCAAGAACAATGAGCCCGTTCACGCGCCAGTGGTCGCGGTTTCTAACTTCGGATGTGACGCGTCTGATTTCCCGTCTGACGTGTCTGGAGCTATCGCGTTCATTAGCCGTGGCACCTGTCCGTTTGGTACGAAGTCGGACCTGGCCGGAAAAGCTGGCGCGGTCGCGGCCGTGGTGTATAACAACGAACCGGGCAGTCTTAGTGGCACACTGGGTAACCCAACCCCCGACCATGTGGCCACCTGGGGTCTTTCGGATGAGGATGCCACACCGGTCCTGGAGAAACTGAAGAAGGGCAAGGAGGTCGATGGTAGTGCGTACATGGACGCGATTGTCGAGACCATTCAGACGACCAACATTATTGCTCAGACAACAGATGGCGATCAGGAAAACTGCGTGATGCTTGGTGGCCACAGTGACAGCGTCGCTGAGGGACCGGGCATTAACGATGACGGCTCCGGTAGCTTGACTCTCCTGGAGCTTGCCACCCTCCTGACCCAGTACCGGGTTAACAACTGCGTGCGCTTCGCCTGGTGGGCAGGTGAAGAGGAAGGTCTCCTTGGATCGGATTACTATGTGTCCGTTTTGACACCCGAGGAGAACCTGAAGATCCGGCTCTTCATGGACTATGATATGCTCGGGTCGCCGAACTTTGCCTACCAGGTTTACAATGCTACGAACGCGGTTAACCCGGTCGGATCGGAGGAGCTGCGCGATCTCTACGTCGACTTTTATGATTCTCATGACCTGAACCACACTTTTATCCCGTTTGATGGTCGCAGTGACTACGACGCGTTCATCAAGCACGGTATTCCAGGAGGTGGTATTGCCACTGGAGCTGAGGGTATCAAGGCGCCCGAGGAGCAGGAGATGTTCGGCGGTGTGGCCGGCGAGTGGTATGACCCGTGCTATCACCAGCTCTGTGATGGCGTGGCCAATGTGAATTTGACTGCATGGGAGTGGAACACTAAGGTAAGAACATACCGCTGTGAAGGTCCTCATGACCCTATTTGGTATCTCACTAACCCGAACTTCCACCATAGCTTGTCGCCCACTCGGTCGCCACCTACGCAAGATCATTCGACGGTTTTCCCAACCGGACGAAAGAGTCAATCACTGCTTTCGCTTCGGAGGGCACTAAGTACCATGGACCTCGGCTGGTGCTGTAATTTCTAGACCCGTTCGTGGCGTTGACTAGGACCCGTTAGAATAGATCGTATAATTGGCGTTTGCCGTAATGATAATCTGCTGTGGGCTTTTAAGCAGATTTGTTTGAGTTTCGGGGTTAGACCATCACTGTTAACACATTGATAGGGTTAGTTATTAATATGAACTTCATTTGCATAGTAATTTACTTTCCTATGGTTCTTTTGCGACAAGTAAATTTCCCAAGCTCACGTCTTCTCTGGGTAGATGGTTGCTCTCTAGGCAGTATGTAAGGTATAGTAGACAAGAGCAGTCGTATGCCCGGGAAATGTGCATGTACCGAATTTTCTAGATAGCACAAAAGCTTTCGCCCATCACTGTCTGCTTTCACTCCAGGGCTGTCTGTTACAATATCTTGATGAGGCTTCTTTCTCAGCGAGGATACTGGCACACAAGGCACGAAATCGCACCAGAGCTAAAAGCTATTTCTCAGCTAACACTTAAGTTCGTGACCCCCTAGGAAGAATGGGGACACCAATTGGTTGCTTTGGTAGCCACAAACCAAAGTGCAGTAGATTAGGTCCAAGCGGTGGAGGAAACATAATCACTGTATCATTGTATGATTGGTATGATTGCACTCTCGCATTATCCTGCTTCTATGTAGAGCGAAGACCCATTATGCAGACAGACCTTTCGCTTTTTACTACAAAAATTTTCAATTTGTCTGGATTGGCATCACCCACGACGTCATCAAACCCTCTCTCCATATTTGAAAGCAACGAAAGTTGGCATAGCCCTAATTCCTGCTTCCCGGACAACTTCAAGGTTATCAACGTCAACCTTGGAGAAGTGTATGCCAATATACTCGTCACGGTAGCTAAGAGCTTCAAAGTCTGCGGAAACGAATCTCTATGGGCTATACTATGTCGCCCAAAACTCAGTAACCACCGGTTTACCGCTGTGTATCTGAGACCTAAAGCCTGCATGGATGGGAAGGGAAAGACCATGCTAGAAACAGGGTGTATATTTTGATCTAGATAAATGTCACCTTGTGATAGCTTGGACACTCCTATTAGAAAGTAAACAAGATAGTCCCTTGATTGTGCTAGATTTTAGAAGAAGGCAGAGGTTCTCTAAAGTGAGTAATCAATGTTGGACCAGAATGTAAGACAGAGAATGGTTGGAGGAGAAAGGATAGTGAAGGAGACGTAAAACATGATATTTCACGTATTATAGTATCTGCCCTGCTTGCTACGTTACAAAAACACACATCGTATATCACCTAAAGTCTGCTACGTAGACTATAAGAGGTGATGGAAAATTTTCAATATTCATTGGAGAGCCTTACTTATAATATATCTTTTCCGAGTTAGAAATTAAATAGATTAAGACTACCTTCCTACTTACACTGACAAGTTCACTACGGGGTAGTTTCACAGGTGACAAAAATGAAGCGAGAGGAAGAGAGATTAGGCTATATGAGCCTAAGTGACCTGCTCTGGAACGAGGAGCGAGTGAGGTTTTATACCGGTCGCAAAACTATGCTCCATTGTTAACTCTCGCCGAGTACGTTACCCTGACTAAAGCGAGGAAAGCTACAGTCGTTCTATAGATGCATAGATCCACTAGGGAACCATAGTCTGCAGTCCTGATAGCTCCTGGCCATTAATAATGTAAATTCTGCGAACACAACATTTTCCTAGCGATAGCTCGTCAAGATACTTTCTTTCTTACTGAGCTGTCTGCCCTCCCAAATATCACGAACACTATCCGAGAACTGCTGCTCGTTCAACCCATCATTTGTGTAGATAACTGTGAGGTCTTTTAATTTCGGACAATGTGATTCTATCTGCACCACATGGTCTTCGGGTGTCCTGGAAAGGAGTCAGAATCAGCGAAAAGAGGGAGTAAAATTGGCCAACTCCTTACCTAAGTTTCTCCGGTTTTGGTGCTTTCTTACCGGTGGGATCGATCATCAAACTGGTGAAATTACTGATACAAAGAGATTGGAGCTTCAGAAATAGTGGAGCCTGGTAAGATCCGAGCTGCAACATATTGAATGAACCCATAAGATGGCAGCGCTCGAGTGACGGGCAAGATTGACCCAGGGCGGCTAAAGTTGTCGAAGTCAAGGAGAGCTTGTACATCTCTAGTCCTAAGACTCGAAGGTTGGGTAGATTTTCCAGCAAGCTCTCCAGATCAACATCTCTATATCCTGCTGCGGTGAGAGATGTTGAATCTGAACCTCTAAGCCATAGCTCGGTCAAGTGCTTTAGGCTCTTCAGGAATGAAAGGTCCTCTTTCTCGAAAGCCATAGCGCCCCCAACATGGACGTGTAGGCGGCGCAATTGGGTTAACTTTGAGAGGTGGTTAAGAAGCTTGGTGTCGATACTGGGAACCCGAGCTCTAGCCTTTGCCTTTAGGTCCAAATGGAGATCGTGGATGGATGCCAGCTTGGAGACCAAGGATGGGAGTGCATCCTCAACAACTGTAATGGTCAACCTTCGAAGCGATCGGAAAGGCTCTGGAGAGTTGATGCCTTCCACCAGGCGTGTCTTGATGGTAAAACCGAAGGAAATTCCTGCCAGATTATCTCGATCGGCCAAGTGATCAAGAAAGTCACGGTTAACTAGAGATTCTGCAATGCTTCCGTCAAGAGAGACTTCGGTAATGGATGGGGTATTGCGGAGAAAATTGAGAAACTTGTCTGCCCCAAGACGAAGTGCCGGGAAGCTGATCGCGATTTTCTGCAGCTGATGACAATGCTCCTGGAGATGATCCAATAGCTCCGGGTCGAAGTCTCCTCCGAACTCAATTGTTTGAAGCCCCGAATGCATGTACCTTTTGAGTACAGAGATGCCTGTCTTGGCGGATGGCTCGGCATCAATACTCAGATGCTTTAGTCGGGGAAATGTTAGATGGCTAAACTCCTCTAGCTGTTCCTTAGATGTCTCTGAAAGGTAGAGCCTCCCAATGGCAGCAGAATAGAGGCCTCGCCGAGCCTTTGGTATGTAGGAGAGGTGGAACCAGAATGCTTCTCGCCATATGAGACAAATACCACAATGGAACCACCGACTGTTCACCCGGATACATGGTGAAACCTTGGATTGTAGGTAGCTCAAGATTTTGATCAAGATCTCATTCGGAAGCCGGTCCATGGTGAGAGTTCTAGACGTCTGGCCCGGTTTGCGAAGATACACCAGAGGCTTGAGGAGCATATAGCGGCTGCCGATCAGGCAGCAACGACTTCGAAATATCTGCCTGAGGCAGTGAAAGCCTAAGGTATGATCACGTGCCACCGCATCTTGCTATCGTGCAACACCCAAAGGTGCTCTGAAGCTGCCAATGATAGTAATATATGGATAGAAAGGGTTGAAGATGCTTCAATGTCTGACACGATCAATATATGTTGTGGGGAAAGCTGTGGAAGGAGTGGAGGTAGTGGGATTGACGAAGTGGATTAACGACAACAAAAGTACTGTAGCAGGACGTGCCAGGTTATTTATTCACCGGCCGCGTCACAAACTTGATAGCAAAAAACCAAACGCGACAACCCACCTGATATCCTGCTTGGGAAGGCGAAAACCGTAAACCGAGTGTTTTTTGTTAAGAAAAGGGGAAGATATACTTGAGACGGAGACCTAATGACGGAGACACATGCCTGTGGGGGAACGTCCCAGCGTTGGATTTACTATAGTTAAAAGATAACGATGGCGACAGTTCTAACAGAGATCTCTCCTCCTGGCAGGTATGATCTATTTAGATACGAAGTGGTTGTTCGTTGCGCTAATAGAGCCAAGCCTCTGGAGACTTGAGAAACTTGATCAGGAAGATGACCTGTCCTCCCTGACAGATATAGAGGCCGTATCTAAATTGACATAAATGATCTGAATGAAGCGGTTGTAGCACGAAACGTCTTAATCCTTCTGGTAGCGCTCCATCTACCCCCTGAAACTGTGAGTGTGACAGTCTTACATCTATGGTACTTAGCCTTACTATCAGAGCCCCTCCTGCAATCTATTCAGACCGGGATATTGCCAAAGATAAAGGAGTTCCTAGCCTCGAAGCCAGCAGGGTCCGCAAGAACCATAAAGAAAAGTTGGTCGCACGGGAGCAGTGTGCTAACGGCGGCGCTTACAAGAGAGGTGCGGGATAATATCCTGGGTGGCGAAGCATTCAAAGATCGAATTGAAGTTAGATACCAGCATTGCCTTTTACGTCGCAGTGAACAAGTCTCAACTGACATTCCTTTCTAGGTTGCAAACATCGCCGATTCAGGAAACGAAAGGCCAAATATCACTCTTCTTTCTGTCGGACCACTGCTCAAATCTCAGTATGACAATCTAAATGCTACACTTATTATGCTGTTCCTCAATGCTACCCGAGATGTCTGTACTGCCGAAGATCAACTCGCATCCATACCTCGAGCAGTGCAAATGATAGAGATGTTTATGCCACTCGACGCCGAAAGGGCCCGCGGTCAGGATAAATCCAATGCCGACACCGTAAATTGTATAAGTGCTATGAATATTTTCATGGACAATGATGCCCTCTTTAGCAGGCTCGTTGAGCGTAGCCGTCTCAAAGAAACGGGTCACACGCTTGTCTGGGAATGAAGGCTAAACATACCATCATTGCGAAATGGCCTCTTGGGTTTGAGTAATAATCCTACACAGCTTGAGTTTCGAATGTTGTTGTGGTCCGGAAATTTCAGATGAAAAAGATATGTGAAGGGGGTAGGTATCGTATCTTGTGAGTGCTGGGCATGCGGACACAATCATGAACTATCACTGGAATACAAAGAGGTCGGGAAGTATATAGCAATAGGTGGCAGTGGTAAGCAGAGAACCGTCATGAAGCTTAGTCTAAATAAATTCATTCCTGCATTTTGCTTGCATAGTACGTAGAGAGGCTTCGCATGCCTGCCATTCAACAAAGAGTTCATGTCACGCCTCTCTCTCAAGCCGTTTTACTTTTCTACCAATAGCCTCATGATATTATAGTACCCATCAGCTACCCAACCGATCCACTATCTCAATGGCACTGAATAGAGTGTTCATTAGCTAAACCAGGACCCAAACACGGAAGTGCCAGACGAAGGATATATACTAGCTCCTGGACTAGACTTACCACATTGTTCTTGCACTTCATAGAGCCACAGCAGAGAAAGGTACCACCATTGCAATACTTGCCCTTCGGCGAGCATCCAGCCCGCGCGTCAAGATGGTTATCGGGCTCAGCCACCGGGTTGGCAGTGGCCATCGCGGCGACAGCTAGAACGAGGATGGTTTGGAGGAACTTCATGATGAATAGGATTGTTATTGGAATGAGATATCTATCGAGACTTGAGATTCTTCTTAGGTACTTGAGGCCGTTCTAAAAACATGGCTTTTTATGCGTTTTCTTCAGCTTATATAGACAAGCAGCGTCTGGAACCTCGGATCCCACCCCGTAAATCCCTTCCTGTCGTAGTCAAAGTCCGCATTACCTCAGATTTGGGCTGCTGAATTGCTGACATGGTTTATTGGTTGGAACATGCAAGGGGCGCCTGATTAACCTGCGGTCTTTATGCAGTCATCTCTCGACGAGGAAATACGCAGCGCCGGATACCTTGGAGACAGGTTATTTCCCCAGTTTTACAATTTTAGTACGTAAACAACGCACGATCTGTAGATAACCAACCATATTGTACTTTAACGTTAGCGTTAAGGTCTCGCCCGTTTGGCCAAGGATTATATCTCCACTCCAAGAAGTCAGGCCATGATAGTGCTTGGAAATCCGACTAAAGCCGGATTAGGCACGGAGTGTTTAACCAATAAGCTCGGATAAAAGAATCATTGTGGACAACGTGCATGAGGGTGAGTGAATTCTGCAAGATCATACAAGCCAATTGGTTATGTTTTGGAGGTCCAACGTCGCGGGAGAAATGTGGGGAAGGACTAAGAATACGAGGAGGCTTAAGTAGTGTATTAACAAAACAGTTAAGGACTGAATGGAAACATGACAGTTTCTGCGAACTGAGTGATAGTTCTCTCTCTTGGGGCTAAGCGTGCTGTTATCCAACCTGCTGTTGACCTAGACTTTAGAAGCTAAGCCCAAATTAGATGGCATAAGTTGGAGCTCCGTGAGAGGCATCAGCTTATATTAGGCTATCCCGATGGATCCACGTCATTGGTTTCATTTCTGCAGTGCTTAGCCATGCTTCATATAGCTTCTAACTTAGGAAATTGCTAGATCAGATGACTAGTGACCGTATGATCTTACTACAGAATATTGCGAGCACAACATTTGATTGATTTGTGGCATGCATCGGTTTTCATAATAGGGAAATTGGTGTATAGGATTGAGATATTAGCCCAGAGGATAAGAAGTGATATAGGAAGGAATAGAAGAGCGTTCTCTCTATTATGCGAATAGACAGATTAACCTAGTTAAGGCTAACGAAAAGAAGGGATGACTGATTAGGAAGAGAACATGGAAGACTGGGCTTTAGTGGAGGACCGAGTTTGAGGCAATATCAGCTCCTGACCCATACTGTAGCAGGTCCAGGATTTTATACTGATGGGCATGGTGCTGCGGAAGAAAAATACATATTGACTGGCATTCAACGCTGGCTTGAAATCGAAGCCACCACACCACGTTGCGCGCTTTCACAAACCGGAGAGATAGGAGCAGTAATGCCTCGGGGTCTCTAGCGTGCAATAACAATTTGAACGGTTGTTCCATTCGACAAGCAAAGGCCAGAACCTTTGCCCTCGATAGTTTACCAGAACGCTGATCTAGTACTGGGGCAAGCGTATACAGCGGTAAAGTATGGGTTGTTATGTTGGAGGGGGGAGGACGGGGTTAAATAGCATAGTCGCGCAAGCGCTGGCGGTACTCTGCCGATATCTGTATATAACAGGGCATCATATATCTGCACATACTCTTCGGTCATGTCCCAGAAGCGACTGTCTGGGCGCAGATGATCAGCGAGTCTGCAGACCTCCATTTTGCCTTCGGCCATACGCAACCATTCCAAGTCCAACGAGTCCGACGGCTTGAGTGGCCAGACTTCTCCGGGGGTTATCGCAGGGACACTGCCTGCTGCGATGATATCCAGAAAGGTCGACGTCATCCAAAATATATCACGATCTTCCACTTGTAGAGACCGCGACTCCTTCGAACTGAGTAATGCCGCACATCGGGAGACATGGTAACTTTCAAATGTGCTAGGGTGGTTCGAAGCCGGTGTGCCTCGGTAGCGGCGATGCATCGCGGCAATGACCAAGACTACATGCATAAGATAGGGGTCCCAAGCACAGACTTTGAGATTTCAGCCATTCACTGATATACTCCCTTGATTTTAGGCTACCAGCCTCCACTTACTGCGCACGCTAGTCGCAACACCCCTTCTGACGGACGGTGGAAATCGTCTGGAGTGTCCTTGATTGCTCGAAAGTCATCAGATGGGCCCTGCATTCCCGGCTCAACTCTAGCGTCGTCACGGCGTCGGTGCTGATCACAGTTGGGTCTTCGATCTCGCGAGGCTTTTGAAGGTCCGGCGCATCGGAGCCATAGTTGCACATAACTTCATAAGTACTACAACGCTGACACTCCGGCTGGACTTCGTCGCCCTGGCAATTTGGATCTGATGAGATGCATATCGCACCAGGGGCAGTATAGGCCACCTACTTTTGCCCGGCGCAGTTTGCAGTTCCGACCGCCATTTCATGGCTTCCTATGTGCTTTGCGAAGCCGGAGCTTGGGTAACGCGAGCCCTTCTTTCCTTGATCTCGCAGCCTATTTTTTCAATGTTTTCGTTGATCGTTGAGAATGTAAGGATGAGCAGGACATGCAGACATGCAACGTTTGTTATCCCTCGAGCGATTTGGGGACCAAACAGAGCACGAATCAAAATTAGTGCTGGCTATGGACAAGGCACTAACCTTCCCTCGTATAACCTTGGCTCTCACTCAATCATATCTAATCCAGCGCTAAAACGCTCTACTGGACTGAATAAAGTAAATTATTAATGTAGTATTTATACCCATGGTATTCAACCCCACGTTCCACTTAGAGAATTTATTGAATGATATTCACTATTGTATACTGTACAATATTGTTCAGATTGATGGGCCAGGTTACAAAGGGTAGATCGTGGGTTTCTGGTGGGGTTATAACAAACGTCCTTTCACAAATATGTATCTTTCAATCTTATAAAAGCCCTGATACAATAAATGATCTCTCTCTGGTATCATATCCTTAACCACAGTTTTGGCTCCGGAACCAACTATTTTCTACATGGTGTATATGTAGGTATTAACGAATCTTACCATAGAAGGCCTCTAGAGAGTCTAGGTGGGGCAAGGGTACAATTTCTATAAAATGTCGCACAGCTCTAATAATGCTTCTTAAACAGAGCTACTAGATTGTCTGTAGGCTCGCTGCCTATTTAGCTAGACAGTTTGCTGCATCAAGCTGGCTACCAGCTCAAGTCTAGCTATCAAGCTCTAGATAGTGTCGTCATTAAAGATTCTGTAGATGCTGCTATATCTATACCACTAGAGGCACATGACGACTCATAAAAGACAAATTATCCACGTTAAGAACCACCTTACCATGTGCTGGAAGGTCCTTTGGAGGTTTTAAGAAAGCAACAACTAGCAAGATAAGCAAGAAGATAGAGTGGAGATATATTCAATATGTAGATTCTATTCTACGAGGAACTGGTAACCTAACATTGCTTCAGTGGATTGAAAAGACCTTAACAGAAAAACAGGAAACCAACGACATTAAAAAAGAAGACAAGGCCAAACCAACTATACTGAAGATAATTATTTAGGCACTGTTTCTTCGCTATAGACTCGCGACTGCCCTGTCTTTCTCTATTGCCTTCTCAAAGTGCCCATTCTACTCGAACTGCAAGTATGTCTCTTTATAGGAACAAGAATCGGGGCTTTTATTCTTCCTTTAACGATAATAACGGTTAGCAGGCGGCCGTTAAAGAGCCTTGCTAACCAACAACTGTCTCTGCATCTCGTGAATCGACTCCCACAGCCGCTGACTTAGCTCTTTGGTCTAAAAATGCCAAAGACTGACATCTAACTTCCCAAGTAATTCGAGCCGTGGCCCTTACCATGCTAGTCCTAGTCCCGCGCACTCCCGAGATAGGTGGCGCATTTCTCCGTCCGAACCATCCACCCATCTCTTCTGATGTCTCCACCGATCTTCTCAACCGCTCTGCAACTGGTAGTAGATGTATACTACTGCTGACACTACCCTCGTGCTTGTACCTTATTATTTTCGATATCATTTCTTATCCCAAGACACCTGACGGAGGTCTATTCTCTGTTCCTCCCCGCCGACTGAGAAATTTGCAAATCGCAAATCTCCTAGGTCCAATAGAAATGCCCCCTTAGCACTAAGGTATCCGATATCTTCTTCAATAACCTTTCAGGCGATCCCTCTGACAGCAGTGACAGCTCTGGGAATGAGCCTGACGATGACTCGTTTGAGGATGGTGAAGAAGAGTAGTTTTCACTAGAGTACTTCCAGAAGACATAAATTCTTATCCTCGTGGCATTGCAGTCAGAAATGTGGCAGGAACAGACCATAGACTGCGGGAATCAAATAAAAGAGCGCACTGGAGACGTCCTGGAAATGGTTGCATCTAATCTCTAAGGTGGAGGATAGGAGCAGTCTCAGTTGCAAGACTATTCTTAAAATTAAGACGTGTAGGTAAACAGGTTCTAAATTAAAGCCCTAAGAGTCCTAAACCCTGACCAATGATCTCAGGTGTCAGTGATTATTACAAAGGTGGAGCAGCTTCACCTTAGACACAAACCTAAGGCGACTCTATATATAAAAGACATCGCAGAGCTCGCCCACAGCGGTTATGGTGAGGCTAATCCACTCTAGATAGGCCTCCTAGATAGTCTGGATAAGGATCAAAATCTGGACGTTTGGATATTGTTTCATACGAATATATTACCAGGTATTCTACATATATGGACAACTAAAATAACATTTCTATATAGCTGGCACTGGATCCAGCTGCTCCACTTCCGCCAGCCTAGTCAACAGAGCTCCAGTGCTTCATTCTATAATTAATAAAAAAATCATAGTAAGTTCGTTGAAGTCGTATATTGTGGTTTGGATTAAAAACAGAGCATATCAACCTATAGCAAGCAGGCCGTCCTTTACGTCAGTACGGCTGAGTCCACTCAGTGATTCTTCAACCCAAGCTCCTAACAGTTTCCATGAATGCCCGTCGACGACTAATGACCAGCTCATTTTCTGCCACAGACTTCCTACGCCATGCTTTGTAAATAGAGCGGCACCAACCTTACTTTTACAAACATGCATTCCTCACCCTGTTTTCGATCTCTTCCCATTGTAGTCCCGACTCAGCGAGAGCAAGGGTAAGATACTGCATGGGCTTTGTGTACGGTACACCTCGACCGATAGGATGCGTAACGACATGTCCCTTCACCATATAACGAAATGTTCTCCTCTCGCGGTCGTCTTTGATTTCTCTGTCTTCCGCAGTGTACCAGTTAGCCACCTTCCACTCGTAAATGTCTACATCGAAGATCGAGGGAAAGTCGAGTCTCATTTGGGCTCGGAGATATTCTGCCTCGTGCATTTGCCCAAGCCTGGAGGTCACATAGTCGAATGTGAGACTGATTTGGTCTTCTGATAAATTATAATCCCCGCGGAGGATACCCCTGAGTCGGTTGTGCAGTGCTATATTAGGTCCAGCATTGTCAAAGCCTGGTTTGGCGGCAAAGTACTCTCTGGCAAGAAATTCTAGCCTTCGATATCGAGCATTTCCAGATTTGGAAATCAAGGCCGTTTCCGCATCCCCTTGGTTGGGGGCGGTAGGTGGGGATTTTTCGAAGGACCTCCCATCGATCCCTATACGAGGAAAAGGGAAGCCCAAGACGTCGCTGGTAGTTCATCTCCCATTCGTCGTTTTGCGCGCTGAAATACATTTGCTGCTCTTGTCCAAGATAATGCATGTCATTCACAGTTTGGAATATTGAATCGCTAAGTGCGGCATAGGTGGGATGTAATGTTGCTTCTTCCGCGGCTTCTTCCGCGTCAATCAGGCATTGTAAAATGACAGAGGCGGCGAGACCGCCGCTTGCACGGTCTATGCTTTTGCTAATGGGCCAAAAATAGGATAAATCTTTGTCGCTCGCTGCAGTAATGCCTGTCACATTTAAGGGTCGCTGAGATCCGGGAGATAAGCCAGCCTCCAGAGAAGCAAGATGTTATCAAAAGAGTCACTGCCAAATCTTTAGGAAGCAGCCTGCTTAGATTTCCCGTGGTGAGCGTTGGGGGGCCTTTATGAGGGCCCTCGACACCACCAATAAACACTGACAAGTCCTCATCTCCATGGCCGAAGATTAAAATACATAACTGTTCACTCTCGCGCTGTGCTATCTCGGCCTGTTCTTTAACTGTGTTTAGGGACCTCTCCAAAAGGTCCTCCCGAGGCACAACACGCAGGTTGTTGACGAGGGACATGTCAGGCAACATATATTTATCTAAGACAATTCGCTGCTCCCCCTGGGAGTTGCCATGTGCGTACTCGGTGCATTTTTTAACGAGATCGTCCGGGAGTTCCGACGTCAGCCAGGTTTGATTAGTGCGTTGTGGGTCTAGAAAGTGTTGGCCAGTCGAACTTCATATAACTACTCTCACAAAAGGACGTAGACATACCACGAGGAGATAGGAGATGGCGGAAAAGGTAAAAGTCAGAGAAGCATCAGCCATCGTGCCGGGGACTGGCATTATCGCCCGAATCCGTAACCCCATAAACCAAAATGAGACGGCTTCTTGGGGGAAGATCTGGGGGGCAGTGGATAAGGAATTCCATCCCTGCCAGGTCTGCTGCTGTTCCTGTTACACGGCCAACAGCATTGAAGCCTGAGATACTATCGGGGCGGATTTTGTTGCTCATGATGAAGATGAAATCCGCGCAAGTAGATGGCCTTTGTTGATGACACCCAGTTCAAGCTTGATAGGTTCGGTTTGTGGATCAGAAAAACGGAGGAATTCGCATCAACGACGTGTGTAGATTGTACAGCCCATTCTCTAGGCAGCGGACAGTTGTATGGTGGTGATTAAATGGGTATACGCAGCAGAATGGCCGTTTCCGCCCTCACCGTGTCCTCGTATACTAGATATAAAATACAGGAGATAGAGGGGCCTCCGATATGAACAAGATGATAAATTCCAGGTTTCTTGCTTACAGATATACAACTTCTGACCATCTACAGTATACTGAGCTGGCACTGTTCTATAGTCCGAACTTAAATAAATTCTAAAGTGGTAGGTTGGCAGATCAACCAACAATAGTTAAAGAGCGGAAACCTAAACTATACAATATAAGTATATCTATTATAATGCATATAGGCCTATCGCTGTATGTCACTCTTCGTTATTGACTAGCTCATTGGATTCTCTATTGGAACTCAAGATAACAGCAGGCTGTAGTTTGTATTCGGCATACTGCTTCTTGTTATTGCAATTGTACGAACTAAACTATCTCTAGTATCGAGCCACTGCATGACCTGGCCTAATATAATCTTCGTACCAGCCGACTATCGAAAATTCCCCAGCGCTGAAAGGTAGAGCATCTAAAGGCAGGTCATGACTCAAGTAAAGTAGTGGAGGGCTGGAGAAAGGTATTCTATAAAGAGCGTCAAGTACCATGTCTCCTTTCTAGATTCTTTATATACTCAGTTGGCAAGGCTTAGAGGCTATCCATCTTAAGGCGCAGATTCCGAAATCCGCGCTGGTGATGAATATATCCTGTTCTATAGTTACTGCCCATCTCTATCCCCCCCTTTACTGTTGTATAGTTTATCCGATAGTACCAAGGGATTCAGGGTAATCTGTTATTGATCGTTCATGACTGACGCTGCTTACTTCAATTAAGGCTATAGTAGATATATCTCAAGTGACCGAACGCCAATTATTCCAATTCCAGAATCAATCCGAACCTCCTGTTCAACTCCGTCTCCTGGCTCGCCCAGAAATATATTGTGGCCGAAGACGAAGGCGCTGAAACATAAGTGCTCCAACATTTTATAAACAGCTCAGCGTTATTAAGAGCATTTAGAGCGCTCAAGAACTCCGGGATAAAGTCAGACCTGCTGATGTATCTAACCCTGTCGGCTAAAGGCGGTGTTTATTCAGACATCGACACCTTACACCTCAAGCGTATTAATCTATGGTGCCTGAGAAATACTAAAAATTTACACTTACCGTTAGCAGTGGAATTTGACCGCCTCGATGGGCCTAATTAGACCGAAGTCTATACCGGCCTCCTGTTCTACCAATGGATAATCGCTGCGACACTTGGACATGGGCTATTCCGCTCCATAATAGGATAAACGACGGGTCAATTAAGAGGTGTTAGTACAGCACAGGTTTCGGGGGTCGTGGGGGCACAAGAAAAGATAAACGACTGCAGAGACAGTTACCAAAGGGGTCTACATGCCTTATCAGTTGGCCTACCTCACGTGGCTTACAGTCAAAAGTTGCCTGGGCTTTAATAGCCTCATCCTTATATGGAACCGCGCCATTGTGTAGGTTGGCTTCGAGGGTGAGCTGGGTCTGAGCACTAAAACGAAAGGGGAAAGCCCGCACGCCTACTAGTTTGAGACATGCATTGAACATAATTAAAGGTGGGGCGTCGTGGTCCAATGCGGGTCTACTCCTTGCTCCAGAGAATTCTTGAAGACAAGCAAAGCCAAGAGGGGTACTTTCGTCGTTTTGACAGTAGCAGCCATAGCGGGAGGGAGCGCGTGCTTAGTTATCTGTATAGAACTAGGCAATCAAGGCGACCAGTGCCGGAGTTGTGTTTTTATAAGCTAGTAATTTAACCACTTTACACGCAGAATCAAGGACTAGTGAGATAGACAAGTCATCAAAATGATCCGGCAAAGCATAGAGGAATCAACAGCCGAACAGAGAAAAGCAAAAGAGACAGAGAGAGAAATAAAAACAGGACAGTCTCCTAGATATTTGACAGCGAGAGAGAAGGCTGCGTTTCTACAACCCGAACAATCCTTGAGCATTTCACTCTATCTCAACCGTGTCGCAGTCAGACCAGTTGCATTTTCGCATTGATGACAGTTGAGATACTCTCGGCTGACTCAGAAATCGGCAGGGTAATTGCACGGCGATGTCGCTTTTTAAGGGTTTTTACACCGTATATAAGAGCAATAAACAGGGCGAGTAATAGTGCCCACTGGTAGAGACAATGCTCTTGAAGAGCCTCAGTAATAACGTCTTTCAGTGGAGCATGCGACGTTGTGCTTGGCCTAGCTAGAAACCCGCCGTGAGGTCGGTCAACTGGTCGAGGCATGGCGCTTGAGTGTGCATCATGAATCTTTTTACGCGGACTGTCATTTAGAACACGGTGAAATACAGGATTCCGGTCCTCCATTGCGGGAACAGCTGGACGATGCCCTGGATTTTCTGCGAGCGAGTAGCCTTGATGTTCTTCTTCAAGCCATCGCTCATAGTCGGTCTTGGGCTGCGATTGCTGCCGGAATTGTGAGGTTTCTGAGAGCACTCGGGCCATTCGGAACATAGCCAGGCAAGGTGTATATTTCTGGCTGAGCCCCACGCGTTCCAGAGTCAGTTTTAGGAGTTGTGTGATAGAGACTCATGCACTTACTCGTCTGCGTGATGTATAGTATGGGGTAAATATTGTGAGTAGAGGGAATATCTACGTCGAGAAAGTCTGGTCTCAGCGCTGAACCCCAGGGTTCTGAGCCTAAAATAACAATTCCCGTACCATAATAGCCATCTCATCTCAAAAGGATCAGAATTTGCTGTTCCCTGCAAGACGGTGGAGACCGATACGGATACTATTTCTTCCGTTGACAACCCGGTGCACGTATGTACAGTATGTACTTAGTAAGTCCGAAGTAACGAGCATAGTTACAGAAGAGTGGTTAGGTAATTCAGAGTCCAAAAATGATTCGAGGTGGACGTGGACGAGCCACGGAGTAATTGAGATAAGCATCCAAAAGATCCGTAACTGGCCTAGTTAAGGAGGCTGTACAATGGAGTCTCATACGATAGTGCAGGATTGGGCGCAAATCAAGTACCCTGACTGGCCCCCACCCAATATGGCATGGCCAATTGAAGTTCCCTATCGTGAATGTACTTTTGGCTCATTGACGGAGTGGAGTGTCCGTGGCTCAACTTACATTTTTCTGACAGGCAAATGCCCGCCGGGAAGGGCGTCAATTCCCCCCCTATGTCCTGACGCCAGGGTCATGCAGCCACGCAGATATCACCTTACATAAAGGTGTCATCGGTCTCTACTGTTTTAAGCCTATTATTTAGACAGATAGTCGAGCAGACAAATTCAAGTTACGAGCACTCAACGCACGAATTATGTACATAATCACTAGATCAATCAAATGAACGACGCATTTTCGTGTCGCAGCTAGCAGTCAAGTCACTGTGGCTATTCAGCTCAACGGTCATGGTAGCGAAGGGGCCTGCTTGAATCACCCACAGCTCTTCATTTGTCCCAATCTTTCCCGGAAAGTGGAATATCTCTCCCTCGGTGGCACCGTTTTCGATATGCTTTGACTGACTTTATGATCATTATCGCGAGCACGACCGACAGAATAATGCCGTATATCGCCGAGTAGTTTTTCTTTCCATCACTTAAACGGTCTTTCCATTTCACATTCTCAGTGGCGTCTTCGGTGCCTTTCACCCCTGGTCCATATAGTGGCCGATCACCTGGCCTGTAGTTCTCATCGTGGTCGCGAAGCCATCGTTCATAGTCGGTTTCTGGTCTAGAGGGCTTTTCTAGCTGCGCTGAAGCCATTTGCATCTTTTGAAAAGTCTGCCCTTGCCTCGATAACTAGCTGGTGCCGTGATAGATGTGTGGACAGGAGAATGGGTTCTCGCCCTCAACAACAAAAGATTTGGTGGATTCCTGGATCTACTATAGACTCTTTCTGGGGCGATGTGGAATACGCTAGTTTGCCGCTCGTCTAAGCGGAAATCCCTTTGTCAGACAAGGCTCTCTACACTAATACAACGCCAGTGTTGTCGATCCATACTTAGGCCCCACCGGGTATGATAATCCTCCAATATAATAGGTGAGGTCGTCAAGATCCCTGTCAAACAGGGAGCAATTCCCGAAATGTGACCCTTCGTGATTTCCCACTTTTTTTTCACGATTGGACCAGTGATACCATGCTGACACTATTTTCAGCCTCATGTCAATTCCGAATATTCCAATCATATGAGAAGCCGAGCGAGCAGTAATTAGAATCGACGATATAGTGTTACATAACTTATGACTAGATTCGGAAGATCCAAAGACATATCGGATGGACCCACAGACAGGGAATATAGCAAGATTCCCAAGGAACTCGACAAAGAAACGACGAACCAAGCTGCAGCATTGCATCGCCTCAGTGGAGGACTCAAAGTTTCTTTGGCAAACCCCAGTTGCCGCACGGAGAAGATGATTCAGGCTTCACACAGGTGCATTAGATTTCTCGCCGTCAGCGCGTGATCCCATTCATGGAACCACGGAAGGTTTTATTGGCTAATATCTATTTCACCCTATCGATCTGAATGTTGGGGTTAAGTAATTGATTGGAGATATTTGGGTCTCCTTTACGATACTATGATAGGTACATAGATATTTCTTTCGGTGTATAATCACACTGCTCTGTACTGGACTTACTGCTGCGGATAAAAGAATTCAACCATAAACTCAACGAATTGATTGCATGATGTACATACGGACCGGATTTCCTCTAAGTAAGCACAAGGTATATGGACGAGAGGTCTCTTCTCCACCCAGTCTCGGCTCCGGATCTGGCGTGGAGGAACCCTGTATGGTGGGCTCGAGGCACCCCAAAAGGAGCAAGAGATCTACCTTGGAAACCAAAATTTAATATCTCTGTGATATTTGCCCAGGTAATTGGCTGCTTCTTTGTCCATAGACAAGAGATAGAATACTCCATACCACCCTTTCCACCTGCAGATACCACTTTATGCAAATTATGAAATTACCCGAGCATTTCCCACCAATCTCTATGTATCCCAATAAATATAGGTCACCAAAAAACAAAGACTCTTCGTCCGCCACGCGCCTCCATTTGCTGAAGCCCATCGTACGCATTGTAGGCTGTGGTCTGCTCATGGTATTCTTCAAACATGGTTGTCTCATTTTAAAACATCAATTTCTTCGAGCAGAACGCACCTTCGAAGTGAATCTAGGGCTTTGCAAAAATTGTAAAACCTTCGGGCCGGGGAGGTGTCTGATGTGTCGGTCAGGGGTTCCATCTTGTGCACAGAGTGGTATTTGCAGTCAAAAGAGCCCTAGTACCTTTGTTAGTATCTCATCCCCATCCGGTATGCCTCCCATGTCACTCTGCCCGACCTTCTTCTTGCACTCAGCGGAGATTTTACGGTCCATGGCATGATTCAGTACAAGTTAGCATTTCAGGATGGATCTGCAATATCTGACACTCCACGCATGCAAATCAAAAAGCTATGCTGTGTTGGATTGTGGATGCTTGGACGCCTTATGATGTGTATTGAAATTTGTACAACAACTTATTGCCATGAGATAGGGAGTTGAAAAATCCTACTAAAAACATCCATTGGAACAAATCTTGTTGGATAATGCCAGGAGGCTGCCCGGCGCGCCCCCACTACTAGGCTTGACTGATAGTCACAACTTTCTGTTCATGGGAAGTACACAGAAAACGTATACTGCATCCTATGAGAGAGGCCACCCACACATCCCCACGTAGCCCACATCTGTAATACGCGAGGAGACTGGTTCAGGGGACGGCCCGCAAATCAACGAGTCCTTTTAGACTACAAAACTGGCGAATGTCACCTCCTTGTAGGGACCTCATTGCTTTCCTCTGTTGAAGCCGCTAGTACAAAGGAAAATCTCTCGATACTACGAAAATAATGTAGCATGTGTTGGCTGCCAAGCCACTGAAGTGTAGTACGCTAGGTACGCTTACTGGAGCTGTTGGTCATTCCCCGCGCTTGAGTCGCAGGTAAAACAAACGAAGTAGACTTGATTCTATCCCAAACTAAGGAATCTCCTCACCCTAGTTCCCTCGGTATCTGCACTTTAACAGACCGGAGCTACAACAGCCGGCGGGGCTCGAATGTTAACTTGCCATTTCGCACTACTGTGGACCCTCGGCAGCCCCGTTTAGCACATTGAGTGGCATATACCTATCTGGCGCTAATGCAAGGACCGGCTTCCTTTCTGCATGGTAAGCATGGCGAAGTTGTACGATATACGATGATGTCGCACATCGTACATCACCGGTGGCAATGAAACCTTCATGGAGCCGAACCCAACGTATTACGCGCATGTGGAACAAGGGGCTCGGCAGCTGCTCCATTGAGGGAGGCCTGTAGGCTGTGCAATGGTAGAGCACTACGTGAAAGGATTGTGAATAGATTCTAGGAAGCGGGGGCCTTTCTAGGCCATGCAGGCTCAGCGGGCTTGAACGCCGTCATTAGCAAATATTCTACCATGAGGTAGAGTATGTCTCCATTAACGTGGCTAGGACTAAGATCGCGGTCCTTGGTAGGCTACCGTCTACTACAGAGGCGGAAGGGGGTGTAGCCTTTCAATTCTTGTAGCATAGTCCGTTACTGTTGTTTCCATTGAAGGGACTGGGAGTAGGCATATCATTCTATGAAATCTACTATACATTGCGGACTTAGAGGGTGCTCATGTTCGGGAGTACTCTGTAACATTCGAACTATCATGTGTTGGTCTTGTATCAAGGCAGTCTACTGATCAACAGAAGGCCTTGAAGCGAGGTTGGGGGCCTTACCTGGTTATCCAGTTATACGCCAGAGACAGGCTCCAAACAGGTTAATAGAATATGTATCAGTCTGTCAATCAACCAACTAAGTCTGTAAACTGGGATACAGATCCTCCCAGAGTGAGACACCCTCAGGTCTAGCGCGTAAGCGGCAACGGAGATGTTGGTGATGATGCTATGTTGCTTTTCTTGAAGGAATAATACTAATTTCGTTACGCAACTTGGGCCGATCTTCTCTGATACAGGGTTGGCTCTTAGGTAATTAGACGAGAGAGACGACTCGAACTATGGCATCGAAGAAGTATAAATACTTCGTAAAATCACCCAGAAACTTAGTATCCTTGGACATCAATCCTTTCTATACTCAAGAACTTTAATCAAAACATCTCTTTCCAATATACAACAACACCTCTTCCACAATGAAGGTCACTGCTATCCTCTACACTCTCATGGCTGCCGCCGCCGTCAGTGCTTCCGCAGTCCCTGGTTCTAGCTTCGAGATTCGGGACACCTGCGGCGCAGGCTATGGCGGTGACCAAAGACGTACAAACAGTGCTTGCAATGCCTCGAACGGAGATAGACATTTCTGCGGGTGTGACAGGACAGGCGTGGTATGTGAACATATCCAGGTTCAAATAACAGACCGTCTTTGCTAATGTGTAATTCTGTGAAAAGGTCCAGTGCAAGGGTGGCAAGTGGACAGAGATTAAAGATTGTGGTAGAGGCACCTGCCACGGTGGCAACGACGGTGGAGCCGTGTGCTAGACTGCCAACAGCGAGTGTACTGCCATTCGAACTGGACTGGAAGTATGTTGATCAACTCGCCCCTGGAGCTCTTGGTATCACATTACTGATACGTTTCTGTAGTGTATAAGTCTAGTGTGAAAAGGTAGTCGGGGACAAGTCAGCGGAAAGATTCAACATCAACCAATCTACTGGCTTTGTCTCTCTCTTTTTGTTGGAATCCAGTTCAATCGTCGGTTCGAACCAACGTGTTACTCGTCTCTCGTTAGCTGTTAGATAGTATACGAATATATACAGTGCTGTCAGTGACCGTCTGCTGGATCTGTAGTTATCGAAACATGTTGGTGCTTGGTTGTAAAGGCCAAGCCTCATAGATAATCCTGGCTCCATCATCTATTTCTCAGTGTTAGATCAGTTGATACTAAGATAACCTAAAGCAAGGGAGTGGCATTTGTCGATGGCTTTACACGCTGGGCGGTCTTACTATTAGAAAAAGGGAATATAAGAAAATATCCTGATATCATGCAATTTCTACCTAAGGCCCAATCCAGCGCTACATCTGAGGCTCAAAAATCAGCCTTTATTCATTTTACCAAGCGGAAAACCAAACCATAACTCTTAGACCTTTCCCGATGTCGAGCAATAATGAATAAGAATACTAGCGGTTGTACTTGGTCAGCAACTTCGACGTAGCTATCATATTGAAAGAGTTATTCAAAGGGCTGCGTTATTGTAGACTATACTTCCGACACAGTAGATACTTAGAATTCAAAACTAGAAATCAAATAAGACCTGCGAGTACAGCTGCAAACATCTATTCACAACCTCCTCCGGCATAGGGAAGCGAATGTCGGAGTTGCCGACCTTCTCCCAGCCCAGTGCCAGAGTTGGCAGAGGTCCATCTTCAATCGACGTGGGCACTCCCTGCACAATCCAGTTCAGCAACTTGGTTGACCGAACCTCCTTTACTATCTCCAGCAACTCCTGTGCATCCCAATTGGCCCAGACAAACTTTCCTTTCAAGAATTTATCCTCAGGAGACGCCAGCCAGATGTAAAACTGGCCCGGGAGTTCAGCTATCCACAGATCGTATTCCATAGTACGCTAAGAAGAACGATTTGCGAATAGAATAATGCACTACATTTATCGGGAGCTTCCTTTTGAAATCCATTCGAAGCAGTGGCCACCCATCCCTGCTGCACGCTAACCACGCGTACGTTCGGGTTCTCCATGGCAAAATAGTCCATTGTCTTCAAACACGCCGCTTTACTGATGGTGTAACCAGCTAGCCCAGGGGTGGATGCGATGTTAGCCAGACAGGTGGACGTGCTGAAGTCGACCGGCTCCGGCCCCGCGAAGGGCAAGAAATCCTGGAAGGCATTCATGGCCATCCGGAGGTTACCGTCGACCAGCGGAGAAGGTCCTCGGGCTTGGAGTCTGTGAGGGATCCCGGAGCGGGGAGCAACACGGCATTTATCACCTTGACGTCGTTCTTGTCGAGTTTGTTCCTGATGGACTGGTATGCCTGGTCGACCTGGTCCCGCCGCTGTAGGTCGGCGGCGATGACTTTCTCTCCGGACCCTTGGAGCATGTCGAGGTGTCGGCCTATGATCATGATGGATATGGGTCCGGCCCGGGAGAATGCGATGGAGATGGCGTGGCGTTGCCGATGTGCCGATGCTTGCACTAAACCCGAGTACGACTACAATCTTGCCCTTGGCAGACAGCTCCGGTCGTGGTGGGGAGATGAATGGGTAGGGTTCAGTGTGCCAGGTTTTGTTGAAGGAGACAGGTGCAGCATACTCAGTTTCGTTAGCCATTTTCAGTACGATAGAAGCGAGACATCAGACGAGGCAGACAATTAAGCAAGCGCAAATGTAGTCGAAAGTAGAACAGAGTATTATTGATTGACTAAGAAGGCTATTGTCCACGTAGGGAACAGGGATTATATAGCTTTTTTCCGGATGAATTTAAGGTGAAGTACACCATAGCTAAGTCCAACTTCGTATTGTTTTGGGTAGATTAGATCCATGTGTATCCTGTGTGGTCTACCAGTAATGGAATATATCTTGGAATACAAGCGGAAGAAATGGAGAAGAAAATCTAGCTCACCTAGGAGGCAAACCCCTAGGAGGTCTGATTTAAGAACATGATAAGAGCGAGATCCGGTACATAAAGACTTTTTTCCCTTTTAACTTTTAAGCGTTGTGTGTTGAGGCTTGGCTTGGACGTTTATATATGAGCCTGGGTTTAGTTGCTGACATGCTAGGACCCATCCAATTTCATGAAAGACGATCTATGCCATTAATCCACACTGTATCATGCAGGCATTGTAACGAGTGGAAAATGTCGTCTTCGCCCTATAGACTGGACTCCTACATCGTGCTTTTGACTCCACAACCCAGACCTCAGATCGTCCACAACTTTGCTCAGCGTTAGGCCTACGTCCGCACACACACGACCCAGAATGTAACCCTACGTATCAGCTTGCTCTCTTATCTTCCTTTCATTCTAACTCAAATAAACTTCTCGGGTGATCATGCACGGTTTGCGCAGAGACTTTTAAGAGAGGGCCACGCTTCCCAGCGTCATCCACGTACCAGCCCATCAGGATAGGTGAAGGTATCTACAGATTCAAGATGTCTAAGATCGAGATCTGGCTTACTTTCCTGTAGTCCTTCGATGTATCGCAGCCATATATTTAAACATCGTAGAGAAGGCTTCCCATGTTTCTTGCGCCCCTCGTCTTGTCCCCTGGCTTCTTGCCTCCTGGAGACTTGTCCGCCGGAGACTTGGGAGCTTTCTTTTCTCTCTTATCTGGAGTGGGGTATTGCACTAGGCGAATCTCAAATGCAGGAAAGTTTGGCCAGTTGGGGTCAATAGGCTTAGCTATCAGGATGGTATTGAAATCCATGCCAACGCCCCTTAGCTTCGGCCATTAATGAGCTAGGCGGTATTCAATAGATGCAATGATCTCTCCACAGTTGGCACTGAACCGATGCTGGATAAGCTCATTGTTGGGGAGACCGTGCGCTACGGACGAGCTTTCTTCGCTTAGTGTTTTTCATACCCTGACCGATGGATAAGGTCTTTGTGATTGTCACGTCTTCTCTCGTTCTGTGCGTGCCTAACTCGGGATTCTGGCTTTTGCCACAGCAATCTTTCAGTGCCTGCATCACGTCGTCCGCATGCTCCTCAGGCACGCCTATAAATTCCCCCTAGTTTTCAGCCATTATTTTGTCCGTGGGCCCAGTTCTTAGAGCTCTCTCCAAAGGCCGTATACACGATATAAGCTAACGGAACCTCCTCGTTAGAAGATTTTGCGCCACCATTGCTCACAGAATCCGGCCTGATGATAATAACTTTCAGATATGTCAGTAGGGGGGAGGTCTACGTTCCAACTCGTTTTCTTATTTTTCACTATTGCTACAGTGCCTAGGTGTGGGTTCGGACCTCGATTTAATATTATCACTAGACTGTATATCTTCGTTGGAGGATAGAGTAGTAGAGATACTACTAGGGTTTGGAAGGATCGGCATCGGTCTTTCAACATCGCCGACTGAACAGCCGAACCACCGAATTTCCGATATACTTCTTTTGTCCCTCTTGGACGTACATTGTCTCCCCTACTTCACCTATTGGAGTTGAAAAATACCGGGGTGAATGCCCTATGACAAAGATTATGGACAGCGGAAATGTCTCCGATTATACCACCGAGGAATCGAAGGTACTCCGTCGCTACAACGTCTCGCGATCATGTCTCCGCTGTCATCAGCGCAAGGTCCGCTGCGATAAATCCAACCCATGCGCTACGTGCGCGCGATCCAATGTTACCTGTCGCTATCCCGGTTTGGAGAAGTACAAGCGTCGAACTCCGAATGTGAGTCGCAACGAGATGGCGGCCAGATTGACCCGGTTGGAACGTACCGTTTCGGCCATAGTTGGCGGGGTTGATGGTGTAGGGACACGGACAAACTCATCATTGACTAAGGGTTTAGGGTCCAGCTTTACTATTAGTAGTACTGACAAGGAGGGTGCGGGTCAACAGGTGAAGTTGCCTCATGCGCCGAGAAAGGGCTTTCTGGTGACTTCTGGTCCTTCTATGAGATATATCAATGAGTCTTTCCTATCTCATGTTCTTGAAAAGGTCGGTTATTGATTTCTTTATTAGGTTTTATATTTACGATACTAACTGCTGGGTAGGAAGAAGAGCTTCAAACAGCCATAGAATCTCCCACTACTAGTGCCCATTGTGGTTCAACTGCGTTCTCTCCCCTGCGCCCAGAAGGCCTGTTGTTGAATCCACAGCACACGATCTCAGATGTTGCGGAGTTATATCCGTCTCGCTGGGAAGCAACGCAGCTCTGGCAGGTTTATCTGAACAATGTGAACCCACTCATGAGGTTTCTCCATATCCCCTCTCTTCTGCCGAAGATATACAACGCCATTAACTTCCCCGGTGAAGTACCGTCTGATCTCAGCTCGCTTCTATTTGCGATATACTTTGCGGCAGTCACGAGCTTGCTATCTATTAATGAACCTGACTTCCTGGGGGGCCAGAAACATGAGGCTCTACAGAAGTATCAACGGGGTTTGGAGGTGTCGCTGTACAATTCCTCGTTTTTGGACTCGCCGACCATAACCTCCTTACAGGCCATGGCCATCTATGTAGTAAGGCTCTCTTCCCTGTTGTTACGACTGATGACGGCCGTATGATGTCTGACCGTTCTAGCGATGTCGCCGATTCCACAGTAGTGGACGCTCCAACTGGGCTTTGAACGGTCTGACGATTTATGCGGCTCAGTCGATTGGTCTCCACCGCGACGGGAGTCATTTCAATCTGCCGGTCCTGGACTGTGAGCTGCGACGTCGCTTGTGGTGGCACCTCATCACTGTCGATAAACGAGGGGCTGAGGATCACGGCCTAGTCGGTGGCTTTGAGACCGTTTCGGACACCAAGTTACCATTGAATGTCGACGACAGCGATTTGAATGCCCAGTTGCAGTCTCCACCGCCTCCGAAAGAAACGTGGTCGGAGATGACCATGTTCCTGATCACCGCAGAAGCGAGTAAGGTATTTGCACGTATCAACTGGGTCTCATTGCAATCTCGACATGACAAGAACGTGCACGATGAGTCGCGACAGCTGGTCGCAGACTTCGATGCCTCGTTAAGTAAAGGCTACCTCAGATACTGCGACCAAAATGTCCCGATCCAGAAAGCTACACTCCTGCTAGGTCGGACACTTTTATCCAAAGCGAAAGCTCTCATCCACATCCAGTCACTTAACGGTCTAAGCTCTGAGCAATATGCAAAGCATATCAACGAGGAGACTCTTTCCTACGCATGCGAGGGATTAGAATGCGCATGTGAGATGCTCACAGACGAGCTCCTGAAGTCCTACAGTTGGATATCCTCGACCTTTACCCAGTACCATTTGCTCACGTACGCTCTTTGGCATCTATGTGTCTGTCCAGAGACTCCTGGAGTTGAACGGGCTTGGAGCGCCGTGCATATAGCGTTCGAGTTGACGGAGCGGGAGTCCACCTGGCGCGAATGCGACTCTCACTGGGCTGTGCTCTGCCGTCTTAGACAAAAGGCACGGTCAATCAGGCAATCTTATTTAGCTGGGAACCCGCAGGAAATACCGGCTAATCTGGAGATTGTGGACTCGGCGGGTCTGCCAGATACTAGGCTGGATGCCGACCTCGAAGATGTATCGGTGCCTTGGGATATTGAGTCTCTCGCATTCTTCGACTGGACGGCTTTTGCTGCTCCGACTTTCTGAAGCTGTGTACCACGAGCCAGACCGGGTTATTTGTAGAGCGTGGTATAATGGTACATGAAAGCCAGACCCTCGTGGCGTGCTAGATTGCTTTGCTGGAAGGGAAACCAACCGTTTATACCCCATTAGTCACCGTAGATCAGGCTTAACTCATCCTCTCCAATAGATCCGCGTAGCTGTTCAGAGCTCGTCCCATTAAATTGACCAATTCCCAAATATAGTCTGCCGTAAATAATCGAGCCCAGAGCCGGGTGACAATCGCGCTCAGACGGGTATTGTTCGCTAACAACCATTCACGCGATACTCCGTGCCGAGCCTCCATTACCATGTCGATGACAAACCCCAGAAGCTTGTTTTCCTGCTCCGTTAGACTCGGACTAGGGGACGCGACCGTCGCCTCTTCGAGCCATTTTGCCAGTAGAACGGCGCATTCCAATGAACACAACGCGTATTGAAGCGACCATGAGTGTACCTGTGTCTGCGCGACATAGTTGATTCCCAATTTAATAGGAGTACTCAATGCATGGGCGCAGTGCAGTGCAGCTCTAGTTAACCGGTCACTTCGCTCGACCGAGAGGTTCTCTTTTAACGATTGGGCGATGTCGTCCGGATTCCATGTCTGGAGCCGTCGGGCGGAGCTGAAATCCGCGTTCAGTCGGATATAAGCCAGTCGGAGAAGCGCAGCGGACGTAAAAGACACTGGGCCATGTGGATTGAAGGGGTCAATGGACGCTTCCCGATTGCGCTCCCAGCATTGACACCAATTCTCTAATGCGAGTTCCAAGGACGTTACTTCTGACGCAGAGAGCGAGTTCCCGCTAAATCCAGGTAGTCGACGGGCTTTTTGGAGCAGCCAAATGTTCTGGATGATGGCGTGGATGAGAACGTAGCCGCCTAAAGAGGAGAAACTCTCTAGTCGCCCTTTTGTATCTAAATTGTGGGTGAAGAGGGAGGCGAGGGCGTCTTGTAACTTGGGTTCGCCTAGGCTCTGACTTCTTTCTTCCATCCATTGGCTGTCGGTTTTGGCTTGCCATTCGATCTCAGTGCAGGGAAGGTCCAGGGTGACCTCCTCAGTGAGTATCATAGGTGGTACATCGAAGACAATCGTCTGGATGTTGAGGTAGCAAAACACGATTAGTCGGGTTCGCTTTCGCTCTTCGCTCTGTACCCAGCTTTCCCATGATCCGTCTTGCGCGGGGAGGTCGTTCAGCCCCCCTTGTCGGAGCAGCGTCTCCATGTGGCTCCGCATGTGTAGTGATTCATCGTAGGGGGGATCGTGTTCGTGCCAGGAGGACACCGACACTAGCATCAGGAGCGCCTGTATCGTCTCGAGGAGGTTTTTATCTCGAGCAGCCGGGGAGGATGCCAATCGCGGATCTCGGGCGATGCCACAGTTTGGTTCTACCCACTGGAACTCTCTCCGTATATGCTCGAGCGTCACAGCCTTGGCCACTTGGTAGAGTGCCGTGCTGGTTTCCGGCTCCCGGCAATATCGGGCGCCCAGTGTTGCCATGGATAGAATGAAGTGCAACGGCTTTGAATCAAGATCTAGGGTAGGGATATGTAGAATCGGGTAATGTTCTTGATACCCAGTGAGGTATCCATTAAGACAGCGTGATAGGGCATGGCGAGACGGGATATAGGGGTTCGGGATGACATTCGCGTAATCGGATAGGAGGGCACCGATGCGCTCTCTACATTGCGTTGTGACGGAGAGCGAACTTGGTGGTTGTCGCGATCTATACGTTGTCGGCGATTCTTCGGTCTGAAGTGATGGGATCTGCGTCCCATGACGCGGTAGAATTGAGCTCGAAGGAGTTTCCGCACTCACTGCTGGTCTCTCCTTCTGAGGCTGATGGTAGATGGGTGGAGTATCAAAGTGAAAAGCGGGAAACAAGGGAAGCGGTTGGTAACTGGGGGAGTATGGATGGCTTGGCAATGGAATGCTATCGAAGAACGACGTGAAGTCCTCTCCATCGGTCGGGATGGTTGGGCCAAAGCCACTGAATGGCTCGCTAAATCCCGATGACTCCGGGCCTTCATCGGTCGGATTCGGCCGTGGAGCGAAGGACGCTGAACCTGCCGACAGAAGACTGTAACTTGCAGAGCTCACAGAGGGGTCTGTCACGGCGGAGGCCAGCATATTCAACCCATCGAACATCTGGCGAGAAGCTGAGGGCGGAGTTGCTGCATCCTGGCCCACGCCCGATGTCGGGGAACTGTGCGACAAGCGTTCGTGACGGGCCAATAGATCTCTGCACGCGATCAGTACGAATATTTAAGACGGTTATGAATTACTTACTTGCGCGTAAATGATTTAGGGCATTTGTCACATATGTACGGTTTCTCCTTGGTATCTAACAACAGACATGTTAGTGAAGGGACTCAGGCACAAGTAGAAAGAATTAATTCTAGCTTACGTGAGCGGTCATGACGTTGGAGATGCTCCAAGCGGGCAAAAGTTCTCTCGCATCTTTGGCACTGATAGGACCTCGTGGCCTTACCCATGGTAGAGGTCATTTAATGATTGTGGAGTGACGGCTGATCAATCAATGCATTCCTGTTGCCAAGAGGGAGTTGATTTGGTCGGGATTTGATCCGAGATACTTTCTATAAATGAAGATTCGGATCCTTAGTAATTCCGATCCATCTATAACAATACCAGTTGACAATTCGCTACACCTTTACAGGACGTTATGGGGGTAAAATAGGATTCTTCCTTTTTCAGCGACTATATATTATGGCAATTATATACAGATAAAATCAACACCACTTCAACTACCACAACTTGAAGATACTAGCAAGTCACCCCTTAGTGTGGTCCCAAAATCCCACCCAAGGTCCATTTCAACGTAGACCACAGCTCCCGTCCAAAGAAGGGAATCATATCTGCATTGAGCTCGGAAAGAAGCACATCCTTCTTCGTGCACGATCCTGGATGGGAGACCTCCTTGCCCTCAAGTCGATCAGCGATCCATCCCATCGCATTGGCCGATCCGGTGATCCATAAGCTTGCATGCCCGCCGGCCAAATCCCGGATATATTCAACAGTGGCACCACCGTCGCAGTAAGTGTCGACTAGCTCATCGGTGTCTGCACCAGGACTGATTTCATCATGGACCGGCTTGTATATATACATAGGCATCTTAGGAGTACCATGGACACCCATCTGGCCAGCCAGGCGCATGACGGACTGAGGTACGTCCTCCGCAAATGATGCCTCGCCGTTCACGAAGTACAAATAAACATTCTTGAGAAAGCCCCCCGTGGACTCCCCGATCAGACAGCTGTTGGCCAGTTCGTCGAATTCAGCTTTCTTCTCCGGAACGAGGGACTGCTCCAGCCAGTCGGAAACGTTGGGATAGGCCTTGGCGAGTCCATTAATGGAACCGAACGCAAGGCCCGCGAATGGTCCACCGGTGACCGTTGTGAGGGTGGAGCTCAGGTTAGCGATGTTACCTCCCGCGGCAGCGCCGACGAAGTTCAGCTCCGGGGCGTAGGTTGGCTGAAGCTCAGCTGCGTTATTGACGGCGATCGAACCACCGGAGTATCCCCACATGGCGTAACGAGCATCCTTTGCCAACCCGAGTTTAGGACCTTCAATGAGAGCGCTGCGGACTCCATCTAAGGTTGCCTGACCGGAAATGACACCGGCCGAAAAGTGGGCGTCCAGTCCTTCGTAGTCGGTGGTCACGACCCACCAACCTTGGTTGAGGGACGCAGCTAGCTATTCATGCGGAAGGCTGTTAGCCACGCCGAATACGGTGGTAACGGCTAGGATATCCTGACTTACAAATGCGGTATCGGTAGACAGGGTACTGTTAGCAGACATGATTCCGGGAAGACCAGCGGGATCCGACCCGGGCTGCAAGGTGTAGGAAGGCTCGCAGGACGGATTGGAGGAATCGTAGTACAGTGCGTACGCAAGTAACTTGGACGGATCGGCATTACGGGGTTTGATCAGGGTATTCACCGCAGCGACTGGATTTCCCAAGCTGTCCGTGGTCCGGAACAAGAATTGATGAACGGCCTCAACCGACACGTCGACGGGGAGAGGGAGGAAAGGTTGCAGCTGATTTGATATTTCGCGACTGCGGATGGTCTCGCCCGGCGCGTAGGTATCAATATCAGCCGGCTGATCGTACCAGGGGTCCTGTGCCGGAGGAAGAGGTTTGGCAGCAGAAACTGCGGACCAGAGGTTGACTGTGACGACAGCGAACAGGGGAAGCCAGCGCATGGTGTGTTTAGCTCAATGGCAAGGAATTGATCGCCTTGATGCTCGTGGCAGCATCGTTTCATATTTATATCGTGCCGTGGAGTAGCTAACGTAAGTTTTATCTTTTTGACCAAACTTTGGCCTACGGTCGCGATAAGGAGATCCTCAGCTGGTTCTCCAGGTTGAGTATATTCAGGTGAGACATGCACCTCTGATTGATCGGTCTATCGATCCACAGTGTCCTAGTGCATCCGAACATTTGTACGGAACAGCTTGTACGGGCTGCCTGATCCACTTGGTGCCTGCATTAGTTGAATCTAGCAGGATTTGCTATTTCTGCAGCACGGCCTAAAAGAGTTCAGTATGTATGATACGTGAGGAAGAGAAGGGATTTGGTCGCTCAGAAGCTGATTTCCAGGTCTCGGCCCGAGACTTGGTGAGCAGCACCCCTGAAATTAGGGCTGTTGTAAGCTTTTCGGGTTCATAAAGACCCTATCATCGGGTCTCAGGAACCACCGATCTTTAGCGGCTCCACTCCTTACAAATTGTTCAATTAGGGTAGCGGGTGCTGGCGGGTAGAAATAAGGATCGACGCAATATCAGCAATTCATCTACAGAGTACCATTTCTAATCAATCCGGATGTCGGGTATTTATGGATTTACTTAACAGAGTGCAAGTTCCGAGCCATAAATCTCTTCTCTTAGCATTCCCAATACTGTATGGAGTAATGTCGGGATTTTTAGAGTATATGAAACTTAACAATCAGATGATTCTTACTTCATCTTGCTGCAGGAGCCCCAAGAATCCCTGTCAAAGCTCAAACGGTGCGGGAGCGAACTGCTAGTAATTGTAGCGAGATGGTGCTAGAGATGTACCTAATGATCATGTAGTAATAGTTGCCAATGGAACAGATTGCCACGGAGTACAATTAGGGCTATTCAAGACTTTGCGTGAAACATGACTTCCTTCCATGAAAAGCCCCGTGGGACCAGGGACAAAGGTATGGGTGTCCCCTGTATGCATCTACAATTCTGCATAGGCAGCGAATATAAGGTGTTATGAGATTCTGTAAGCTGCTCTTAAATCCGCCCGTATCTCCGAGGTCAGCTATGGTGAGGACACCTTCCTTCCTTCGGGGGCTATCGTTCTACACCTCCGAGACAACGGCAGAGATAGAAGAGAGCATTGCATGCTGGTGGAAATTTTGTCTTCAATACCATAATCGTGGAAAAGCCCTCATAGTATGATCCGTGAAAATATTATGACTGTAACCAATTTACAGAAGAGCGCTAGGTACGCCAGGTCAGTTATAGTGGACGTCACTGTGCAGGGAACTAATGCGCCTTGACAATATACAATTCGAAGATAACCGCCGCTCCCTCTAACTACTCCAAAGGGGTTTGACAAGACAGACTGCTCCTTAAAGAGGCTCCATGCGAGACAGCGTAACATGGTGGGATTCTAACGGGTCCTGTATGAGTTAGTGCTTAGGCATTCTAGGTGCCCTCCACAGCTCTCAGTAAATTTGCTTTATAATTAGTAACTTGCGAAGCACAAGACTGCCCCTTGGCCATTTCTGGTGTGCTCCAAGGTCACGACATGGGTTTAGAAGTCCTTCTGTCTAGCAGTGAGGGCCTCGGTGTATGTGGTTCAAGATGTTCGAAAGAGTATGCTTGATATGCTGAACCACGTTCTATATGATTCTTTCTTCGTTGGAATATGGTGAGTGGTTGCACAGAGTCAAGGGCAAGGGAGTCAAGGCGGAGTGAGGATTGGATTCATCAGCAAATTCAGTTGAACACTTTCTCCGCTGGTCCATTCCGGAATGTATCTTTCGCTGGTTCACGATCATGCTCACCGCGGTACCGAATTGTAATTTTTTTAGAGCTGACAAAAGCTATACAGAACTATTCCCATTGTCCAAGCATTATATCTAGTAGTACAGTCAAAACAGCCTCTGCTTGGTAGAGATATGAAGGCCACAATTTGCAGGTTCAAAAGCCTCTTCTCGAGCGATGAGGTCGATGAGGTTTCCCTAGCTCGGAATCTGCTCTGACCGCCTTCAGGCATTGATTTTGAGATTTTGCTTTTGTTTGTGCCGTGTAGTTTATCTTGTTTGTCATGTTTGTCATTATCTGATATCCCGTTCGTTCTGCCGACCGGATAAACGCAAAGAAGCATTTCCCACCCCACCTGGTCAATCAATCAATCAATCAATCACTGTCATGAAGCCCAAGTGACAAACTAAAAAGCATGAGGGATTCTCCTCAAGGATTGTCCTTCTAGAACCTACTGATACAAGCCCAAGCCCAATCAACAACCTCCAAAACTACAAATCAAGCTATCCGCAGGTGTGTCACTAAATGCATCTTGTGATCGAAGGAGATATACTCACAAGGAGCATCAGATTCTCCACAAGCTGTCCATTGAAAATGCGTCTGCCCTACGCCCCCTCCGAGCCTCCCTCGTCGGACCCCGACGCCGTGGACATCTACGCCCGCATTGCCGCCCGTCGCAACCCACGCCCGCTTATACCGCTCGATCTATCCCTCCTGCATTCGCCCCCGGTCGCAGATGGCTGGAATAGCTTCCTTGGTGCCATCCGGACCCGCACCATCATCGACCAGGGCCTACTTGAGCTTGCCGTCTGTCGCGTGGCGGTCTTGACCCAGGCGGTCTACGAATGGAATGCCCATGCCCCACTGGCCCTGAAGGGCGGAATTCAACCACAAGTGTTACAGGCGGTGCGGACGCTACCCTCTACCGCCACCGGGGAAGCTGGAGAGGTATTGAAAGCCAATGAGGCCTTGGAACAGAGCTCCTTGACGTCCCGGCAAAAAGCGATCGTGCAGTATGCGGATGAAATGACGCAGACGGTCAAGGTCCGGGACTCGACTTTCGGCCGATTGCAAACGGAAGGGTTCTCGGATCGCGAGATCGTAGAGTTGACGACGGGCATTGCGGGGTACAACTGTGTCAGCCGGGTGCTGGTTGCATTGGATGTTGGGGAGAATAACGCGAAGGAAATGAAGAGCGTGGATGAGTTGGTTGGGAAATAACAACTTGGATCTATGCACAGTGATACTTTAGTCTATACGGCATATGATGAATATTACTCAGGTTGCAGCGCAGCTTCCTCGAAGTGCCACAATCTTGCATGTCATGTTTACATTAAGCCGATATATATTCCGTAGTGTTTCGATTTACACTGAGATGTGGTCCAATTTGTCGTAGAACGCACAATATCCGCACAATATCCGCTTCAAGTACCAACAAAGGTCAAACCACACATTTACTGCAGAGTAATCGCCTTCGCTCTGGGCTGTCCCTCACATTCAAAGGTCGCCAACACGGTATGCGGGTCAACGGACGCAATACCCGGCCAGTGACTGGTATGGGGACAAATCACTTGCGGCTGGGACCAAGAGATCCGACCCTCCTGCGGGGGTCCGGCAAAGACGACCTTGATGGAGGCATTCTGCGTCCAAGAGACTTCCGGATGATCCTCATCTGTCATAAAGATGACCGCCAGCGATCCATCCGCGAAGGAGGCAATCTGTGGAGCACCGGCGTTACGACCCTGAGGCGGAACATACACGCGATGACGGTAGCCCCAGGTCTGGCCATCGTCGTAGGAGAGCAGCGCCTCCAGATTGAAGGTACCAAACGAGGTGGTTTCAAAGATCATCACTAGCGCCGGGCGACCATTATCGCGGGTGGGTGCGATTCCGTTCATCCCATCGCGCAATGTATCGCATTCGCCATGCAGACATTGCGGTTGCGTCCAGGTGGCGCCGCCGTCGAACGACCGGACCATCATCGTGCTCTGGTTGTTATGTGCGAATTCTAAGGAATACGTCAATTGTACCTCGCCTTGTTGGCCGAGACGCATGAACGGCTCCCAGACACCGTGTGGTGCACCCTTCTCTGTCGCCTGCGACAGGAAATGCCAGCTCCTGCCGGCATCAGTGGACCGGCAGACTGTGATACGGAAGTGGGTCGGACCACCGGGGCCCAGGTCGTGGTTGCGGAACGCGGCCAGCACTGTTCCCGGTGCAATCTCAAGGAGAAACACGTTGTCGACATCACCCTCACCGCGGGAGACCTCACCCCAGTTCTCGAAGGTCCGACCACCGTCGGTGCTTCTCGTCACCGTGAGAATTCGTGTGTTCCCTTCAAAAGCGGTAAACGAGGCGAGCAATGACCCGTCGCCGAGTCTGGCTATACGTGGGTATGTACCCCGTACATTTGGGGAGAGGAATCGTTCCTCGTGGTTAATGAAATGGTTTCCAGGAAACTGGCCTCGATACGGCTGCTGGTGGGGTGGCGGGTAGTACTGTTGTTGCTGGTGGGGAGGCTGGCCCTGTCCCTGTTGGTGATCATCTAACCCGAAGGTTTTGAGGATTTTCTGACCGAAGTTGGGCATGTTGTTTGCTCTTTTCGCTGTTTATCAGGAGTAAAAGTGGTTGGTTGTGTTTAGAGAAGATATAAGGAGGGGCGGAGGAAGAATAATAAACAGCTGTTCAACTTGAAGTGATTGACATGGATGACGTCATCCCAGCCCCGTTGAAACATGGCCGCCTGATGGCCTCATTGTTGATCTCTAATGATGATGGTAATACATCTAGAAGATCCCAATTTCCCAGGAGCTGGTCGCAGGGAGGTTTGGGAGGAAGGGTATGGGCTGCGGTTAACAATGTCTGGGGTTAGGGCTGATATTGCCTAATCCGGCCGTGTCTCTACAACACCACATCAGCTCCATCCGAACCTAAAGCCGACTAAGGTCGGGGCCTAGAACCAAGCAGCTACTAGAGAGAGGCTTCGGTCTGTATCGTACGGTCATCTCCACTCTCCAATATCATATCCCTGCAGAGTTATGTCGCGCCCGAAGCTCGGCAGCGCGGGTCTAGTTCACCTGCAGCCGTGTATGCAAGTGGAAACAGAATCGGCCTAGTCTGCTACTGCACGAAGGGGTGGAGATGCACTATACTAAAGCCAGCTGCTGATGTTGATTCGAATCACAAAAGACACTCCACATATGACAAGTCAGTGCAAAGACCCACGTTGCATTTCCGCGATCCATTCGGCTTTTCCCAACTCACCCTTTAGCCTTTGCATAAAGGCATAGGTGGCACGCATTCATACTACATCTATGAGAAATATCATACTAACTAAGAATAAGTATGCACCCCGGTGGCTGACGACAACTAGGCAGTGGTGCGGGGATCAGGCAGGTACTTCTGCTGCTATCTAGTCCAGCCATAAAAACATAGCATTCACCCACACTGTCGCAGGATCACAGATTATCTGATAAAATTTCATCAGTAGATAATTTTTCAATACAAAATGGCTTACGTCTTGTAAAACCCCTACTTCATTCATCTCCTCCCTTGCACTTAAACCTGCTATTAGAGCCGCAACTAACAAGATGACAGTGACAAAGTCCTCAACCCCCCCCCAAATACCTCTCAGCACCAACCTCCCCGACGAAGACTACTCCGAAAAAGAGTCTCTCCCAGAACAATTCTCCGGCCGTCTTTCCGCAGACTGGAAAGTAGTCTACCGGCAGGACTTCGCCAAACACCCGAAGGTCTTCCTGTGCTCGAACTGGGCGTATCTTCGCTTCAAAGATGAACTTAGACCGAACCAGCCATTCCCGTACGCGGATGAAGACCCTGACGATACCACCAACTACACGGTAGACGAATATGTAACGAAGTTGGAGAGGGAGTTTGGCTTGGTTGTTTGTGCAGATAATGATCCTAAACGGGTGGGGCTTTTAATTTATTCTTTTTCTGGTCCCCTGGTGGTGTCTTTCGTTATTTTTGCTTTAATCGAGGGCTTGTTTACTGATGGCCGGATTGGGATAGATATCTGTTATTTGGTCTCCCAGTGGAAGTCCAAAATCCGTGGGCCATATACAGGTCAAATATGATGGGAACTGGGAGAGTAAGGTGTCGACTGAGTATTGGGTCATTACACATGGAGAGAACGATTTCCAGCATCTCGTCAATGGGAATTTGGTGAGGATGAAGACGTTCAAGAGAAGATAGATGTAAGCGTGATATACGCTTGTTTGGTGTTTTATGGAATTCACGTTGTTCAGTAGTAATAGGGTCAATGGATTTAAGTGTCCTTGAGCGTCACTACTGTTATTCCAAAAGTAATACAGCATATTTGTTTGACCAGGGATCTGTCATTAATCTATACTATTGTATCTACAGAAGCAGTATCTCAACATCAGAGACATATCCAGAAAGGTCAAGTCTATGGTATCATCAACCACACTCTCTAACAATCTAGAACCAACACCGTTCAGTGTATGTATCCATAGCGGGGGTATTCAACAATGTAAAAGAAAGGAATCGTTAAAGGAGATCCAGCTCGCTGCTAAGGATTCAGCAGCAGGGTAATAGGCGGGACCAGGGTTAAACCGTTACTCGTGCGGTTTCTTTAGTACTTCTCCGGATCGCTGTTCTTGACGGCAGCCGAGTCGGTGCTGTCGCTGTCGGCGACATTCTTCGTCTCGGTCTGGTCCGCAGCGCCAAAGCCGTATTGGATGGCGACCTGCTCGACCTCCTCGTCGGTCAGGTAGGGGAGCTCCTTCCCGGCCTGCACGTACGACATTTTTTCGAGATAGCCCTTGGCGAAGATCAAGTCGATTTCTTCCAGGGAGCGACCCTTGGTTTCGGGGTAGAAGATATAGATGATAGGAATGAAGCAAGCATTGACAACGGCGAAGAAGAGGTAGGTACCCCACTTGATGTCCTGAATCATGATAGGCGTGACCATGACAATAAGGAAGTTGAACAGCCAGTTGGTGCAGGTGGAGATAGCATTGGCCTTAACTCTGGTCTTGAGAGGCGAGATCTCGGCAGGGTAGAGCCATGGCAGGGGCAGCCAGGTCGCACCGAAGGTTGCGATGAAAGTGAAGAGACCAACCGCTGCACCCTTAGATGCACTTACGTTGTCAGGAATCAGGCACGCAAATGCGAGGACCATGGAGATACTCTGTCCGAAGGAGCCGTAGAGGAACAGCTCACGGCGACCCACCTTCTGGATCAAGATCCAGGATGAACAGGCGAAAATAGAATAGACGATCATGTTAACACCGCCCAGAATCATGGACATGAACTCATCTTGGCCAAGCGACTTCTTAAAAAGCACGGGCAGGTAATAGATGACAGCGTTGCAACCACCAATCTGCTGGAAGAACTGAGACGAAGCGCCCAGAAGCATACGACGGCAGTGCTGTGTCTTGCCACCGGTAAAGACTGCAGACATGGGAGTGGATTTGGTCGCCATACCAGAACTGATTGTTGAAGTTAGTCAAGCGATATTCATTAGACAGGGAATGCATGGGGTTCACGTACGCTCGGATAGATTCCAAGATAATGTTCTTCTGCAGCTGAACATCATTGTGCTCGATGGGCTTACCCTGCAGTGCGGCAATGACTTTTTCACCTTCTTCATAGCGCTCTTGGGTGAAGAGCCATCGGGGCGACTCCGGGAGAACCAATAGGCCAAAGATGATGATGAGACCGAAGAGGCACTGGAAGGCAATGGGGAAACGCCAGGTGAGGTCAGGGTTGCCATATGACGCTCCGAAATCCACCCAGTATGAAATCAGAGTACCGATAGCAACGGTACTGCCCTCAATACAAATCAAAAGACCTCGGTTCGATGTGCGCGAGCACTCTGCCTGGTAGGTGGGGATCGTAGAGGTGTTCATACCGTTTCCAATGCCAGTGATGACACGACCGATACAGAACTGGGCCAAGGGAACATGACCGGGCCAGGAAGTGACTTGAATGATAACACCGATGATCATGATGAGCGCTCCCAACATGATGGAATATCTGCGACCCAACCAATCACCACAGGCTAAGATAAACAAGGCACCACCGAGACATCCTGGGCAGAGTTAGTTATGAACACATCGCCGGCGGTAGTGTTCAACATACCCAGTTCGTAGATCGCAGTGACCACACCCTGCATGGTCGAGTTATCTTTCGTTGCATGGAAAACGTCGTTGAAGGGCTTTGCGTCGATGATACTACTCATGACACCCTCTAATCGAAACCGTTAGCGAGATACGTTACGGCAGGATATTCTGGAAGACATACGATCGTAGCCGAAAAGCAAGAAACCCATCGTGGCAATGGTTGTTACGGACATCATCAGCTTTTGACCGCTGAGGCCGGCAAACGTTGGAGCAGAAGACATGGCTGCGATGAAGAAACCCTAATCGGGTCGATAAGATATGCGTACGTTGTCAATCGTCTACCTCTCCGCAGTGCAACCCGTAGCTCAGCAAATGCCGGTGACGCTCAAGCGTTTTGAGACAATAGACCGAGACCAAAGGACGTTTCAAAATGAGGATGGAGCTTTCCTTTATAGCTGCAGGCGCTTTGCCCCAGGGGGAAGGGAAAAACGTTACATGCGAAGGACCACCCACCCAGAAGCAGGTGTTACGAGACATGACCAATGTAGTCTTCATCAAGTAAGCACATGGGGAAGTGTGAAAAGTTTTCTATGGAAGCTCCCCCACTGAAACACCAACAGGTGAACCCTAGCTTGGCTCGGCAACAAGGGAAAATGGGACAGCACCGAGCGCTAGGCGCGAATAGGATTACACCTACTTATGAAATCTTTTGGGCTGAGACATTGAAGACGGGGAGATCCGCTGGTCTCATTGCGAGTTACGGTCCTTAGCTCTGGGGCCTAGATCTAGGCAGATAAACGTCGAGATACTAGTCTCCAGAATTTTTCGAAGACCCCCATGACACAGGAAAACGAGCCAAATGCCACTGATGTCATGCTGCTCTTGTGTTTGAAATTGTTCAAAGTCCAGAAAAAGATATGAAAAGGACAAGAAGAAAAAACCCCCAATCTCATTGCTATCTGTCAGGCTAGTATTCCGAAAGTCACTGCGACATGACGATTTGGGGGCTTCGGAGTGTTCTTGCGAGTATTTCTTGGCAGTCCCTCTCATAGGGAGACGGACGGGCATTTTTTCTTCCATCTCCAAAGAGCGGAGAGGGTCTGGGGAACTTGGGGTATGTTGTCCCTTGATCGAGCTATCACTGTCCAGGGTTAAAACGCCATCATCACTCCCCACCCGATACTCTCCGAGAAGAGGCGAATCAATCTCGAGCCGGTTATCAAAGAGGAAAGAGCACAGGAAGAATTTTCAGAAGTAAAGATGTAGTATTGGTCATATTAATTGTGATCATTTCAGCTAAGATTGGGGCCGTTCCGCTTGGCGCGCAGTGGCGAGCCTCTAAGGAGGATGAGTTTTGGCCACCACGTCTGGGCTGCCCCCTTGGCACAGTGAAGCAATGTAGCTTAAAGGCCCTTCTTCTTCCCCCCAGTGCTTGAGAGTGCTTGAGTCTTCTGGGTGTCTCCTTGACTCCCCCTTTGAACATCTTGGCGAGCGGAGTATATGGAGTCCTGATCATTGGAAGCTGTAATACGTAGATATTATGGCCAGCACCGAGATTACGCCAAGAGAGTGAATGGTTGGATTGCCTCATAACGAGTGCTACTCTAGAAAGACACGTAGAAAGGAAATATAATCCCTCCCAGGCCGCTGCCAAGCAGGTCCATGTTGGCTCTTAATTTTTTCCCCCAACGATTCACGGTCGGTCTTGGCACATCTCCGAGGCGTTACTAACGTGATCCCGATCGTCCTTTTTTTTACCGGCTAAATCTTGCTATCCTCATCTAGAGAACGCCATGTGGTGGTAAATTCTCTGTGTGCCTCGGCTGGGTTTCAGAAACATCCCGCGTAGTTCAAATCCCTTCTCGCCCCCGCGTTCTCCGCCATATTTAGTATGGGGAGATGCCATTTCCCCACGTTTTCGGACTCATCCTGGCCAACGAATGAGGTTGTCAGGCCGATATAGGTCATGTTGGCCATGACGAACCCGAGGTTTTGCCGCCTCGTCGGCCAGTATCGTGAGTGTTCAATTTGCCGATAACTCCCCCGGGTGAAAACTCTCATGGTCCGACCGAGCGGTCATCGTGGTATCGGATCCATTGTCCGCCTCGTCTGGCTGGACGGGGTCTAAAGCTTAAGCCCTAGTTTGCCGTTTCGGCTTACACTAGATCCTTCCCCTCCCCGTCCCGTTCGTGGCCCCATATTTTTTTTTCGCGTTTTTTCTTAAAAAGAAAAGAGAGCAGGTGACAGTCTTCCAAGAAGACACATTCCCGCGCCATTGACGTGAATGGCGCTTCTCGCAGAATTTTCTCTTCCCATCTTCCCAATTCAGCAAACCTCGGCCTGTCGCCGATCACGTGTCAGTCGATACCCTTCGTGCACATGGTCACGAGAACGATTATTTCGTATACCTAGTACTACAAAGGAAGAAAGAAGGAAATTTTTATACGAAGTGTGGACCTTGAAGGAATCTTCAGGTGGCCCAAGTAGTATGGATCTATTTAATGGGATGGTTGCATTGCGGCGTGCATGGATAAACTATGGAAGCAGACGCATCGGAGACATAATGCAGCAGCACACTCATACTAAACAATTCCAGAAACTTACTCGCGTCGTAGATCGTGTCCTTTTTCTCTTTTCTTTTTTGTTTTACTAAATCAGATAAAACATGACCAACAGATACAACAAGACCCTTATGGAAATGTAAGCAGTACGAGTAATGCTAGGTCTGAGAATTAGAAATAGTAGATTTCTTCCCCGTAGGAAAAACGGGTGTCGCTATTCATCTCGAACACCATGTTCCGAACATCGTGGAGTTCTCCTGATGGAATCGCTAACCTTTTAAGTATTTTTCATTAGCATCGTTATCAGGATAAACTGCTCCACAATGCTTGATCAATGCGCTATATTTTCGTATCGCTGGACTTTCTGAGTTTCTCTCTCGGCCCGGAAAGGTTGTGATTACTTTATCCAAAGGGCCGGTATAGTTCCCTTCATAACGAAGTATTGATACTCGGGTAAGAGGATATGATACCATGGATAGTATTACATGTCAAATCCCACTCGACCAAAAATATCAGCTGATATGCTGGTCGTGCTCTGGACTCTATATATGTCCTACCAACATTAGATATCTAGTTAGGTCAAGGTCTGTTACTGTCCTAGTATTGGCTACGATGCCAGTGCGACGCCTGTGAGGCGCTCGGGCAGTATTCGCAGGCTACATCACACCTTGAGCCAGGCTAAATGAGTATTTACCACTGATGCCGAGCTCTCTTAAGAACCTATCTCTGAGTACCATGATATTCCAACAGAACCCGATCGGACGGTTAAATCATATGCCAAATCCTGTTAATGCGAGCTCCGGGATATTCAGAGCCAGAACTACAAGATGAAGCGGCAGTATTTGATGGCAACTTCCTTGCACCTAACGGGAGGTCAAGTACTGGCTCAAAAGGAACTAAAGGGTAGCTACACTACCCTAGCTTTCCGGGGTATGGGCTCTTGCCGGAACGCGCAAACTTCGCACAAGCCGTCCTGGATGCCGGCATTATTGAGGCCTTCGGTAAGGTGGGGGCTCGACACATTGCGATGTAAGTTGAGGCACCACTTGTCACCAGAAGTGATGGACCGATATCATCTGTGGCCGAGGCGCTCCCCTTTGCGCGGTAACATGGCTTCCCTTTGGCGAACAAGGCTCCTTGTGGAGGTGAAGGGCGTGGTATCGAAATCGCTCGGATAGTGAAGTCGTGGGTGAGAAGCGCCAGCTCCTCTCTTATCTGCTGAGCGGAGCAAGAAGACTCACGACGCAGCGAAGTCAATATGGACCACTATGTACTATTCTAGTGCGGGCACGGTCAAGTTGCTCTTGGGGTTGATGGCAGCTTCACTTTCCTAGAAGTCAACTTGACCATATAGCGATCGAGGAACCGACCGGAATTGACTTGGTTCTCGAGCAATTCCGCATCGCGGAGGGCTTGCCAATCCGCATGACAGAAGCTCCCATCCCACGGGCCATTCTATTGGCTTTCGCGTCAATAGGGAGGACCCTGGTGCGTGGCTTTCATTAGCACCGGGCGCCATTTCAGCCTTCGCCGGCATCTGACTCGACAGGAAAGTTGTACGTTATTCCATCCTTGTATAACTTTCATAGGGAAGTTGATTGTCCCGGGCGCAACTCGTAAACAAGCACTCGCCGAGCTCGGCGAGCACTAAAGGAATTTAGGAGCGGAGTATCCACCATTCTACCTGTCACCGTGACACTTAACAAAAAAGTTTTCCATGGTATAGATGGCTTCAAGGCCCATACACGTTTCTATGTTGGCGGTCGCAATGCGACTAGAACTAATACCCGGGCCCTTCACTCGAACCCATCTAGAGATTGACGGTAAGCTTGTGTCTCTGGGAGTGCCTAGTTTGCTTCTCAGCGGCCTTAGGTTCGGTAGCTGTGGGTTCCTCTGTCACTGAAGAGGACGATATAAAAGAAATACAACACGGTTACGGATGACATTCCATTCTCGCGCCTGTATAGAAAGGCGATTCACTAGCGTAACGAAGGCGATGAATATGGAAACATTTGTCAATGTGCTAAAGCCCGAGGTTGTCCGTTTTTTCGCTAGGGAAGGTGACTGTCTTCAAGCTGGCAAAGTGCTAACCACATATGAAAGCATAAAGCTGGTATTCAATCATTAAAAGGCTACCTGTTTCCATGCAGGGATAGGCAAGTATTGACTAAGAGTAATGAGCAAGCTGACCGAATTCCTCTCCTCTTTTCCTTTTTGTTTCTTTCTTCAATTTTATTTTTATTTTTATTTTTTTTTTTTGCGACGGTCTATAATCATACCAATGTGGTAGAAGAAGACTATGTTCTTTTACAATAGGTGGTTTCATCAATTAATAATGGGCTATGTTGTAGTGGCAACGGTTGCTTGCCATCTATGCACTTACCATGGAAAAGATAAACTCAGAGAATCCTGCATTACTTATCTTTGTGTTCACATGATCAATATTCTATGTACAATTACACTCAATCAGTTCATGAGGACAGGAAATATCCTTACACACTTTGGCTGCTAATCAGCGCAGGATTATTCATTCATTGCCCTATCTCCGGGTCCTACATCGGGGATACATATGACATTACTCATGACGGATTGGAGACACTAGTTCACCCGTCAACAGCGTATTTCAAAGTGGAGACAGCCTCACGTTTATCGTTGGAGCCTCACCGAGCGTAGGGATTATCGCAGAGGATGCAGCAACGCTTGCTGACCCATATTGACTATAGAGTTTACTCATCAGCATTCTGGCTCGGCTAGGTGTAATAGTGTGAATGTACGAGTAAGAGGTAGGAAAAAGCCAGAGTTAGAAAAGATATTGCTCAAAAGGGTTCATTTCCAAGGAGTTCTTACGTCGGCACTACTGGTGCGGGCAGCGAGAGATGTAGGATATCTAGAAACAAGTGGGCTAGCGAAGCTAAAAAGCACGAAGGAGAGAATGCCGAGAGTGGGAAAGTGCATGGTGAATGGTGAATGCTGAGGGAGTTAGAACACCAAGGGTGATGAGAATAAGATGCCACTCCTCATGCCCTTTCAATAATGTCCCACTAACCTCCGGAGGTCAGTAAATTTCATCCCGTGTAATATATATTCGATTCATCCGCTAGTGGACCTATCGCCTCCAATCAGGACTGTTTCAGCAATCAGATAAGATGTATTCTCACGGAAAGGATCCACCAAATAGTGAGATAATAACGCACCAATTTAACCGGTTTTCTGATCGACACTCAATCGTTGCGTCAACGTGGAAACCCTTCACCCGCACTTAACACTGATAATGTCGTATTTTAGCTACGTATTGATTGGTTCGCGAGTAAGTCTCCTGGGGTGGTTGGTATCAAGGACAGAAACTAGCAGAGCATCGGTGTCTGACCCATGGTTGTGCTGTGCTGATCTGGAGAAAGTCATGTAGGGCTCATACTCGGGGTGGATATCTGCATCGCTGTGAACTAATATCTCTCAGTGTAGTCCCGGACACTTTTTAATGTGGATCTTAATGTATCTCAAGTATCGGTTCTGCTTGGTCAATCGAGCTATCAAGGGCTAGATGCGACATTATTCCTGTCTCGGAAGAATGACATTGACCAAGCTAGTACACTGTTGCATTAATTGATTAGTGATCTAGCCTGCTTATTCTCAAGCTAGGAATGTTTTCGGGCTTGAGCTTGATGCTAAACCCGCTGGACTAAGGATTCATACTAGATAGCCTGGTGATTCGCTCCATGATACAGTCCTACTCCAACTCAGGGCATTACTGTCCCAAGAATAGCCATCAGGCTCGGTCAGTATCCGCATGACAGCTCTTTCGACATGCTTGTTAATGCCCTTATATATGCAAGGGCTTACTCAAAAGCAAGAAGACCCCTCAAATCTTCCCAACACACTTACCTAAATCAGTAAAGTGGCTCAACAGTAGTTGAGGATATTTAGGCCGATTACCAAGGCTAACTCCATTCAAGCATTCTATATGCTCCACAGGCTATATATGCAAATTTATTGGCTATTTATTTCCAAGTTCAAGGTCTACAGCCTCAACCACTTTTGCTCCCGAGCAGAACTTAACTACTACCACATTTTGTATGGGTCGCGTCATGGATCAAGTATAATAATCATACTGGGTTACGACCTAAAGTTAACATGTACTTGCTGTCACGCATAGCTCACCTGATCGAATATGACTCGTAAACTCTCATTTAAAGATTATCGTGGACCATAGAAAGTGTTAACTATTGAAATTGATCGGCGTAAAGATTGGCATCTGGGTGATACCGCGGAGTATCGGGCCGATTACCAGTTAGGGTAATCCCGCCGAACATGGCTGATGATGCCCTGATCCAAATTGAAGAAGACGCTATAAGTTTATTCCAAAAAAAAAGATCTATCTCTATAAATACAAGTCTTGATGCATATAATACAACAACTCCGACCCGATGCTGAAACGATGCAAAAGATCAAGCGTTATTCGCACATGAGAAACTAGCGCTGCTGGGATCATCATGCAATGATTTGCCTGATACATACAGGCCGAGACCACACTAGAGAATTGGTTAGACAAGATCAAAAGTGGACGATTGGATAGAGCGTACTATGCATCCTGCGATTCCGATAATGAGAACGTTGAGAATGGTGAGGAAGATTTTCATTGGCGTGGCGAAAAACCGGCCTTTATTAAGGTAGAGCCAAAACACCGCGCTGAGACCGTCTGTTTGCTGTTAGCCTCTGGATATTCTGGGTATTAGGGGAAGGGTTCGGTGGTGCATACAGGTGAACCAGCTGGCGAAGAGAGAGGCCTAGTACCGACGTTAGTTGGATGATATGTAGAGACGGCGACGAATTAAGGCAACATACCACTAAGCTGAGAAGATTGTTGAAGACCGGGATTGCCTCTGCAATAATCCAGGCGACAATCCAGAGACCCAACATGAGGATGACCCATGTCCCCGTGGCCACTAAATCTTTCTTGTGCATGCGATCGCTGCCGCGGAAGATGCGGACGTAGACGTACTTGCACGCGACGTGGCCGTTGACGACTCCACCGATGATAATCTAGCAACGAGGTTAGAAGATATACTTTGTATATACCACGGAGACTGTTGGCGAGCTTACAGTCGGAAGGGCAATGCCGTAGGCGACCTTGCGCACCACGGGACTCGCCGACCCTAAGGCGGGGGAGGTCACATCCTGGCCAGCGTAGTAATAGACAACGACGGATGTGACGATGTAGAGGCAGACATCAATGCCCTGCAGAAGGAAGAGGGATTTCGGATACTCTTTCGGATCCTTTAATTCCGACATGAATCCAAAGAAGGCAACGTGCCCCGCTGTAATACACGTCAGCGAGCTCGTAATGTGCAAGGGTGAGTCTGGAACCTACAGAAGGAGAAGACGATGTTGCAGACGGCCAAGAAGGCTTTATACAGGCTGGTATCGACGGTTGCCTGGATGCCATCCTTCCATGGGCGTGATATACCAACAGCAATCATTACAACCATCACGGCACTGAAGACACTAATAAAGGCTAGCGGAAAAATGCTCAGTAAGCTCCCTTGTTACATATCCTGGGTGGCAGCAAACACTCACAAGCAACGGAAAGATAGGACACCTTGGCGGAGGTGCGTGGTAAACACAGAAAATATGAGATGACCATGCCCACGACCCCAAAGACGATGGAACACGTTCCATGGTCCGTGATGGAATTCATAGCCACCGTAAAGGTTAGAATGTGACTCGCCATGATGAAAACGACCAATAGAAGCTGGCCGGTTCCCAAAAACTCACGTCCGAAGCTGCCCATCAGGACCTCTCCGGCATCGGCCATGCTTTGAATGTGGGGATAGCGCCATCTGAACTGTCCGATGGTATAACCTGTATACGTAGCCAGAAGACCGAGGCCGAGAAGAAGAATAATCGCACTTGGGGATTTATTAGTATTTGCTACCATGGGCATCAGGATCCGGGTCATCGTACGGGGCAAGGCCTAAGGCAGCAACCACGGCAGGTAACGAAAGAATTCCGAGCGAGACGGTCTCCGCGACCATCACTGATGAGGGTAGGTTAGTGGTCTGCTCCGAATATTTGTCCATAAAGCATACTCACAAAATCCGCATTGCCTGTATGTGTTAGGTCAGTGAGCTATTTTAAGAGGAAATAGGCGGTGCGATGACATACCACCAGCTTAACACCTTGTACTTCACCTCGGCGAACTCTTCATCACCAAAGGTGTCCTGATATTCTGGATGGGACTTCTCATGTTGTTTCTCCGCATCCTTGACGCTGACATCATATTCTGGACTCTGATCCATGCCACTCAGCACTGCGCTCCCATCCTGATCCGGCGAGGGAGCCATGAGTGCACTCTGAGGAAAGGTTGATCTTCAAACGTGCTGTTCACCAGCGCGAAATGACTCTCAACCGGCTGAAGAGGGGCGAAAGGACAGAAAGGAAAGCGGTCAAGCAAATGAAAAACAAGACCCAGAGAAAAAAAAAAGGGAAAAAAAAAGAAACCGATTTGACAGGCGGAGAATGAGGTCGTAGTTGTGATGGATACTACGCTACCCAGTTCCATCAACGGTCTTACTCCACGTTCTCAGCCGATCGAGGTTCCTCTGGGGAAGATGTTGTCTGGGAGAAATGAAAGAAAACACCATTGAATCATGACGACCAAGAAAAGCCATGGTGATTGCCTGACTCACCTGAGGACTTGGCCGTGAATATTCTGCAAGTGTGTGTCTCATTCTTGTTACATAATGGCTTTTCCGGTCCCGTGGCGGCCATGTGGGGACCGGTAGCCAATACGAAGACGCGGCTCCCAAGATCGACAATTACACTAAGCCCAACCCGGAACTAGGGCAGGGGCTTCCTGCAGGTACTCAACCAATCATCACAACGGGAACACATTCGGCTAGAGATCCAGAAGCTGACCCCGGAAAACTTTAACGGGAAAATAATCTACGTCCGAACTTTACCTCGGCCGACTGTTGGAGCAAAGCAATGTTGAAGACCTAGACCGGTTTCTCATTTATAATTCAACGGGGTCATATTGGTTACTAGTACTTCCATCCCACCAAAACCCAAAATCATCCTTCCACCAATCACAACCCAGAGCCACTGACACAAGGAAAAGCCGACATTCAACAACACATCGTCGACCTCGTGACACGCATAGTCCACAGCATCACTCGTAATCATAAAGCTGTTTCTGTGGTGGCACATCCTGGCGGAGGAGGTACTTCTTGACATACCACGGTATCATGCCCCGATAGTGGTTGATATGCTTGCGAGTTGGCACGGAGAATACCTGATCTAACTCTTCGAGCGAGAGTGCCTTGGTTTCTGGCAGGCAGAAATAGCAGAAAATCCACCCGAAAAAATTCCACGCCGCGTACCATCCAAACGCTCCCTGGACGCCGAATGCATCACGCAGGGGGAGCCAGGTGAGGGACACGATGAAATTAAATCCCCATGTTGTGGCGGTCGCAAACGACATGCCGATGTCACGGATGTACAGTGGCTGTTCAGATTAGCCTGGGCCAGCGCAGAGGAAATGAGTACGAAAAGCAGCCAAGGAAAGACGACAACTCACAAATGCTTCAGCGGAGTAGGTAAATGGCACAGGCCCCTCCCCGGGGGAATAAACGATCATGTACAGGTAAATCCCAGTCGCGACACAGGCTGTTCGGGATGTCTGGTCAGGGATATAGAACGAGAAGCCGGTGAAAAGTAGGAACAGGCACATCAGAGGGAACGTTGTCAGGAGTAGGTTACGCCGGCCGAATGTGTCAATTGTATAAACCGCTGGGAGAGCAAAAATCCAGTTCGTGATGCCGCATCCGAGAGAAACAACAAGTGCCGTGCGCAGATCAAAACCAGCCTCGCGGAACATCGAACTGCTGTAGTACATAATGGCGTTCACCCCACAAAACTATGCATTACATTAGCGATAAGATGAAAGAACTAAACCTATCATATACACAGACCTGCTGCATGAACATGACAAAGAAGGATGACTGGGCTGCACGCCGGTTGCGAGGGACAGTGAACATCTCTCGCCACAGCTGTTTTCCTTCACGGAGCTTCTCTTCAACTTTCAAGGCAGAGTGAATGTAATAGAGGTCCCTTGCCGCTTGGAACTCTGATGGACGCAGCTTGCAAAGCGCTTTGAATGCGTCCCGATACCGGTTGCGCATCATATACCATCGCGGTGATTCTGGGCACAAATAGACCTGTATACAGACGAAAAACGGACTCAAGGGAAATATTAGTTACCAAAAAGGAAAGACAACAAACCCAACCGCGGGATTTTGCCATCACTATGGAACACTTACGGAATAGCAGTTGACCCGAGCATGAGTCTCCAATTGAAACCTGGGATAGTTGAATGCGTCACGTCCATGAACGCGACCGATGCAATATATCCAAGCATAATACCAAATGCTGTCCACATCTGCCACATCATGACTAGGGCCCCACGAATATTGGCAGGTGCACATTCAGCCCCGTACACCGGTGTGGTTGTTGACTTGGCACCCACCGCAAATCCCAAGAGGAAGCGAGCCATCAGAAGATTCCACCAAGTGTGTGCGGCGGCCATCCAAAAGGAGGAGGCAAATGAAATGAAACAGGAGATGAAGATACAACCGCGGCGACCGAACCAGCGATTAAGCGGAGCGGTAGTCCAACACCCTATAGCAGCTGAGCAAAGATACGGAGCTCCATTTAATAGGCCTTGCTTCCATCGGTTGGTGAGATTGAACTCCTCATAGTAGTACCTATCCGTTGTTAGCAAACCAGTCAACCTAGAGCCGTAGAGAAACTTACTCTTGAGCTCCGTTCACTGCGGTCTGATCCATTCCCTGCACAATTGCGGAGCCCGCGCAAAGGACTGTTGATCATCACAGTTAGAAAGTCCCCGGTACCTAGTACAAAGGCCCTTACTGGTCATAAAGTACATCATGAACGGTTGATTCCACCGGTGTGTTTTTTCTCGGCGAAGGAGTTCCTTTTCGCCTTCCGACAACTCACTCAATTGCTCAAAGGATCTCGGATCCTGAGCCACCAGTGCCCCCCGTTTGAGCTCTTCCATAATGTCTTCGAGATTCTTCTCGTGCGCAAACTCTTCGACGTCGCGGTAAAGTTCCTCGCGAGACAAGCCTGCAAGGGGGTTCTTCTGCTTGGCCTTAACATCAGGCTTAATGGCATCCTGATACCAATCCCGGGCGATCTCAGCCGCCTCTTGTTTCTCGACTGAGACGGAGGACTCCAGATGATGCGTCGAGGTGGATGCTTCGGGGTCGTTGATTTTCTTGTCCATCGCAGCAGCCTATGTGCAGAGCACCTTGCAGATCGGGGACCAAGGCGTGGGTCAATATGTCCAAGAGGAGGTGCAGAAGACAGGCAAATGAGAGACAGGGGAAGGAGGAGAGTCTGGGGCCACACAATCTGAGACGGCAGAGGACCGACGCTTTTAACGTGTGCAGGTCTCCAAAAAAGCTGTCACCCGCAGGATAAGGGGGGGGAGGGAGATGGCTACCGTGCCATTCTGTGGGCCAGTCCAGTTGATCATGACTAGCCCTCTCCAGATTAGCTAAGATGCACCCCCAGAGCCTTGCCCATTGACCCCATGTTGCCCCAGGCCAAGAGGCTTGGAACTCCAAGATGTCCCAGGTGGCGTTCTTGGAGGTCCCGGACGGTGTGATAGAGGGAGCCTACTATCACACCCACGATCCACTTTGCCAATGTTGTACACGAGAGTGGCTGGCCCTATGCAACATCTGGCGGGAGGTACGGACAGTACGGCATCATTATTTGACCTAGTCCGTAATCAGGATGTGCCGTAGGCTAGCGGCACTTCATGTCGTACAGGGTACCAGAAGAATAAATGAGGTTATCACAACGACACTAACTGAAGCCGAATGACAGAGGAGTTGTTCTTCATTTGTGATTGGCGTCAGAAGTATCACTAGCCAACGGTGTGATGCGGGACGATATACTGTTATAGGCGCCCATATGGTTTGACAGCCTTCGCCAGAGCACTCCCTGTAGAGCTACACCCGATCCAGAACCAACCCCCCCCCCCCCCCCCCCCGGGGGGTGGAGTAGAGAACCGTTAGGGTAAAAGGGAAAAGGTCAGTTGGACGAATGACTCAAGGCTACGACCGCAATCATTTCACAGCTTGCATCATACCACAGGCGTGGTCAACGATCGGCGCTTTCGCACTCAGTTTGATGCCTCTCGGCAACCTTGGCGCAGAGAGCGCACAGCCAGTGAGCTCCAAGTCGGCCAAGAACTCGGATAAACCGCGAAGTTGAACTTGGTCTTTCCGCATACGACAATAGCCGCTTGGCTTACATATGCCGAGGGCGCTATAAGGATTCATCGATTTACTCGGAACTCAATAAACAGGATGAAAGACAAAGAGCCTTTCCTGGCCGAGTCCTCTTCTACAAACTCTTCAAAGATAAGGTTCCTTCTCCCCTCTGTAACTAGTAGCGTCACCATGAATTCCCGGAGACGCAAACAATGAATCCCGACCCCTGTTATTGGTTCTCGGACTGCCAATACACATTATTCGAGACTACTAATTTCGCCAAGATAAAATCAATGTAACATAAAGTTTGCTGTTTGTTCGTTGGAAAGATTCGAGGCGTGTAGTTGCAAAGGAGGAGAAAGAGAAAAGAGGAGAGACAAAAATTGGCAAGGAGAGGGTGGTCACATGGTCGTGGCCTGAGGCAGGAGGGTTCGGCCAGCCAATAAAGGAAAATCTCACTCTGCCCTAATAGTTCCAAGACGTCTAACCTCACCACTATTAGTAGTATGATGCAACTTCTTCCACCACCTCTGCACTTCATTGGCAGGTTCAGATCCTCAGACGACCGGGCCAAGGCCGCTCGAACGAATACCATGTCACGCAACCGACCATTTCTTGGACAGAGGACAGGATGATATCTATCATCGTGGAAGTTCTTTTATCGGAAAAACAGCGAGAAATGCAAAGGAAAATCGAGGGCCCGTATTCCAAGAAGCCTTCGAATTATGATCTTTGAAAGACTCATTGGAAACCTGTCATTTCTTAAGAGGTATTCTATTGATCTAAAGTGCATGCAATAGACCTTGACAATCAGCTTGGATAGCAAATATTTCTTTGCAACAGCGTCCATATTGACGCTTATATCGCTGTCGAGTGAAAACCTTCCAATCCCCTTGAACGTTCGTACTAATCATCATCGCAATACCCCCAGCAATTAACATTACATTCCCACAGGCCCACACAGGATTAAAGCCATGATACTTCAGGATGCCCCAACAACTGCAGCCCAGCTATATTTACAATAGTCATGACTGCATAGCCCATCCCCATGCGGGTACCAATCGGGGGAAATATTGACGAAGCAAATTGGAGGTAGTGTACAAGTGCCTCTAGAAAGAGCCCATAAAGGAGAGCAATACTGATCACTAACGCCTAGCTTGACAGATTCGCCAAGGCAAAGGTAACTCCCCCCGACATCATCGTGCACGTAAAGATTATATTATATGGACCAATTACGTTCGCGAACATGTTAGGAAAGATTCGCTCGACTACGGAATCCGTGGTCAAGATTGAGAGCAGGTAGGGTCCCAGATTATCAGCAGTAATGTCCCCGTAGATAGCAAAATGTTGAATATAGTAGAGCAGATATCCAGTGTAATGAATGTGAGAGTTCCTCCAAGCCCAAAGAAAGCACACGCGGGCTCTCAAAATGCCCCCACACCCAGCACTTTACGTTTGTCGGATGCCTTCACTCGTGATCGGATGATCGGAACACCATGAGAGGAATAGGTAACGGGAGAAGAGGGCCTGGCCGGCTGCCCGAACGGTCCATCCAAGGCCAATTCGATCATAAATGAGCCACAATAAATAAGTGGGTAGAAGTAGCCTGCATCATAAAGTGGAGAGCCAGTTACTAGGCCCAAGACCAGGAGTAGAGATGACTGCACTGATCCAATCCATGAGATACTGGATGATAAGGATGAAATAATTTCTGAGTCACATAAAAGGTCTGATAGGCATCAAACGTGTTCAGAACACCCTTTGGGGAAGGGCACAACGCAGATCGACATACCCCGTGTATGTCTAACTCATCATGTATTGAAGATAAAAAATGTTTTCACAGCTTGCATCCAGACTTTCACCCCTCGGTTTGGGATCGACGTCGTATCATTGACTAAAGCCTTTGTTTTTCGCTTCAAGTATGTCGGGTGTTGAAGTATATTCTTCCTGGACTTTTACGTACATTATTGCAATATGAGTGGGTGATTATACTTAGACAGATATAACACTTTTCATGTCACGTAGTGAAGCTTTTGAGCCCAATGCTTTATTTTTCTGCCTGTACAATAGCTCAGTATAAGCATAAACGCAATTAACAATCATTGACCTATCACATTGCCTTCCTTAAAATGTAGTAGCGGTGCCGTATTCTGTGCTTTGCTTCTGGACTCCGCTCAAAACACCTCAAAACACTCCTATACCATAGTGATATATGGTCTGCCGTATTAGCGAAGTGATCGATTCTCCGCCCCGAGAGATTCGAAAGATAGTCGTCAGCATACCGGCACGGTGAGAAAAGGCTCCCCGTGCATAACTTCATTAGATCAAACGCAATATATAGTATCAACAGAGGTAAAAGTGTTCTCCTAGATCACTCATATCGATGAATACCCTAATCCCCACTATGAGCCTGGATCAATGTAAAGCCTATCTGAGCTTCTCAGTGGATAGCGGAAGGAACTCTGTCCTATCTATCCGATGATCCACTAACATACATCGTAGTACCTAGACATGGCGATAGACTTGACTTACAAGATCGGAGACTCATCCCAGTCTTTCAAGGCTAGTGCTTATTGACCATATACTCAGGCAGACAAGAATCTATTATTATAAATTTCAACTTCATTCCGAGTCTCGGTATTTGGAGACAAGGCCGGGCTACTACTAGTGGTATAGGGCAATACAAGAAGGCTATGATATTAGGCTTTGGGCATGGACCTGTAGTACTATAATCCTGCAGGCCGCCATTCCTATATATTCTTAATGGGCTACCGATTCCCAGCTCAGCAGTGATGGCCGTGTTGCTTCAACCTCATGTTTAAGTCTTGGCTGATGCTATAGCGCAGATCACCGGTGTAATTTGAAACTCTATTGACATATCTCGATAATATTGGAACGATACAAATTGACATGTTCAACCGCCTGTTCCGGCAGTTGGCGTACGCTACAAGCTCGTCATACATCCAGGGCACGAACCTTCCGCAGACTATCATGACAAACGGAAATTCAGTCCTACGAGACGGCCACCCGGTCATTAATTTCTTCGCATACCAGCGATTGTGAGTTCTTTCACGACCGTCATAGTATTTGTTTAGGCAATGAAAGCGCATGACCGCGTCTATAGTGATGTTGATGGAGGTTCATTGTGTGCCATTATAATTGGGACTGTAAGTGAACCAGCCTCTATGCTACCCTGTACAGTAACTAAGGAAGTCACCATATCTCATTAGGCATCGTACGCTGTCCTCTGGTCTAGTGTGCCGTTGACAATCAATCACTTTTACATCGGCCCCTCCGTCCCGGTATCTACATTGCATTCGACTTCATCGCCTTCGGAGCAGTCTTCGCTACGACTGTTGTCACGATGGCGATATTGACTCCTGCTGCGGAAGGAGGACACGCCTGTCGTGGATATGCTTGCCGAGACAGTATTTTATCGATTGTCGAGTTCTTTGGGTCTTCGATAGCTTTGCTTAATTCATGAGCTAGACAGTTGACGCATTTGAGGGGCAGTTCTTAGATGAGCTGGCAATAGGGTCCTTTATTTTGTTTTGTTCGTCTGGGCCTGCTGGGACTGTGACCACTACAGAAAAATATCTCGCAAGCCAGAGTTTTAAAACGTCCGTTAGCGGAGATTTCTACTCCTTTTGAAGATATCAACGACAAATACATGTCATATTTATCGTTCACGATTAATGTCTATTATCTCGCCAATGTGATGCAGTTGTGGATTATCGATTTGCGTCTGGCACGCTGAGTTATAATGTCTAATCATGATAATGACTGCTTATTGCAAATGCTTCTTCCTCGTCTTTGGCGAGATGGCACAGAGTTCCTGATAAATGTTAGCACGTTCAAGCCGTTCAGGTTTTTTCGCATATCTTACGTGACTCATGGCGTGCTGGAAGTCTTTCTCTCAGATTGGGCCCTTTAGAGCCGCCGAACTCGTACTGGGAGATAATGCTTAATATACACATTTAAATAGGTTAGGAGAAATAAAGGAATCTAAGATATTTTCACATAGTGTCCTTCGTATGACTACCCACATCAAGCGAGGCGTAGCGTATCATTTAATCAGTAAGACGCTCTCTAGCTACATCAACTACAGACGACAACTAAGGAGTCCTTGCAAAGTCTGACTATGGTTTCTAAGTATGCACACTCTCGGGGGATAAATCTATTGGGGTGGTTCCATGGTTTGTCTCCTAAACTAGTGTTTCAGGTATAGATTGGTTCGAACAGGGCATGGTACCCTTGTTGCATGAATTCTTTTTTCGACGACCCATTAACCTTGACAAGATTCTGTGATATACATGTTACAGAAAAAGTACAATACTCGCTGGTTACGTCTCCGTCCGCCCAAGCCCTTCCGCCATACATGCTTCGCGCTGCTTGATTCCATGACATCTCATCTACCAGGCCACACTGTCAGCGGCACCGTTCTGTGTGCAGTAGTAGTGCAGCTCGTCGCCTCCAATGTGCTTTCCGGCAGACTCGCAGTAGTACAGCAGGTCCCTCTCGTTCTTCAATGTGCAGTCGGGGCATTGATCCCATTGCTCGTTGCCGGTGTTGCGCTTCTTGTACGCGGCGCAGGCCTTCTCAGTCGCAGCTCTGTTATAGACATCCTGAAGGAAAGTCAGCACTGAGATTCTGAGTAATATAGTGGACCGAGGTGGTACATACGGCCCCCTTCTGATCGATACAGACACCGGTAGTGTGAAGATCAGCAACGACGCTATGAGCATGTTAATGCGGCTAGTACTCGAAATAGGCATATGATAAGGCTTCCTTACCCAGCGGTCAGGGCGGCAATGAGCAAAGAGATAGATGCCTTCATGCTTGCTTGAGAGATCCCCTGATAATGGTTCAGAAATGGTAGGTGTCTTTAGTTGGTGCTTTAAGGGTCTGCAAATCCTAGTGTCGGATTCTTAATGTGTGCGAACCACAGTAGTACTTATGAACGACCATAAGGAGGCTTCCATGGCGGAGTATATGAGGACAGTGTCAATCCCGAGACTCCTGTCATGGTAATCTGCATCTCTTGGTCCCCGGCGAAACATCCGAAGATTCCCCATGCAGCTGCCATGACTGCGATCAATGGCTCGGCAAACCTCCTGATAGTATGATCTGTATCCAAATGATGTGAACGGCCACCATATCCCAGGTACCAGCAGCGATCCTGGAATTCTTTTTTTCCGGCTAGCCAAGGCAATTCAACGACCTCCAGCGCGGGATATGTTTCACTTCTTGACATTAAATACATATGCAGGATTGCGTTTCATCCTTCGCAGCTTTAGCAGTTCATCACGGTCCCGCCGGTATATCCAATCGGATCCCACATGGGGATCTCTGGGTCGATCATTTCGGAAGCGATCAGCACGGTTGAGCGATGTGGATTCCCCAGTGTTAAATGGCCCAGGGACGGTGGGTGGCAAAACTGGACATACTCATCTTGATATACGTGGCTGTGCTGTATAGCGCATCCTTTAGCCTTGCTTCTATCGATGTTTGTGGGAGTTGGTGCAAATAAACGCCTTTAGTGCATAATTATGCCCCCATGCTACTGATAACCGGGGAAAGCTCGTCTCTCTCGCTCCACTTATCCACAGTCATAGATACATGCTCAAAATATATACGACCTGCAGTGGTCTCGTCGAGGACTAAATCGTACCGAATGACCCGACGTCTTGGATCCACGGCCGATGATCGACAGGGACATCTGCCCTATCTATTTTCTTCTGCAGAAAGCTAAATAAATTGTCCTGCGGAAATTATCACCTCGCATGCGCCGACCGTTGCCCAACTCCTTCCAGATATGGGGTGATCTTCAAGTCATTCTCAAGATCCCTGTCTTGCAATGTCTCAACAGGCTCATCTGTGCCCGGACAATCTTCGGGGAATTCCCAGTCAGATAAGACGGAGGATCATCTGTCAATCTTCCGATACCCCATGACGAGTCGCACGTCAGCTGTGCCGAGACTGATTTGGAGTTGTCGAACCAGACTCCTTCCAGCTGGGCTTCCAATAGAAAGCTATATGCTCTCCCTGGCGACATTCTATATAGAAGTCTCTCCTTCCTCTGATTGACCTCTCCCCCTTCGACTAGTTCTTCCGTCTCTCTACATCCAGTCTTTTCAACCCCCCCTTGACAGTTCTTTTAGCAATTAAGTTGCTCATCTAGACATCATGAAGGTGCCTTTCGTCCTACTGGCCTCCCTCTGTGCCAATAGCGCCCTCACTACGGCTCTCCCCACCGATCAAGCCTCCGCCGAAGAGGCCGTCCTCTTGCTCCGTAACGGCACTACCAAGGCTATTGAAACGAAGGACATTGAGTCACATCTCAATGGCATCCCTATCGGAGAGCCAGCTGATAACCATCAGTCTTTCACGTCCGAGGGATTCAGCGGTCTCCAGAAGCGCGGTAATGCCCAGTTCATCATCCCACTTCCTGACCAGGAATTCCTTGGCTGGGATATCGCCATGTCCTCCATCATCCACGCCAATGAGCGCGACGCGACAGTTGCCATCGCTGCAGGTCAGAGCATTGCCAACAGTGTCTCCGTCAGTGCATCGGTCTCCGCTACCGTCGATAAATGGCTCCAGTTTGGTGTCAGTACCGACTACTCCCAAACAACAACCAACACCTTGACCGGCACGGCCACTCAGACAATTCCTAAGGGCAAGTATGGGGCCTTCGTCAGTAACCCGAACACCCACCGGAGAAGTGGCTATGTTTTCAGCGGTACCCCTGGTAATGCTCAGTACGAGTACTTCAAGGCTGATTCTTTCACCCCCAAGAAGGTCAGCTACCAGTCGGCCGAGCTGAACTGGGTTGAGGGTGTGATCACTACTTGTCTGGGAGACACCTACCCCTTGAAGATGTGCAATGGTGACGGTGTGCTGAAATAAATCGCTCGCTGGGTCGGCAAGTTTCCTTGTCGTTCAGATCATTTGCTGTTGGAAGGATATCTTCAAAGATATCGGCTTCAGTTGCGAGTCAATGTGCTGCTGGGCATGCAACACAATTATCCATGTCAACTCTTTTTGTATGTATACTTATCTCTACATAGATTTCTTATATTGTTGGCTTTGTGGTGAAGCTTGGGAAAGAAATATGATACAGAACTGTCACCTCTTGGCTTCGTTCGAACGAGTATAGAGTAGCTATGTAATGAGTATTGTAACGGGGGCGATCATTGTACATCAGCCACTGGCATGTTCCTCCAGGCGCGATAAATCATACCATCATTTCAGGGTGACTAAAGAGTGTAGTCCGTGAGGGTAGTTTACTATCGTTCGACCAGAAACCCCATTTGGGTATAGGACCATAAATAAGCAATGCATTTTGCAAAAGCTGTTGTACCATATACACATCTCTATCCATGTGTTCTATTTCTTGGCATTGTATTTATGGGCAAGATAGACCAGTAAATTATTCAACTATTCACCTCATATGATAAAAGCAGAATACGGATAGAAAAGTTCATCATTGGAAGACTCCTAGGGGGTTTATTCCTGTCTCTCATATTCTATTTTATGCCAAGACCATGTCGACACTACAGAGTACACGGAAATCGAATCTCTTTTCTTCTCTTATGGCTCTTTAGGTTGATAAGTAAAAATAAGAAGTATTTATTCAACAGTCGGCCGGCTGGCCCAATGGTAAGGCGCTTGACTACGGATCAAGAGATTGCAGGTTCGAATCCTGCGTCGGTCACTATTTTTGCTTTATTATTTTTTTTCACCTGTATCTCCTTTTGTTTCCTTCGTTTCATCATCCCCTTGCGTTCTTTTGCTTTTGTTACATGTTCTCCCAAGTTCGACAGCGCTTATCATGTAGACCGGAAATATCGCACTGAGACGACAAGTCTGTAAATCTGGCAGATATTTTAAGCAACCTACTTTGGTAAAATCATATATATAAGTGGAATACTAAAACATCCGGAATTAAATTTGTTCCCAAGAGTACTTAGTATCCGCTGCGGAAACTTCGGTTAGCAAGGCCCTCTCCTGTATCGCTCGTTAAGAGTCCATAAACATAGCTAGCACAAAACCAGCAACAGCGAGGTATTTGGAAGTAAAATCCCGAATCCTGCCCAAGTGTGAAGCAGAATGTTAGTCGTAGCTGTATAATTGAGCTCTTTATCAATAGCAGCGCGGGCCCCCCCCCCACCCATCTCCCAATCCCTCCGACTGTATCTCTTTATTGAGATTAGTTCCCCGCCAGACACTTTACCTTCCTTCTCCAGAATAAGGGCTCATACAAGTACGACGTTTATAGTTCTACTTGATTTCTGGAATAGCTGACGATCTATGGGAACAAGAAATGGGGAGGAGAGTATCTATCACTTGTGACTCAGATGCCTGATTGACGCCTGGATTGGCAATATAGGAAGAGATGGCACACCAAACACCGAATGTTGATGCTTTACATGGTAGTCTTCCATTTGGAGCAATAAATAAAGACGGGCATTCAAGTGCGCCACAAGAAAATGCTCTGTAGAATGTATGGAGCGTGTATAGCTCATGATACTTTTTGGAGATGACCCATATCGAAGGGGAGCATCACAGCCATGCACATTGTGACCGAATCCTCCTTTGCAACGGCCCAGCAAAGATTACTGTACCCACCCTGCTCCGGAGGCTTGGCTTATCTTCCTCGATTGTAAAAATCGAGCAGAGTTGTCTGCCCGATAAACTGTACCTCAGAAATATTCTCGTCCAGTGGCGTATTACTGGTGTAAGCGACTTTAAAGACTTATCAGGTTAGAAAACCGAAGGTATCCACGGTAAAGGTCAATACGAAGTAGTAATATAGCTTTGGCTGTCGTCGGAGGGCTGAGGATGTAAAAAGAAAACATGGGTATCCGGGTTGTGGTACCAATATCCTCTCCACCTCTCCCCCGTCGGACGGACAAAGCCTCTTTTCGCTATACATAGTCTAACTGTATATACTGTAGGTGCTTTGGCGCCTGTGGTGGGACTAACGCTCATAGAGAACCTATGGAAGAGCCTTGGGAATCCTTTTAGCAGTTTCAATTGGCTCGGGCGTGGACCGAAGGATGACCTTGAGAATTGATATATATTAAATGGTAATTATTCCCCGGCTTGGCTCTCTATAATAGGTGGAAGAATGACCCTTGCCAATATCTTTCGGCAGTTTGTAGAAGTTTTTGTTCAGTGTCTCTACGAACCGGCCGCTTCTGCTGGTGGTGTGACAAGTCAACGTGGACATGAAACAACCTTATGGAGTAAGTAATCCCAGTAATCAGGGTTTATACATCATATATATAACGAGCTAGGGCCGGAGGAAGCATAGTAACAACTAATATGAGGTCCACCATCTCCACTTGTGTTGCGACTAAGGCTTTACCAAAGTGTGTATGGTGGATCCACGACTCGGATAATTTCATCTCCAAACCACCTAACGGGGATCGGCGTCCATTTAAATCAATCTGCTACGTTTAAACTCCTGGAAGAGTCGGCACCCTTGGCGAAAGTCCCGAAAAATACCCTATTTCATTCATCCTAATAGTAAACACTAGTGCTGCGATATTCGTATCTTCTCATATTGATTACTTTGGCGCCTGTGGAACCGCAGTGTCTGGTGGGTTTTCTTCGGACTCTGTGTCCAAAGCACGTAGGTGGTCCTCATACCTGCAGAATAGATGAACGGTGGTTTGAGATGCGGTATACAGGGGACAGTCGGATTCTCCATCAAGATTTTAAAAAGGACGATGGGTTCGCAACTTCTCTTCGCTCATCCAAAAGCATTCTCTCTCTTTTTCTAGGTCCTCCGTTCCTGTCTTTCACTTTAATACACATTCCGTGCGCTGGATCGCATATCTCATTCTTTTACGATCTGCCAAAAATTGATTCATTGATTGGAATCCTCTCCTTACCTAGACACCATGCGTCACGTTCACTCTGCGTCTCTTCTGACGGCCCTTCTCTCGGCCACCAAGGTTGCTGCCCACGGCCATGTCACCAACATCGTCGTCAACGGCGTTTACTACGAAGGATTTGATATCAACTCCTTCCCCTACATGGGCGACAATGCTCCCACGGTAGCCGCCTGGACTACTCCCAACACTGGCAATGGCCCTCTGGCTCCCGATGACTACTCTTCCCCGGACATCATCTGCCACCAGAATGCTACCGCTGGCAAGGGTTATGTCGAGGTCAACGCCGGAGATCGTATCAGCCTCCAGTGGACCCCATGGCCCGAATCTCACCACGGTCCCGTCATTGACTACCTTGCCCGTTGCGAGCCCAACTGTGCCTCGGTGGACAAGACCTCTCTTGAGTTCTTCAAGATCGATGGCGTTGGTATCGTCGATGGCTCCAGCGTTCCCGGTGTCTGGGGTGACGATCAGTTGATCAAGAACAACAACAGCTGGCTCGTCGAGATCCCCAAGTCCATCGCCCCTGGGCACTACGTCCTCCGCCACGAGCTGATTGCTCTTCACTCCGCCGGTACTGAGGGTGGTGCTCAGAACTACCCCTCTTGCTTCAACTTGAAGGTCAACGGTGATGGTACCGACAAGCCCGCTGGTGTCGTCGGAACTGAGCTCTACACTCCCACCAGCGATGGCATCATCTTCAACATTTACCAGGCGGTCTCCGAGTATCCCGTGCCCGGCCCAACCCTGTACACTGGTGCCGCCACTGGTGTGACTCAGGCCACCTCCGCCGTTACCTCCACCGGTACCGCCCAGGTCATCGACGCGGTTGCTACCACCCCAGTGTCGGTCCCTAGCGCCTCTTCCTCCGCAGTCGCCTCCTCTTCGGCCACTCCCTCCCGCTCTCCTTCTCCCTCTTCCTCAGCTGTTGCCTCCTCTTCCGCTGCCGCCTCCCGCTAAGCATTGAGTTCAACGGGGAGACATTGAGGCTCGACCTGTTGTTTGCGCGATCAAGGATGCCGTCTCATAAAAGGGAGTTGGCTGAACACAGTGTATTATAGATTATTTTCTCTTGACTCCCAGGGGCAGCGACTTGAATTGATAGTAGTTCTTGTATTTCTTCAGTATAACTATATCCACGTAGATAATCTCGATATAGAAGCTATATATGCGTTATTTACCACAGTGAAGGATGCTATAATCGGGACTAACAGTCAAAATCTATCCGGAAAGATCCCTTCAAGTGATCCGTGCAGATAGGGTTCAGCAAGAGAGTGAAGAATGCGGACAGATATATCCACCGCGAATCAACTGACGCTGTATGATACGGTGGAGACAGGTTTCTCCACGAGAGCTGTCTTTAAGCCTTGGTATTGAAAGTCTTCTCGAAGATACTCACAGATCGATGAGGAAACCATGCCATATTGTCTGCAGCACTGATCACGATTGGTTGAGCAAGACTGTCTTTTGTTGTTACTTAAACTTGTCGAAGGGTTTCCACAATACCACCGGTCATTGAGGACAACTGCTGGGATTGTATGTAGCTTCCTGTTTTCCTGCCGGTCCTGGTGTGTGCGTCGTCTGTGGCAGGAAGGCCCCAGGTTTAGAAGCAGACATACTGCATCATGAACTGCATTTCCGGGAAACCATGTCAAGAAAGGGAAAATACCGCCTGACGATGGCTCATGCTCCTATGTCAACATATTCCGAGAAGCTATATCGAATAGTCTCTCCTCTATTTAAACATTATGTATACGTTATGAACATCTCCAAGCTTATATACATACACCTTCCCACTATGAGACCATCTCAAAACCTAGAATGTAGCCTTTCCCAAATTCTCAGCCCAATTTTCCTTCTTGAATGGCACATTTGCCTTAACAAAGTCCGTAGCCTCCAACGCATTCCGGGCAGCCTCCGGGAGACTCTCATAAGCAACCAAGGGCTGATAGCCGCCAACTTCATCAGTAAGCCCACATTGATGGTTCACCGGCCAAATACTGTAATACTTGATCAACGGATGTGTCTCCTGGAGGCTGTAGCCATCCTTCGAACAGTCCCATTTGCCATGGCCGGACGGACACACGGCAAGAATATTGTCGGCAGAGGTCTTGGCCGGGTCAGAGATCCAGACAATCACACCCTCCCAATCGTGGCGGTGTCCCATTCCGGGCCCAGCCTCGTCCTTGGGGAAGTACCACGAGTACATGAGTGCATACTTGCCGCCGGACTTGCCGCTCCGGACGTAGACTTGTCCATCGCTCTTGGAGCAGTCGCCATTGGTCGCACCTGTGATGTCGAGGCCGGCACTATAATCGTTAGTATACTTGATGGAGGGAGTTATGGCGGATGGGTTTCTTTTCTCCTTACTTGGTGTTTCCCTGGGCATCCACGGCGGGGAAGGGAACGCATCCATTCACCACTTTTAGCAGCGGTTGATACGCCTTGTACACGTCGCCTGTGGCTCCGGGGGGAACTGTCTCAGGAAATCCCACGACCTTGTCATGGTCAATGGGTTCTCGGCGAATGAGATGGCCCTGGACGAGCTGCGATAGCACCGCAGTCAGGAGAAGGAGCTTGGAGACCATAATTGAAACAAGGCGACGATGACGATCAGAGATTTAACCGACATTGTACCTACAAAAGCATATCCTATTCCACTTTATATGATTTTGCATGGGCGACTGATCCATTCTGCATAGTTCGTCGATCACTATTCCTTCGCGCAAATAATTCTCCGACGTTGTGCCGATCACTTGTGGAAGAGAGCGATATCCGGCCAACCGAAGCCTCGCTCACACGCTGTCAGGAACGGTGGTCCCTGAAAGGATCGTCAGTAGATAAGGGATAAGACTTATCTATCTTAGTTCAGCTCCTAGATCAACTTCAGAGTGGGTTCTGTGTGCCAGGCACCGTTCGATTGACTGATCTCTAACATATGTCCGGTCTCAGAAGGAGGAGTAACCCCTCGCTACCTGCCAATTGGAGGGTCTTCTGCGTAACTACCGTTGCTAGTGTCGAATAGTGTACTTGTGGGAATACTCTTAGTCTTGCGGGATGCAGCTTGTGTCGCATCGCAATATGCCTTCAGCATATTGCGATGCGACACAAGCTGCGTATCGCGAGAGGACTTATCTCTCGGAGATTTTAACTAATTAACTAAATTGCATAATATGCACCGTACCATACGATTCGCCCTTGTTAGCTCAGTCTCTGCAAGGTGGTGGATCCGGAATATCAACTACGTCTCCAATTTAAGCAAATACTCAACACAGTCTGAAGAGATAGGCAGTAAAAACAGACTACTGCAAATAGGTAGGTATTTGGCAGAGTCCAATCAAATTGATTTTGAGATGTATTTTAATTAAATTGGCAACAAGGAAACTGTACACTATTGCCAATGGTACAACGGCCACGCAACGGGCGTTAATCTACATGTGCCCCTTATTATGCACGCCTAACACAATTGATCATGGCGCAATCTGCCCCATTCATTTGGGAAGACAGGTTAGGAAATCACCCAATTTCTTCAACACCTCGCCCTGCTGCGCCGCCTTTGCATCCCTCTTGTTTGACGCCTTACCCACCGAGATACTCACGTAGCAGCCCGCCCTCGTAACCTTGGTCTCCGTTGGCAGCCGCTCATCGTTATTGCAGGTTTCCACATCTTTGCTCGACACCAGCGGTACAGCGTCGTAGATGCGCGAGAGCACAAACTTGAAGTCGTCGGCTTTGTTGCACTTCCCGTCGTTTACCTTGGGGAAGTTGACGTTCAGGAAGACACCTTCGGGGAGATAAGGCTTGCCAGCGGCCACGACCGCGCCGACTACTTTGGTGGCTAACTCGGCGTAGAGCTTCGCGTAGTCGGGCGTGGGATCGTCCCATGCGGTCGGGGAGCCGCTGCCTCCCGAGAAGGCGATCGCCGGAATGCCTGCCTCATGTGCGGCGTAGCAGGCGGCGCCTACTGTGCCGGAAAAGGAGGTCACAACGCCGAGGTTGGCGCCGACGTTTGGACCTGTGACGGCGAGATCCGGCTCGCCGTTGAAGAATGTGGTCGACAAGTTCTGGATACCGTGTTTGATCGACGTGACGGGGTAGGAATTCACGTAGTTCCAACGAGGCTGGGTCGCGTTGTGTCCCACTGCGGGGCTGCCTTCAGGGCAGCTGTCGAATTCGCAGGGCTCGGACAGTCCGGTGGGTTCTTTGTCCAAGGAGCCTGAAGTTGATTAGATTAGATATCGGAGTGGGAAACAAAATACGAGATTCAGGAAGGGTGCTGATAGGGCATACCTTTTCCGCTCTGGTTCTCTGCGGGCGCCGAAATCACAACCGAGTGACTGGCCGCGGTCAATGAGTCGTACAGCGTGCGGATGTTCTTCTCGGCCCAGCCGTCATCATTTGCGGAGATGATATTCACAGCCTGAGCTGCAAGAGGGAGTAGAGCGAGGATGGCGGGAAAATGCATGACGGCGATCGGGTTAGGAAGGTATATTCTGGGTCGATGATATTGGTCGTCGAGTATCGGTCATATTCTTATATAATGTTCCCTCCCTCTTTCTCTCCTGGATCCCCTCACGATGGCCGAGGTGAATACTATTTTTGAGAACACATTCCGCGGCTGCAGATCGTTGACCGTTTAGGGCCACCCGGGGCAGCTGATCTCCGCCAACCAGCAGGAGCACGTGCTCCTATAGATTAAATGTCACCTTTTGGTTTCTTTCCTCACCTGTTGTGGGTTTCAACGCTATTGGCTTGGCTACTAGGTAGCTACCTAGCTGTTTCCACCTCTAGAACCCAGAGTTTCTACAGTGGAGCATGAAATTCTGCATGAACTTGGCTTGGTCACTAACCGGGACACGTCTATAGTAGTAACATGGCGCACCAGGGCAACGGAGCAATATGCTACCTCTTAGGTACTTTGCGGTTTCTCGTCTTCCTGCCTCCTTTTCTCCTTTCTCCTTTTTGGTATTCAGCCGTAAAGTTCTTCTCCTGTAATTCTCCTCTATTCAAGAGTACCCACCCATACCCATAGGCTAAGCCACCACAGTCAAACCATACGATTTCAAGAAACAAGAATACTGATGAAATTCACATCTCCTATTCAAGGTTACTGCCTTTTACTTTACCAGCCGAGCGTCCTGTCCCTATTCCCAATCATAAGAGATCCCGCGTCATCACGACCCTACTTAAAAAAATTCTCAGTTGTATCTCCGTCCTAAAGCTATTTGTATGAGCCCAGAACACACTATAGGCATCTCTGACTGAAGATATGTCAATCAATGTGCCCCATGGCAGAGTCTAATACGAATAAGGATACGCGAGGGAGTGGAAACATGCTCTCCTCCGGGATTATTCCGAGTTCCAGGGACTCCTTTAGGTCCAACGGCTCGTACGTGGGTATGAAGGAATGAGTATGACAGTGGGGATTCTTATAGAGAGAGGGCCTTTAGACTTGGCATGTGTGCGTCGCCAGGGACATGGGATTTATCTGTGGCCATAGTTGAGCCGATGTCAGGGTGATGCACACAGCAAGGGAGGTAGTTTAACAAGTATTGCGTAGGGTCCTTGATATTTTACTGGAGCTTACTACGGGGTACAGGAGGCCTTCTAGTTGGGCATTTATATTTCTGGATAGTATGTAGTTTGATGTATTGGTGGGGCTTTATCTGGTCGCTTAAAGAGTGATGCAGGTTTCAGTGTCACTCATCATGGAAATCTACTCCGCGACCTATTTCGCGACTAGCAAGCTATGATATGATAATCCTTGCATTAACTGGGTTGTTTATTCCTCCGCGGCAAATACCTTGGAGGGCATCGGATGTGCGCGGATGGAAATAAATGTATGATGCGAATTGTGGGGAACGAACCTTTCATGAGCAACCTCGTACCGGAAAAGCGATGCACGAAGCATTGCTTTCATACCAATCTCTCATGAAATAACCTTGAGTCACTTTATGATCGGAGGATATGATTTGGCGTGTAGGGTTGTTTGTGAGCCAACATAGAAAACGTTCATCACGCGGATCACGGCAGAATCTCAAATGCCCCCACGCCAATATGATGGAAAGGCCACTCAACGCCTTAGCAACTCAAGGAGCAGCACTGAGTGGTTCACTCACCACAAGGTCCCTTTTATGGCAAGAGAACAAGGGACCAGTCCCCATCATCCAAAGCCCTTCCACTTCCGTACATAAGTGATGATGTCAGATGAGATCACTACATATTCTGGACCTGACCTTCAATATCTCCCTCTATCCGCCTACCTTCTCGCTTCCGAACAGACAATCCACATGCGCAATTACATGTGTATACTCAATATTTTGGTAGCTAAACCGTGTTGACTTGCAAATGTCGGCCGAGGTCGTTCACCGTAACGCCGGGCATCCGTCCTTTCGGCAGGACATCTTCCAGCAAAATGAGATCCCAAGTGCTGCCAGAAGAAATGTTGACAAGGAGGAGAGTACCCGAAAGTTAGGCACCCTCTACGAGGCTTGTGGTCATATCGCCTCGCGGGTACGACCTCAACTGGACGCATTGGCACAAGAAGTGCTTGATAATATACGATCGGCGGCAGATGTCTTGGACGCAATCGCCGACGAGCGGTTGCGCTTCATGCCCGAGAATGGCAGTCAACTTGACCGAGCTTTCAAACAGGCGGTCGTCCTTGTGGGAAGGTTGGAACAGCTCGCCCGACTCATGGCGACTTTCACATCCGGAACCGAACAAGCAATCCGACTGACAGGTGGAAGTTGTCTATTGCTTCTGCAGGTACGTACTCGAGATTCCGGAACATGTACCTACAAACACTTTTCTGGACGAGCCTGCATTGACCTATTAGCAGTGTGGTTCAGAGCAGGGAAGACTTTTAGCCTCAGTCTTTCAGACCTTCCATCGATTCGCAATCGAATTGTCGCACTTCAAAAACAATATAGACCTCCTGTTGTCCAATCCCGATACTCAGCAGGAACTTGTTGCCGCATACGCCGAGCTATGCGGGCTCATTTGCTCAGTCAGTGTGCACTACTTCCAAAGGGCCCAAGGCTCCTCCAAGCTCCTCGATGCATCGGATTTACGGTCAAGGTTCAGTTCTCAGATTGAGGCCTTCAACTCCCGTCGAACCGCGGTCAAAGAGAAACTCTGGAGCAATCTCATCGTTGGTGATGTCAGTGTCGATCCGTCAGATAAGGTTCAAGAGATCTGGGAGTACTTGTCCGTCAAAGATCGAGTAGTCTCTAGCATCCTTTCTATGCGTTCACCTGAGCCGGCAGAACACACCTGCGAGTGGTTTGCCAATAGATTCTCTCAAATTAAGTCCAGTGAGTATCAATTGTGTACTATAACCGGTGATACCGGTACAGGAAAAACAGTTTTGTCGGAGTGGATGGTCCAGCAACTCCAAGCATCACTTGATCCACAGGACTATGATGTGGTTAGTTTCAGACTTTGTAAGACGTGACTTCCAGGAAATGGAAACACACGGCAGCTGTAAGCTAACTAATTCCCACACAGACGATGATATCAGCGCCACTACTGGGCCCATAGGGTTAGCGAAAGGGCTCTTGCTAGAGATGGTCGGAAGGCAGGCAAAGGATGGCGAGCTGCTAAGAGCACTGGAATACTCGATCGGCGTACACTCATCTGGGGCCTCCAGTAAAGTTGTGGAGGACTCTCTGTGGCAAGCTATAAACATTGCCGTAGAAGGAATGGGCAAATTAATGATTATCGTCGACGGCGTCGAGAGTCTCAATGGGGATCCAGAAGTTATTCCCCGCCTCTTTGATCATTTGCAAGCCTTAGCTTCTCAGAACCATTCAGTTAAAGTGGTCACGCTGTCTAGGCCCTTGCACGGTTTGCCTGATCAGGCTTTGCGGGTCAAGATCGAACCAAGCCAGACATCCGGCGATATTCGGACAGTAGTTCGCAATGCAATAGAGTCCTCCGAAATCTGCACCGGAATGAAGAAAGAAGATCGAGAGAAAATCGAGAGTGGAATTGTGAAGAAGGCAAACGGGTGTTTCCCCACAGCGCAGTTAGCGGTTTCTCAGTTGAGTGATTTGCGGACCGCATCAGACATGATATCCCTAGTGCAGAAAATGCCCTCTTCACTTCAGGATATGCTGAAGCAGGCACTCGATTCGATCGATTTGGGCGACTGGGCTGTGCGCTCGTTGTTGGCTTGGACAATTATCTCCCACCGCCCCTTACGAGTAGAAGAAATTCGATCGCTCTTGGAAGTCGACACGAAAAGAACAGAGGTTGTATCTCGCGTGGGAAATGCGGAAGACGACATTCGACGAGCGTTTGGCTCCTTCATTACAATCGAAGACGGCATAGTTTTCTTCAAGTCTTCTGCTCTCCGACAATTCGTCTACAATCAGGCCAAGTCAGCCGCTAGTGATAGCAGCAAAGGAAAATTGCCAGTGACATTGAAGGAGGCGCACTCCGATCTTCTTACGCGGATGTTGGCCTATGTGAAGCTCAACGTGACTGATGAGGTCGAGGTATCCACGACGCCCATGAGCTGGTCGAGGCAACATCGATATTTCGATCAATATCAACTTCTCGAGTATGCAGCGAGATATTGGACGTTGCACTTTAGGTCTTCCCAGATGACCGAGAGGGAAAAGGACAACTTCAAAGTCACCAACGTATTTAAGCGAAGCTTTCCCGACTCTATCTTGCTCGCGCTGCTTGAGGGGAGTTGCCACCAATTGCAATATCTACCATACCAGGCACAGGAGCTGCAGGCTTTCTCCGTCCAGCTACGGAGGCAGCTCCTCCAGGACCTATCCCGGCCACATCTGCAAAGCTTAATCATCGCCGCACAGATGTCGTATCAGCTGGGGTCAACCAGTGCAATCGACTATTCTTATGAAGCCTGGAAAAAGAGCAGCTCCTTACTAGGACCACGCCACATCGTGACGAGAACGAGTGCCGAAATCTTCGTTGACGTAGCCAGCCAGAACAATATCAGGGACGAGGTCTTCCTGCGTCATAACGAAGAAATACTGGAGAATTTGATGCAGGCATCTAAGGAAGAACTCGGCTTTACCCATGATGCTACAATCACATATACACAAATGCTTTTCGACCACTACGCCACTGTGAAGAACAAAGAGTCCGTAAGGAGGCTATCCAAGGCACTTTTTGAGATGAGCGTTGCAAGATACGGCCAACACTCCCAGAAGACGGAGGAGGTGACCGGGCACATCTACAGGCAACTCGAAAGGCTGTCTATGTCCGACGCTTGTGTCGAGATATTGCAGACTCAGCATGAATATTCGAGGCAGAATTTGGATATCACCGATCAGCGTGTGATCGATTCGACGTTGCAAATGATTGAGATCTGTGAACAGCGGGGCGAGACCTCCAAGGCTGATGCCCTTTTCATGGATACCTGGAGAAAGCTTTTGGCTGTGGAGGATACCTCTGACTCGGCCCTTAAGAAACAGGCAGAATTTACTATCAAATATGCTAAATATCTTGAACGGCACTCTCGTAAAGATGAGGCGGAATCCGTTACCAGCGCTGCGTGGTTTTGCTTGGAATCTCAGCTGTCTCGTTTCGATCGATTAGGCTCAACTTTCGAAATGGTGCTCAACCATATCCGGAAAATGAAATGGAGCAGCCTGGCTCAATCAGCCATGAGAACACTGTGGGAGTATCGCAAGTCCCAGAAGCAACCCTCACATCGGCTTGTGAAAGCCACTGCGTCGTTAGCCCAGACCGTGCAGCAATCCAGTTCTACTACTTCAGCAACTGAAACAGGCATGTCTCAGGAACAGGTTGGGGTACTCCGTGAAATCTTAGAGTCTGCTAGGTCATCGGGGGTGCATTCGTCCGAGACTGATTTAGCATCCATGAAGGCCTCCGGGCGGGTTGCGTCTTCTTTAGCAGAACAAGAACGATACTCAGAGGCTGCCGCTGTATATCGTCAAGCTCTGTCCCATGTTGGGTCCGAGATTGATAGCAAGTCGATGACGATCCGACTCAGTGAGAACGTGGGTGAAACAGTACAATTAGCAACAGGCCTTGCGGACTGTTACTTCAAAGATTTGCAGATTGAAGAAGCAGCACTTGTGTATAAAAATGTTCTCAAGGCTGTGCTCTCTTCTGATGCAACAGACACTCATTTGGTTCGATCCACCGCAAACAAAGTGATCACATTCTACCGGGCAATCTACCGCTTCCCTGAGGCAATCGCGACGTATGAGGACTTGTATTCAAATACATCATCTCGCTTGGGCAAAACGCACAAGCAGAACATTGAGATCCTGTACGAATGGGGCGACCTCGCAAAAAGATGTCACTACAAGAACGAGGCCGAACGAGCGTATGAGGAGATCTACAACAATCTTCGCCACAACGGTCAGCTGGATAGAAGAGCCATTCCCGCTTCTCGTTCCCTTGCCGCTATCTATGAGAAGAAAGAAAGATGGAGGGCAGCCAAGGGCGTTTATGAGACGTTGTGGTGGACAGTTCTTAACGGTGATAAGGACCATCTACTAGACAGCAAGCTTGTTGAGGAAGTTTATCAGCATTACCAATCACTGTTGGAGACAAAGCTGAATGCCGACATCGTGGAGATACATGATCTAGCAGCTAGCTACCGCAAAGCGTGTCAGCGGCATCACGGAAGCTCCAGCGAGGAGAGCTATAACGCGACTCTCGCGTTGGCGGATATTTCCCGCAGGGATGAGAGATATCACGACGAAGCAGTGGAACTATACGAGACAGCACTTGAACAAAGCAAAACACTTTCTGGCCATCAGGAAGAGTCTACAATGGCCATGAAAGACTCCCTTGCTGGTCTCTACTCCCGCCAGTCTCAGACCACTCAAAAGGCCGTAATATTATACAGGGAGAGGTATAATGCATCCATCCACGAGCATGGATATGCGTCTCGGAAACATACACTGCTGCAACTGCGGGAGTTGCTACAACTACTGCAGAAACAGGGCAAAAAAGCTGCGGCCAGTGAGCTTCAGGAGACACTCCAGAGAAGCACTGTTGCAACCTTCGAAGAAAAGACTGACAGTCAGCGTTTGTACTCCGTGGCAGTTGAGCTTGCTCAAATGTACCTCGACTTTGGAATGAAAGAAGATGGTGTTCGGCTTTCGAGAGAACTCCGTCACCGGCTCATCCAAGAGACTATGTACACGAAAGGGTCTCATCCGGCCACTAGCTTCGTTGTCGCTTTCGAAATGGCCTTGGGTAGTAAAACTCGAAATTATGGGACCATAATGGCCGACTTGATCGCAGAAACCCAGCTCTATTCCGCATTCCACCAGAACCGGAAACAGAAGGGCTTCATCCATACGTTCGTCGCTGGCGTCCGGCTGATGAACTTCCAAAGCGGCAAGGGCTGGACTGGGAATGCCAACGCCACCGATGCCGAGCTGTTCCAGTTGTTCACAGAGCGGTTCTCAAGTATCGATCCCGGCAAGACCGTTCTGCGAGAGTTCTACGACATCTGCATCTCGCAGGCGACCCAGGGAGACCTGGTGAAGAGGCTGACTCGAGTGATCGTTGACAATGTTTATCAGAAATTGACCACCAGTCATTTCCGACCAGCGTACAGCCATGCAGCAATTCTGCATGAATTTGTCATGGATTTTGGGGGATTTCAGGATCCGATCAGCACCCGGGATGGTGTGAAACTCTCCGAGCATCTCCTCGTGCATGGGTCCCAGAAGTGCCCCGACCGTGAGCTGAGTGGAAAGATGCTAGATCTATCCAAGACCATCTTACATGGAATTATCTCTTCTTATCATGAGACGGGAGTGAGTCTCACGGACTTTGAAGACACCGAACTCAACCAGCTTGCCATTTTGTTGGGTGGTCAGAAGAGTTTCGAGGACCTCGAGGTAAATATCCTTTCTCAATAACCCGGTTTCCTTTTCGTTTTCCTTTTTTTGACCGGAAGATTAACACATACATAGTTCCTTCTCAGCCAGTTGTGGTCCTCCCGGATCGTTCAAAAGACCTGGTCTTCTGACACTATCATTCTGGTGGGACGTCGACTGGTCGAAGCCCGCTTTTCGAACGGTCGGACCACGCAAGCCATCCAGCTTTGTGGGGATCTCTGCTACAATGTCAAGCGAGTCTGGGGCCAATTCGATCGGAGTGCTCTGGAGTTGACGAACCTACTCTCATCACTCTATACCGCTGAGGGTGACCATGTCCGTGCGATGGGGGTTCATGAATCCGTTCTGCGCCAGCTACTCGAAGATAGCGCGGACCTCACACTGTCACAGGCGGCTGAGATTGCTTCCAGCCAAGCCGCACTGCTCCAAAGATGCTACCAACGAAACGGAGGCTGGAGGAAGGGATCGGAGCGCTACGAGAACATGTTCACCAGATTGAATGAGAAATTTGCCAAAGAGGTCAAATGGGCAGCTCGACATCCGCGACAGTGGAAGACCAAGGACGCTGACAAACTGGGGGAGTGGGAACCTCCTCACGATTATGGATTTCTCACGTCTGGCAAAGCCGCTGCACATCGGAATCAGCTGCGCAAGGCTAGTGAACCCGATCTTGAGTCCTTTCGTAACGGACGCCAGAGTAATCGAGAGGATAGTTCATGAAGCCGCAATGAGAATCTTCTATGTTGGTTTAACCGCATGGTTGATCGGGGTCCTGTCCTTTTTTGAGCTAGAATTGGTGGATGCTATTACCCGGTGACCGTTTTACCTAGGATATTGATGAGACGTCACAATATCGGTGTACATGTGTCAGGAATAAATAGTAAGAGTAGTTGTTAGTCAGTACCTAGTAGTGACGTTAGTTATTAGTAGTAACTAACTACGGTTAATACAAAGAGTTGGCTACATAAAATAGTCCAAGTCAGCTGCTCACCATGTGATATAATGGCACGGGGCAAACTCAGTATTTCTACCCATTGGCCAATGACAGACATAACAGGTTACCGGTTGGTGGCGGCCATGCGATAAGCAGAATGGGTGGCGTCTGATTGGCTTCCGGATATCCGGGGTACATATCTCTGGCCAATCAGCAAGACCAAGGTACTGAATAAGGGGGAATTTCATGGCGCAATTGGCCGAGCCAACAAAATATCTCAATACCAATGACGGGGGTCCAGAGAAATGGGCTTGTTCTTCTCCGAAAGCTTAACACCTGACCTGAACGGATCTTTTCCCTCCTCTCTTCTTACACCTCCGTTCTCCCCCCAAATCAACACCTATCTACTTACTACACTATCACTCCTACTATCCGGTTATGATAGATAGATTGATAGACGGACAGATTCGACCGAATGTCCGTCTATGAGAATCTATGCCATACTTCACCCCCGAAAATGACGGTACGGGTTTAGCGCGACAACTGACCGATCCGCTTGTCGCTCAATATGTCTACTCCGTCTTCATCGCTCTCGCCTGGTGCAATGCCCTCGAGCTGGTGGTCCTCTGCCTCAATACCTTCAAACGCTATGCTGGCACTTACTTCTGGAGTCTTTTCATCGCCTCCATTTCCGTCATTCCCTTTGGCCTGGGATACCTCCTGAAGATGTTTAACATCTCCTTCACCAACGGCTACCTCGAGTTGGCCATCACCGACATCGGCTGGGTTGGCATGGTCACCGGTCAATCCCTCGTCCTCTGGTCACGCCTCCACCTCGTCGTTCACAATCGCAAGGTGCTCAAGAGCCTCCTCTACCTCATCGTCATCGACGGCGTTCTCCTCCACACTGCTGCCACCACGCTGGAGTTTATGAACAACGGTCTCTCTGACATTCACAATGTGACGGTTGCGTTTGGCATTATGGAACGGATACAAGTAGTGTGGTTCTGCGTTCAGGAGCTTCTCATCTCCTCCGTGTATATCTTGGAAACCGCCAAGTTGCTACGGCTCGACCGTGGAGGGCCGTCACGCACCATTCTCACGCAATTGATCATCGTCAATGTGGTCATCATGGTGCTCGATATCACGGTGGTCGCGGTTCAGTTCGCAGGTTATTTCACATTGCAGGTGACCACGAAAGTCCTAGTCTACAGCATCAAATTAAAGCTAGAATATATCATATTGGGGCGGTTAGTCGACGTGGCGCATATGCGATCACAGCCGGTAACTCCGCGCTTCCGCCTATGATTACTGTGCACGCACTCCTAGGGCGATCCCTCCTCCCAGAGACTGGCTTCGCGCACACCGCCTGCCGATATACCGTCTAGCCTTCCGTTCTAAATTTTCTCCTACTAACTCTAAAAGGATTTAAGTCGCGAAGTGGGGCGTTTGGCGCTATATATCTGGGGGAACAGCATGGATTAATGGCAAAATCCACGCGCATTCCTCCTTTTCTACTGCAGTCAACAAACTCATCCAACAAGGGACTCAATTACACCCCCCTCTTTCGACAATGACGTCCTCCCTATTAGCCGCTATCGGACTCACACCAGCCCCTTTATTCCCCCCCATCCCCAATTATGGGCCAGGTTTCCTGATCTTTCACTTTGTCTTCGCCTACGTCGTCATGTCCGCGCGGGTCCTCAAAGTATATCATGGCATTGACCACCAGGTATCCCCTCGCCAGGATTTGATTAAATACGGTGAGGCGGCTGTGCGCGAAGGGAAGATCACCGCGAAGCAACTCGAAATGCTCCATCGCAACGAAGCAGCACATGCCAACTCCGTCGAGAACTACACCCTCTTCGTCGCAGGTATCACCCTCGCCACCATTGCGGGAGTACCACGCACAACCATAAATGCGGCGGGCTTAATATATACCGTGGCACGGATTCTCTATGGTATTCATTATATCACTATAGATCGGAACCGGCCGGCTTGGTTCCGGAGTGTCCTTTGGCAGGCAGGAAACTTGAGCTGTCTGACTCTGCTGTGGAAGGCTGGACAGGCGCTGAATAGTTAGGTGGATTTCGATGCTCTGGAGATCGAAGAAGTGGTACTCAGTCGGCCATTGGCTCCTGTTTCATGCTTCATGCTTCATCTTGCTTGGTCAATTAGATATTGAAGTATATCACTTCAGATAAAAATATAGAACGAATTTATACATTATACTTCATAACCCAGTCAAATTGACTGGAGAACTTACACACCATAATTCTTGTTAAGCAAAAAAAAAAAAAAAAAAAAAAAAAGGTTTCTTCGACAACGTCGCCTGTAGAGCACGTCGAATCGGGAGTCTTCACGCAACCTCGGTTTTTGCAGTGTTTCGATGTTAAGCACAGCTAATTTAACACGAAATCGCCAGTCATGATAGATTACGCAAAGTCTAGAACGAGCTCGGAGGAGGTTCGACTTAAAGTCGTATCACATGGTGTGATTGATAAAGGTGCGGCTGTTTTACGTAACGGTACCTATTCAATTCAATACATGAATCATACTAGTAGGGAGCAGGGGGAAGAGCACCCAGTCAGTATGTATCACACAATCCACCATTTAATATATGTCGCTTGGCAAAGATATCTTGTGAAGCGGGGTGCCCTGGTCGCTCATTTCTCCCACCAGATGGTTGTAATATATATATATGTACATATGGCCATGAAAGGCGACGCTACTACCTACACTGCGAGGATCTATGGATTCAAGCTACCGTCCCCTAAGAACACCACCTACCTAGTATACAGCGGTTACCCGGATTTGATTAGCCCACCGTCTGACTATCATGAAACCTAAGGCCGAAATTCATGTTATCGATAGCCCTCGCGCCGACACATATCGAGACAAAGTGGTGGCCACATACAACGACCCACCGGAGCTATGGCATCAAGTTCTGGGGCATGACAACTTGAGCTTCCAGTTTGGCTTGTTCGACGACGCTGAGCTGGCTGAAGGCGCCAAACCGGGGTCCACTGGCCCTTCAGAGTTTCGTCACTTTGGCCGCCAACTGGAGCTTGCCGGGCTAGACGGTCCAGACCGGCCTCGAATTCACCGTATCTTGGACCTGGGCTGTGGTTGGGGCTACATCTCGCAGTACATGGCCAAGGAGTTCGGTGATTGTCCGCGCATCGATGCCATTAACATCAGTCCTCGCCAATTGGAGTACTTCGCAGAACACCTGCCCGTTCGATTCCACTCAACCGTCCAGCTGTATCTCTGCAACGGACAGGACGTGGATCTATTGCCTGATCCCGATGTACCATACGACCTTGTCGTAGTGCGCGGCGTTTACACCCACTTTCTCAACGATGTGTTTGAAGCATCAGTAGCTCGAGTAGCGAGGCGGTTGGCTCCAGGCGGAACTCTGGTGATTTCAGACACCTTATATCGTACAAGCAGCCTCAACTCTTATCGATCCGCCATCCCTGATCGAGTGGACCGTCTGGCCTGTGGCAATCGAAAGACACCGGAGTATTTTGTCCGTGTCCTCGAGCAGAATGGGTTGACGATCCAGGACCTGCGCGTACTGCCTTCCGCTCGCGAAGCTATTCACTGGTTCAACAAAGTGCGGTTGAACATTGAGCAGAACTTCCCCGAAGGAACCAATGGACCAATTCAAGAGTTGTATGATCAAGCCCGGAGCTTCTCGAAGGCCGTAGCTCAGAACCAGGCTTCTGTCTACAGCATCATTGCTAGGCGCCCGGTCGACGAGTTGAATGGGGAGTGAATCGATTTTTGCATTATGCGGAGTTGAGTAACGGGCTGTTTGTATGTAAGAGTGGGAAGGTACGAGTGGGATACTGCGAGAATATGTATGTTATCCGATGTTCGGAGATGAATCTAGAGCAGCGTCAAGTAGCATATTAGAGAGCATCACTTTCAGACGGTCAAGACTGGCCTAAATGTGAATAGGAAAGTAGGCCGATTCCAACCTATCGGCGCAGTGGGCATGATGCTCAAGACTTCGTCCGCCTTTTGAGAGGATTATGCGCGTCGAGTAGTACGTCGCATAGGATGTGAGTGTCGGTAGCTTACACGTCGCGGGGAGTGCCCGAGGATGTTGAGGGATACATTACGGATTCTTGCAATATTGTAGCATCCGGCAATTTGTGATCGGGATTCGGTTCGTTCTGGATCAAGTAAAATACGTTATGTCATTAACAATATGTGCACTGCGTAAGGCATGCGTGCCTTTGCCGCCAATTCCTATAAACCTCATTTTTCGCATATCTGCAAATGTCGGTACCGTCCATCTATTCTCCCGACAAAAAGTCAACAGTCGTCTGATACCGCCTCGTCCTCTTCCGGAATCAATCGCTGCCGCTCTTCGTCGCATTCCGCCTGCTTCTCTTCTCTCCATCTTCTCTCCGCGACATAGACAAAGGTTACCAAGGCTACACCAATGATGAGGCCTGCTGTGGCGAGGGAAGCATTGATAGGGATCGGATTACCCCGAAACGGACCATGGGTCAAATAGTCCAGCCCGTACTGCGCGAAGTTGACGAACCCCGAAAAACATATGATCGTGCCGTAGACTCTGCCGAATGTCGCAAAACCAAAGACCTTAGTCGCGTAGTCGCTGTTCGTGATGACACAAGTCAGTGGTTAGTATGTGACACCAACAAAGGAAAGAAAGAAAAGGCGGTGCTTACGACATAGCCGAGTAGTAATATGGTCTTAGGAGGACAAAGAGAATGACCGTCAAATACCCCGTCCATACGACGGGTATGGAGTTCAGAATTCCGGTAACTGTGGTTAGGAGCACGATCATCGCTAATGTGGCCGGAACACTGAGATTGTCGAGCAGGAGTCCAATGACGGGGGTGAAAAGCACACCTCCGACGGGCAATGCCACGTCGAAGAACTCGTTGATCCTATCGGCCTGCAATCCGGAGTGGAGCATGTATTCATACTGGGATCGCACGGTCGCAATAAAGTAGTTCATGCGCAACATCTGCAGCACCGTCATCAGAAGGATCAGGATGAACCACGGTGTCATCACTTGTTCATGAGCCGGGAGGCCATGAAGGACACCCCATACCCGACTCGCTTCGTGTCGTTCTTCCTCCCATTCCTGGCGCTGCTTCCGCTCCGTCTTGTCTCCAAACACTTGGTTGATCTTGCGCAATTGGTCCTTCCGATGCCTGGCGCGGTCCGTTCGGACCTGCCACAGCTCGGAATTGCTCTCGATCTCGTCGTCCGAGTCATGAATATCCTGCGTCACATCCTCAACTTGCTCTACTTTGACTTGCAACTGTTGTGTGGTTTGGTAGTCATGCGCCGGCATTATCGTCAGTATTGCGACGAAGATCAAGGCCGGTACGACCAAATAAGCGAAGAAGAAGCGTTGCGGCGAAAAGCCCTCTTGATCCTGCTCATACGCCAGGCGATAGAAGAGATAAACCGCCGCCGATGCATCGAAGGCACCCGTGACTAGTGCGACAATTGTGCCGTTGTACTTGGGGAAGGCATTGGCGATTCGGAACGATGGGAGAAAGACGAAGGTACCTCCCAATGCCAGCAAGAAGTTCGCCGCGATGTAGCCATCCACGCGACCGGAGAAAGAGAAAGCCATGAGCAGACTCCCCACGGCCAACACTGCACAACCGATCAAACCACAAGATCGCGAGCCGTAACGGTCGAGGATGGTACCGACCGGCAGAGCGGATACATTCGCCGTGATAGAGCCGACCATGAAGAATAGGTTTAACCTGCGGATGTGTATCAGAGAAGGCTGAAACTGGAACTCCGATCGAGACCACGTACCGAAGATCCTGCGCTCTACAGGCATTGCTCCCGTCGGGCCACTCTTCAGTGCACAGGTTGCGATACACGCCTTCGTTGATCATGACCGGCTTCAGCGCCGCAAAGCCAAACACGATTCCCGACGCGAACCAACAGGCCAGTAGCGTCACTATCACCTGGGCTTCACCATCGAGTCAGTTTTCTTAATGTATTCAACCATTGTCCTTCTTGCCTACCAAGTCGTTTCGCCGTTGATACTCTGTAGGCGGGCGTCGCATGCTTGACGTCCAGTAGCTCTTGCAGGGGAGGCGGCGGCAAGACATCATAGCTGATTTCACGCCGGATGGGGATGGATAGGATGCTCTCCGTATCTACGGCGTCCACGTTATCTACTCCGTCAATAGGAGACACTCGCTGGACGAGGGACATGATACGATGTTTAAAAGCACATAAAAGCACAATGGGATAATGCGCAACTGAGGCGCGTTCAGACAAGAGAGAACGAGAAGAGGAATTAAGTAGATGAATAATTACATATTCTGGAGTTCTGGTTAAATGAGTGAGTGAGTAGAGTATATTGCCGATGTGAGGGGGAAAGACAGACTGATAATTTATTTAGTAGTTGGAAAAGGTCACCGACCGTCAGTCCTTTCTAGAACGGTCTACTGGATTGGAGGCCTCAAAAACAAGGAATCTTATCAACCGCATGATTTCATTGCTCCACTTTTAGTTAAAATTAATATGGTAGCTTCTCCACATTGTGTCTGTCTTATCTTATTTTTTATCTATTAATTAAACAAGAGAAGGTGACCGCGGTTGCCGATCAGGGTATACTCGTTAACAGACAAGATTGGAACTCTACTATATATATAACCGGGCATCATCTCCCAGACTCCTGCTGTACCTATTCGAGGCAGACGTACAGAGTAGAGTACAACAGCCCCAAATACACAAATAAAAACGAGCCGAAGCGCCTCAACTTCAAATTCATATGTATCTAATAAACATATATTGGCAAAAAAAACCCTGCGATAACAAAGATGGAAGGTTCACCCGAAGCTTGCATAATGCAGGAGAATAGTTAATCCATGAGAGTCTGGATTTAGTCCCGTGCGTCTTCTATTCTACATGCTGTTACGCCATCTCAGATTTCCCAAAACAACTTTCGAGACTGGTCCCTAGTGATATAATACCCACATAAACTGATGCAATCTTGACAGGTTTTGAACTCGACGATTCTAACCCCAGTGTCTTATCCCCCATTGAGTTAAGCTGGACTTTGTCGCCGGGGACCTTTTCGGCGGAGTGACCGTGTTCCGGCCTTGGGAGACCCGGCAGCATGGACTCAGAGCAGTATTATCCATCATGCGAGATCGACATTCCTTCCAATCAGACCTTGGCTCGGCCGGAAGGGTTTGGGGACTGTGAGTTGATAAGGAGTGGAGTCAGAACTAGCCGCCATAGACTCATCAAGGGGCCCTGCAAGAAGGTAGAGCTCGAAGCCATGCAATATGTCGCCAAGCGTACCACTGTACCTGTTCCAAAAGTCTTCACCGTCTACCCATACCACGATGCACGGATCCATATTGAAATGGAATATATACGTGGAATCGACCTGGAAACCGCCTGGCTTGATGGCCATCTGTCACACGACCAGAAAAAAAAACATCTTATCAGTGAAATTGCCGGCTATGTCAACCAGCTGCGAAGCCTCGAACCACCGCATAAAGGATTTGTCGGGTCGGCAAGCGGGGAAGGTGGTCTTGATGGTCGTGTTGGGTACTCTCCTTTCAGCCCCTTTCCAGGACATGAAGGATTTCACACTTTTTTTCGAAAAATGTACCTATTGAGGACTGTGCACAAGTATTTGGCCAAGAGGTTACCGATTCCCATACACGTTATTATCGAAGCTGTTTTAGCCATGCCGATCTTGCTCCACGGAATATCATTATTGAGAATGGGAAGATTGCGGCTTTAATCGATTGGGAGTATGGTGGCTGGTACCCAGAGTACTGGGAATATACCAAGGCTCATTATGTACCGGTCGGGATGTCTGATTGGTACGAAGGGTTGAAATCAGCTATCACGAGGTATGATGACGAGCTGAGAGCCGAACAAAACCCCTGGACACAATGTGAGCTACCAGGGATGCACTTCTAACGGTTATGACCACGCTGCTATTTCCTCTCAGTTGAAGATTGAATTCATTATCAACTCTGAGATGCTTCGACATTCTAAAGTACACTGTATTGAGGCACGAGGCTCGAGATAAGTATAGGCTACATTGGCCGGCTCGTGTACTTGATGACTCTTGATTGACGGCGCGTGTTCAGGAGAAGCTGATCGGCAAATGCGATAAAATCGTCCATGAGCCAATAAATATCGAATCGCCCTGCCAAACCCTTCTCCTGCAACTTCTGAATAGCAGCCATGGTCCAACTGACGCAGTTCTGTTCCGGCTGAGCGCCCTTTCTCGGAAGCGGAACTGATCTGAGATGGGTCTCTATCTCTGCGTAGGTGGTTGCATTTGGAACCTTACCTATCATGGCTTTCCCAAGAAGGTGGATGCTGCTCTTTAATGGATCGATCTTTTCTTTTCTTCGGAAAACCCTATCGTTGTCTGCATTTTGGTCGACTCGACTCTAGTGACAGGATCCGGTCTGGGTGCATCGGTCGCGTCACACGCTTAGCAATCATCCCCTGTTGGCTTCTTGGGGGTGATCAAGATACCCCAATGGTACGCGGCCTAACCCAGGCGTTGTCGATGTTTCCCGACGGAGAACTGATCCCGGTAATGCACGGTGACGAACACCTGACGTTTGTTGCTCATGGTGAGGTATATCGACCTATCTATGTGAATAGTGTCTCTCTCAGAATTAGGAAGTTATGGCCTAGAATCACAGGGTTTGTAACGGATAACCGTGATGTCGGGGGGTGTGAAAAAAACGTTTGGTAGACCTCAGCTCTCACGGTCCTAGAGATATATATGCCTGATCAGTGTCTTTTGCCTCCATTCTAGGAAGAAGCCATCGATACTGGACATAATATGGTAGTGCCATTTGCTGTGTCTTTTTGGAACAATACTGGCCACTGATCAGATGGAACTAGGGTGTGTAAAGGTGTAAACGCCGGTATGGATTCTCGGATATCACCGTACGGCTGATAGAGCAACGTAGCATTCTCCCCCTCATGGTCCTAGGCGCCCGTACCAATACCCTGGAATCTAGAAGATCAACAAAGTGATGATCTTCCAGTTGTCTAGTCTAGAGCGTGAATCCCATAGGGCCTCGTAAGCCGCACAAGGACGCTTCAATGTTGCACCGCATAAAGGACTCGAGTAGTACTTGGCTACTCTACTGAGCGAGCCAATCAATCCTGCTGTCTACCCGAAATTACACTGAAATCTCATGTATTGGGACAGCTCTAGTCCTCGGGGGTTGGTGATCTAGTCGTATTTTTTTGACACCTACTTTCTGTATTGGTCGACTTGAAGTATGGGAACCGTCATGTATATATAGTGAATCTGAATCAGCCGGCCGCACAGGTTTGGTGAATAGTCACTCCCTAAGGGACGGAAATAAGAAAGTGAAGAAAAAGCGATAGTCTTGATGATCGTCTCTGATATGTACATAAGTTAATTTACCTTTTAAAACTTGAAAGACTGGTTGTAATACGAGCATGGATGTTATGATACTATCTCCACGCTTCGCACTTATACATATCAGAGTGCTTTTCTATTTTATTTCCTTAATTGCCAACTGAGTCCATACATTATACATACTGATTTCAAGTTACATTGATGGGTCGCGGGTCTGATGTTAGTCGTAGTATGTTGAGTGTGATGCCTCAGGCATTACATGCGATGAAGTCGGGACATAAAAACCAGTAGGATCCATAGGAACATGAAGTCCAGTAGTTCTCCGACTCGCTTAGGGTACTAGAAGACTGCACAAAGGACTGAGTTCTGGCATCAGGAGTTCTCCGGCCGATTAAGGATCTGGAGCCCAGGTCTAGACTCTAGACTCTTGAAGTGAAACCGCGTTCCCCAGACAAGTCGGCAAGTGGGCCAGGAGATTGTCAGGTCAAGATGGAACCTCCAAGCGAAGGATTGTGTCACTCTGGCTGTGTGACTAGGTTCAAGTCGCCGAACTGGTGACGAGTCAGGGAGAACCAGGGGCAAGACAATAAACGAGAATCAACGAGACCCTACGTGTCGTTCTTTTGATTTTGAGTGTGATTGAGTTTGATTGAGTTTGATTTCTTATTTTCCTTTTTTCCTTCTTGCCATGTTGACCATGTTGGTCTGTCTCTCATGGGGAATGCATACTCTGTAGACGGCGTGGCCAATCGGCGGGATATAAATATAGAGGTTTGTATGCGCATGGATGCCCATCTATCTCACTCCTGCTTGATAATTCCGGAGCACAAGCCTCTCCCGCCGACGGCCTATAGTTATATCGTCTTATTAATGTCTCCCAAGCATTCTAAAATCTAAAAATACATCAACTCTTTCGGAGATGGGATCGCGTAGCAATTCTCGCTTCTATCTAGATAGTATAGAGTAAATAGAAAGGAAAAAAAAAAGTCCACCGTCAGCCTCGTTCATCGCCATCCAACGTGTTCGCCCGTCACCTTGTCCTTGTGATCAGCAAACAAGTACAGACCTGGACTGGTCGAGAAAGGGATCCTTAAAACCTCTTTTCAATCTCTCAAATTGATTCTCCACTTTTCCCTTTTCTTGGCAGTGCGACAAGCGTTTCACGAGGGATTCTCGTCAACCCCAAGGGATACACTAGATCTAGAGGCCACCTTCCCCCGGGGGCAAGGAACCTGATCATTCAGATACAGGTACTTGTTTCTTGTCCATTTCCGGTGACTACACCACCCCTCTCCCCGAGTCCGGGAATCAGATGGTGAGTTGCGCGCCCGTCAGAGGGATTATCTTCTGATTGGAATTCTCCAGCCTTCGCCCACTCCCCTCTCCCTCTGTCTCGGCTATGCGCAGAGTGGGTGACCCACAAGTGGAGTGAGCATTCCTCATCCGCCACAAATCAGCAGCCTTCGCGCGTCCCGAGAACCCTGAGTAACGGCCATTGAGGGATCGGGAAGACGCACTGGGCGGCTCCACCGGATGCGCGTCGCGCGATCATGAAAGGGCACTTGTTGGAAAAGGTGGAGGCCAATGACGATGAATCCTGGGTGTCAGCCACGCCGGAACGGATCAATCTTCTTCTCTCTTCACAGATATTGGTTGCTTTTTTGAAGTTGGTTGGGTCGAAACTTGGAAAGTTCACGGGTTGCCTTTGGCTGCATTCGCATGTACCTTATTTTATTTTTTATTCTTTTTTTTTTTTTTCCCTTAATAACAGGAGGGGTGGCAACCTTGGGTTAACCCGGAGAATAAAACCACCAACAAACAATATTAATCCTTTACCTGATACTTTTCCCAGGTACCCAAGGGATGACTCGAGGATATTCCTCAATAGGTTATTGATCGACTTGAGACAACATTCGTCTGTCTTTTGGTGGGCCGTGGGGGGAGAAAAGAGGGAAGAGACGAGTAAGCTGATGGCGGAGGAACCGAAAGGGCCCTTTTGTTTATGTTTGGGTATTTCTATTTTTCTGTTCATAACTTAAGATGTGCTGTTATTATAGAAAAGTTGGGTTGGATTTATTTTTTATTTGTTATTGCGCAAATAAGAGAGAGAGAGAGAGAGTACGAGAAAAGAGAGCCTGAAGTAGGGTTTCTCTAAGCCACAGGAGCATCCGATCACTGCCCCCCTTGCATTTTTTTATGCCAGAGGAAAGACTCCGTAATAAATAAATAAATAAATAGTAAACGATAAAATAATAATCAGAAAAATAAAATAGAATAAAAAAAATTACCAAAAATAATCCCATTGCCCAGGTTTCCGTGTTCATGCATGGGATCCAATGACGATTCCTCCATATACATAAGTATTGACTGACAGTAGGCAGCCTGTTATTTATTCCTGAGTATTTCGGACAGTACTGGATTTATATATAGAATCGAAATCAAAATCCATGGTTCCACCGGGTCGCTGACTGACCCAAGTTTCCATTTGTTTTATTATATTCTTCTACTTCTTCTGTGTTCTGTCATTTTTCTTTTTCTTTTCCTCTTTTATTCTTTCTTTTTTGTGACAAGATTGGGTTGTTTTTCTTTTTTTGATTTGGTTTCGAAACCAGTGACTTCCCTTCCCTTCCCTTTCCCTTCTGCCCTTCTTCTCCCTCCTCCTCCTTCCCTTACTAACAACTTCTTCTTATCCTTATCCTTGCCCACCCCCTCTCTTTACCCACACACCCTCTCTCCCTCGCTCCATGCAGTTCCGCCTATAAGTCAAAGTCTCGGAATTCGTTCGTTGTGATTGGGGATCTCTGTATCACTGCTAGTTTCCCTTCAGCGCCGTCGAGATGGGACCCGTACGGCCCACCTCCACTCACTCGCCTCAGCCAAGCCGCAGCAGTTTTTATTCGCATACCAATCCCTCTCGGACTGTAAGTTCTACCACCAGCAATTCATCCTTCTCTTTTATTCCCACGGCTTCCCCCCCCTCTCCCCCCAATACCCCCCACCCCCAATCGTATGATCGTTTCTTCTTGGTATAGCTCCCGCCATTCCCTCTCCTTCTAATGCCTCCTCAACCCGAGCAGCAAACGCCCGGCTTGTCAGACCGAGACGAACAGGAGCAGTCTTCGCTCCTGCGTCATAATCATCCCAGTATCTACGGCGTCGAGGACCCCAGCCTGTCGTCCGACTCCCTGCGCCGATATACCCTTCACGATCCCGGTGTCACCGTGTTCGCAGCCCCCCCGTATCAAGAGTCCGAAGCGGCGGAACTCTACGATGCCAGTCAAATGTCCGAGTCCAGCGGCATCAAACTGGAGACCTTCCAGCCAGCCAGTATCAGTAACCGGTCGGGCTTGCGTCGCTATGGAACCCGAAAGATCAACCTTGTGCAGGGGTCGGTGCTGAGTGTCGATTACCCCGTGCCGAGTGCCATTCAGAATGCGATTCAACCGGAATATCGGGAGGCGGAGGAGGCGTTTTCGGAGGAATTCACGCATATGCGCTGTAGGTCCTTGGATCGACTTTTGTCACTTGCAGTCGGACTAACCCCCCGTCGCAGATACGGCGGCCACTTGTGATCCCGACGAGTTCACCCTGCGGAACGGGTATAACCTGCGCCCGGCCATCTACAACCGTCACACCGAACTGCTCATCGCCATCACCTACTATAACGAAGACAAGGTCCTGACGGCCCGCACGCTGCACGGTGTTATGCAGAACGTGCGCGATATTGTCAACCTGAAGAAGTCGGAATTCTGGAACAAGGGAGGTCCGGCCTGGCAGAAGATCGTCGTGTGCCTGGTGTTTGACGGTATCGAGCCGTGCGATAAAAACACGCTGGATGTGTTGGCGACCGTCGGAATTTACCAGGATGGCGTAATGAAGAAGGATGTTGACGGTCGGGAAACGGTCGCTCATATTGTGAGTTCTGCGAGTCCCTCCAGTGAAAAACCAAAAAAAAAAAAAAAAAAAAAAAAACAACAAAAATCCCCCCCCCAAAGTTTTAAGTGATACGACAGGGACTGACTGGAACAGTTCGAATATACCACGCAATTGTCCGTCACCTCAAATCAACAGTTGGTTCGTCCGCAGGGCAACGATCCCTCCAATCTTCCTCCCGTCCAGATGATCTTCTGCCTCAAACAGAAGAACAGCAAGAAAATCAACTCCCATCGGTGGCTCTTCAACGCGTTTAGCCGGATCCTCAACCCTGAAGTGTGTATTTTGATCGACGCGGGTACCAAACCCGGCAAGAAGTCATTGCTGGCTCTCTGGGAATCCTTCTACAACGATAAAAACCTGGGTGGTTCCTGTGGTGAGATTCACGCCATGTTGGGCAAGGGTTGGCGGAAGGTCCTGAACCCGCTGGTGGCCTCGCAGAACTTCGAGTACAAGATCTCCAATATCCTGGACAAACCGCTTGAAAGTGCATTCGGCTATGTCAGTGTGTTGCCTGGTGCCTTCTCCGCATACCGCTATCGTGCGATTATGGGTCGCCCATTGGAGCAATACTTCCACGGAGATCATACATTGTCCAAGCGACTCGGGAAAAAGGGTATTGAGGGTATGAATATCTTCAAAAAGAACATGTTCTTGGCCGAGGACCGAATCTTGTGCTTCGAGCTGGTGGCGAAGGCGGGTTATAAATGGCATCTCTCGTACGTCAAGGCGTCGAAAGGTGAGACGGACGTTCCGGAGGGTTCGGCCGAGTTCATCGGTCAGAGGCGACGTTGGCTGAATGGTTCCTTCGCCGCCGGTTTGTACGCCATGATGCACTTTGGGCGAATCTATCGCAGTGGACACAGCTTCGTCCGCTTGTTCTTCCTGCATGTGCAGATGGTTTATAACTTCTGTCAGCTCGTCATGACCTGGTTCTCTCTCTGTGCGTTCCCATCGAAAACCCCAATCCCCTGGATTCATGAACGCCCACTGACCTGGTTGCTCATTTAGCTTCCTACTGGCTCACCAGTTCGGTTATTATGGATCTCGTCGGTACCCCCAGTGCAGCCAACAAGAACAAGGGATGGCCGTTTGGGAATGACGCCACGCCGATCGTGAATACCTTCCTCAAATATGGCTATATCTTCTGCTTGATGCTGCAATTCATTCTGGCCCTCGGAAATCGACCAAAAGGGTGAGTTCCGGCTATCGTCTTTTATGTTTTCTCGTGTGACGAACTGCTTACTCACTGGACCTAGAACTCGACTTCCGTACACGCTCTCGTTCTTGTACTTCTCGATCGTGCAGATCTATATCCTACTTCTGTCGTTTTACTTGGTTGCCAACGCCTTCACCGGTGGCATGATGGATTTCGACTTTGACAACGGTGCGAGTGGATTCTTCGCGTCTTTCTTCGCCTCCGACAGCGGTGGTATTGTCCTGATTGCCTTGGTCTCCACGTACGGTATCTACGTCATCGCCAGTCTGCTCTACGGAGACCCGTGGCATATCCTCACCAGTTCGTGGGCGTACTTCTTCGGCATGACGACCTCGATTAACATCCTGATGGTCTATGCGTTTTGCAACTGGCACGATGTCTCGTGGGGTACGAAGGGATCCGATAAGGCCGAGGCGCTACCCTCGGCGCAAACGAAGAAGGAGGACGGCAGCAAGCAGCAATTCATTGAGGAAGTGGATAAACCGCAAGCCGATATTGATAGTCAGTTCGAGGCCACGGTGAAACGGGCCTTGGCGCCGTGGGTGGAGCCGGAGGAAGAGGAATCCACCAGTCTGGATGATTCGTACAAGAACTTCCGGACGATGCTGGTGCTGCTCTGGGTGTTTAGCAACCTGATCTTGACCCTGTTGATTACGGGCACCGGGATTGACCGCATGTGTTTGACGGTATGTTT